AACTGGTTAAAGCTGGTGGCCTAACCCTAGTGAGGTTGTTTTGACCGGGGTTAGGCTTGTCTGACCGAGGTCTGGCTAGGTCTGGCTAGGTCTGGCTAGGTCTGGCTAGGTCTGGCTAAGTCTGGCTAGGTCTGGCTAAGTCTGGCTAGGTCTGGCTAGGTCTGGCTAGGCCTGGCTAGGTCTGGCTAGGTCTGGTTAATTCAATAAATCTAATTCTAATTCAATTCCCAGCACCTCATCCTCATCCTCAACCAATTTCTCTCAAATGATGTCAAGTAGCGAAAGTGAGATGAGTGGAATGTCAAGTTATGGAGAAGAAGAGGAAGAAGAAGAGGAAGAAGGGGAAGAAGGAGAGGAAGAGGAAGAAGAGGATGATGAGACGATTGGATCGAGTGAAGAGATAACAGAAGAAGAAGATGGAAAAGAAGAGGAGATGAGGAGGATGAACGGGGGAGAGAAGAGGAATCTGGTGGGTGATTGGAATTGGGTACTGTAAGCTAGCTTTAGTCCATCATCCCTTAGTCCATTAGTCCGTACCGTAAACCGTAGCTCGACTAGTCGCTATTAGAGTAAACGCCCCGTAAAGACTACTTAGCAACAATTAACATAAATAATGACATTAGGCCGATGATAGAATTTGAGTCGGTTGCACGACTACGGTAGCTGGCGCAATCCAACTTTAAGCTTACATATCTTGGTGTTGGGCTGTCCAATTTCAATAATTTTTCTACCAATTGATCGAGAAAGACTTGGCGCATCTAATCTAATCTAAATAGGGGCGGGACGCGTATAAAAGGTGGGACACACACGCCCCGCCCATTTTCCATGATCAATCTAGCTTTAAGCTTACATATCTTGGCGTTCGGCTGTCCAATTTCAATGTTCTTGGTATCATTAGATGCGCCAAGTCTTTCTCTATCGATTGGTAGTAAAATTATTTAAATTGGACAGCCGAACGTCAAGATATGAAAGGTTAAAGCTAGTTTGCTATTGGCAAAGTGACGAGGCGCGTATAAAAGGTCTTCCTGGCGCCGGTTTTCTATAGTTTTTCTACCAATTGATAGAGAAAGACTTGGCGGATCTAATGATACCAAGAAGATTTAAATTGGACAGCCGAACGCCAAGATATGTAAGGTTAAAGTTAGATTGCCAATGGCGAAGGGCTTGGCCCTGTTCGATAGGGGCGGGGATTGGCCCTGTCCGATAGGGGCGGGGATTGGCCCTGTTCGATAGGGGCGGGGCTTGGCCCTGTTCGATAGGGGCGGGGATTGGCCCTGTCCGATAGGGGCGGGGATTGGCCCTGTTCGATAGGGGCGGGGCTTGGCCCTGTTCGATAGGGGCGGGGCTTGGCCCTGTTCGATAGGGGCGGGGCTTGGCCCCTGTTCGATAGGGGCGGGGCTTGGCCCTGTTCGATAGGGGCGGGGCTTGGCCCTGTTCGATAGGGGCGGGCTTGGCCCTGTTCGATAGGGGCGGGGCTTGGCCCTGTTCGATAGGGGCGGGGCTTGGCCCTGTTCGATAGGGGCGGGGCTTGGCCCTGTTCGATAGGGGCGGGGCTTGGCCCTGTTCGATAGGGGCGGGGCTTGGCCCTGTTCGATAGGGGCGGGGCTTGGCCCTGTTCGATAGGGGCGGGGCTTGGCCCTGTTCGATAGGGGCGGGGCTTGGCCCTGTCCGATAGGGGCGGGGCTTGGCCCTGTCCGATAGGGGCGGGGCTTGGCCTCTCTTTAAACATCGAGTAAATTGAATACCTTTACATTTGAAGGGAATTAGCCACCAAATCATTTGAACAATTGAGTTCCTTGAAAATAAAGCCGTATATAAGGCGGCGCTCGTGATTCTTTTGGTGACGATGGCTAGCAGTTCCTACCGCAGTTCCTACTGCAGTAGGAGCCTAGCAGTTCCTACCGCCTACGAAACAGTGCTATGCACAGTGTGAAAAGGGTTAATTTCATACTTTTTTCTTTCAGAAACTCCCAAATCTCCTCAACGAACAATACTATTTGCGAGCATTTCCAATCTTACCCCAAAAAACCCCCACGAATCCGGTAATTGTTCGAAAATGTTCTTTCTTTTTTAAAAGCTCTTTAGCTCGTCGAGTTCACTGTGCAGCACGTAAACGATCTAGCGTTAAATATCGCGGCGATTGGGTAAGATTTCAAATTTTCGATTTTGAAAGGAAGAAAGTTGTCGAATCGGAAGATCGCAAAAAAAAAAAATAAAGCGCTCGCACCAAGTTTTCTCAAATTTCTTGAAGGATCCTTTCAAGTATGGCAAGAAAAAGTCTCCGGGACGTCATTTATCAAAAAAAGATCAAAAAGATCTTCAGCAACGTTCGCGGTATCTATTTGTCGTTGTTGACGGGGATGAATGAACGGAAAAGTGAGCACGACTCGTATTTGACGAGAATCTTCAAGCCCGATCGGCAGAAAGAGGTGGGAAATGTTGCGAGGAGTTGAAGAGTTGCTGGCAGGCTGGCATTTGTCGGCTTGTCAACTGGATCTGATTCGGATCTGATCCGGATCTGTCGGCCTGTCAGCTGGATCTGATCCGGATCTGTCGGCCTGTCAGCTGGATCTGATCCGGATCTGTCGGCCTGTCAGCTGGATCTGATCCGGATCTGTCGGCCTGTCGACTGGATCTGATTCGGATCTGATCCGGATCTGTCGGCCTGTCAGCTGGATCTGATTAGGATCTGATCCGGATCTGTCGGCCTATCAGCTGGATCTGATCCGGATCTGTCGGCCTGTCAGCTGGATCTGATTCAGTTCTGATCCGGATCTGTCGGCCTGTCAGCCGGATCTGTCGGCCTATCAGCTGGATCTGATCCGGATCTGTCGGCCTGTCAGCCGGATCTGTCGGCCTATCAGCTGGATCTGATCCGGATCTGTCGGCCTGTCAGCTGGATCTGATTCAGTTCTGATCCGGATCTGTCGGCCTGTCAGCCGGATCTGTCGGCCTATCAGCTGGATCTGATCCGGATCTGTCGGCCTGTCAGCTGGATCTGATTCAGTTCTGATCCGGACCTAGTTAGCTAGCCCCTGGACCATTTAAAATCTTATTTACCTTGGTCAGATGCAGGGACAAGTCTAGGCTAAGCCTTGTTAGCATATCCCGCACCAAATCCCATTGCCAGAGTGATTTTTGGGCTCACGGAAGAAGATCTTTCTTAAATATATCGAGATCTTGAACTAGTGTCGAGATGTCGAACTAGCATGCCTTGCATTAATCCTGCCGTTGTGATTGTGAGACGTTTGATCTGCGCTGTCCCTTTGTCATCAGCAATCTAGTTTGCTAATGGGAAAAGGGGCGGGGCCAGGAAGACCTTTTATACGCGCCTCGTCGCTTTCCCATTAGCAATCTAACTTTAAGCTTAAATATCTTGGCTTTGAATTGTCCAATTTAAATAATTTTTCTACTAATCGATAGAGAAAGCCTTGGCGCATCTAATGAAACCAAAAATATTTAAATTGGTCAGCCCAACACCGAGGAATTTGAGCTTAAAGTTAGATTGCTGGGAAAAGAGGCAGGGCGCGTATCAAATGGCCGATAACCGGAGCTTGTAGTGTCAAGACGTTGACTTTGTTGACGTTGACTAGCTCGAGTATTTTAAATCAATCAAATTCCAAGGTTTTCCTTCACATGATGAAATGGAACGCGAAACGGGATCTCCTTGCCGCTTTATACGAGTACAAGGAGTGCAAGAGATTTCAATTGGTCACAGCGAGAGTCAATTTCAGTGAGTTGAAAAGATCGTTGGGTTCAAAAACACCAGAACGCGTGTGTTTTCAAGATTTAAGCACAGAGCACAAATTTTAGGACCCGAGCAACGTGACAATCAGAAGAAACTGCTTCGCAAGGGTGGTTTCCGCTTCGAGGTAAGGGCTCACGGGCAAGTTGGTTTCAATCTAGACCTGGAATTGAATCAGGATTGTCAAACTGGAGCTAAGCTCAATGGCCGGCTCAATGGTCGGCTCAATGGTTGGCTCAATGGTTGGCTCAATGGTTGGTTCAATGGTTGGCCGTCTGGGTCCAGTAGGGTCCTGGTTTATGTTAGGATAGGGTCAGATTTAGGCCCTGGATAGACGGGAGTAGGTAAGGGACCAGGTAAGGGACCATGTAAGGGACCAGATAAGGGACCAGATAAGGGACCAGATAAGGGACCATGTAAGGGACCAGGTCAGGGACCAGGTAAGGGACCATGTAAGGGACCAGATAAGGGACCAGATAAGGGACCAGATAAGGGACCAGATAAGGGACCAGATAAGGGACCAGATAAGGGACCAGATAAGGGACCAGATAAGGGACCAGATAAGGGACCAGATAAGGGACCAGATAAGGGACCAGGTAAGGGACCATGTAAGGGACCATGTAAGGGACCAGATAAGGGACCAGATAAGGGACCAGATAAGGGACCAGGTAAGGGACCATGTAAGGGACCAGGTCAGGGACCAGGTAAGGGACCATGTAAGGGACCAGGTAAGGGACCAGGCAAGGGACCAGGTAAGGGACCAGATAAGGGACCATGTAAGGGACCAGGTGAGTGACCAGGTAAAGGACCAGGTAAAGGACCAGATAAGGGACCAGGCCGAGCTAGAGCTAGACCTAGAGAGCTCCAACTTAGCCACAAAAACTTTTCCTTATTTTAGATATCTAAAAGTTTAGATAGATTTTGTGATATCCAGCTTCAACAAAAAACTTTTTACTTTCACTCAATTTTCTTTCTTTTTACTTAAAATTGCGCGAACTGAGAACAGCGAAAAATGAGTCGAAAGAGGCAAAAGTAAAGCTAAAGAAAATGTGATTCATAAATCGTGGAACGCACTGAACCGATTGCACTAGGAAAAGGACAAGACTAGGAAAAGAGAAGACTATCATCGGATTCGGATAGCCGATTTTTCTTTTTGAGGTCTCCGAATTCTCGATCGCTGGCGGGGACAAATGTTTCCCATTGGACATTGAGTGGACGCCGACGAGTGAACAGGATTTGGCCGTCTGCTTCAACAATGCGATTTATGTTTTTAATGAAGGTGCAAAGTTTAGATGAAATTTGCATAAAGGAATTGGAATAGGTTCAAATTCAAGGTGGGCCATAATTACCTGATCACCTGGAATTGAATCAGGATTGTCAAACTGGAGCTAAGCTCAATGGCCGGCTCAATGGTCGGCTCAATGGTTGGCTCAATGGTTGGCCGTCTGGGTCCAGTAAGGTCCTGGTTTATGTTAGGATAGGGTCAGATTTAGGCCCTGGATAGACGGGAGTAGGTAAGGGACCATGTAAGGGACCAGGTAAAAGACCATGTAAGAGACCAGATAAGGGACCAGATAAGGGACCAGAGAAGGGACCAGATAAGGGACCAGGTAAGGGACCATGTAAGGGACCAGGTCAGGGACCAGGTAAGGGACCATGTAAGGGACCAGGTAAGGGACCAGGTAAGGGACCATGTAAGGGACCAGGTCAGGGACCAGGTAAGGGACCATGTAAGGGACCAGGTCAGGGACCAGGTAAGGGACCATGTAAGGGACCAGATAAGGGACCAGGTAAGGGACCAGACAAGGGACCAGGCCGAGCTAGAGCTAGACCTAGAGAGCTCCAACTTAGCCACAAAAACTTTTCCTTATTTTAGATATCTAAAAGTTTAGATAGATTTTGTGATATCCAGCTTCAACAAAAAACTTTTTACTTTCACTCAATTTTCTTTCTTTTTACTTAAAATTGCGCGAACTGAGAACAGCGAAAAATGAGTCGAAATAGGCAAAAGTAAAGCTAAAGAAAATGTGATTCATAAATCGTGGAACGCACTGAACCGACTGCACTAGGAAAAGGACAAGACCAGGAAAAGAGAAGACTATCATCGGATTCGGATAGCCGATTTTTCTTTTTGAGGTCTCCGAATTCTCGATCGCTGGCGGGGACAAATGTTTCCCATTGGACATTGAGTGGACGCCGACGAGTGAACAGGATTTGGCCGTCTGCTTCAACAATGCGATTTATGTTTTTAATGAAGGTGCAAAGTTTAGATGAAATTTGCATAAAGGAATTGGAATAGGTTCAAATTCAAGGTGGGCCATAATTACGTCCTTACAAAAAAAACAAATACTTCTCGCATTTTGCTAACTAGGCATTTTTGTTGTTTTTCTTTTCAATGTTCTTTCATCATCGCTTTTCGATCATTGTGAACAACAAGAAGCTAATGATCGTAATGTAAAGATCGATTTGTAATGATCGATTCCATTGAAACCCATCAATCCCTCATCTGCTCTCAATTTTCGCTTGTTTTTAGCGGTATTCGAAAAAGTTGAGCCTTGTTTTTCTTGCAAGCAGTAGCAGAGCTGAGGATCCGAGGCAATGGGGTGCTTGAAATCGCCATCTTCTTTGCCATCTTCTTTGCCATCTTCCTTGCCACCTTTGTCATTTGCCTTGCCGACTGGTTTGTCGGCACGACTGGCGACGGCACCCAATTCGGTCCCTCACTCGCTTGATGTTTGTTTTTGTGAGCGTCTACCGCTTCTTGGTGCCTCAGCAATTGTTCCCATAGCTCTTGATGCCTCAGCAATTGTTCCTGTAGCTCTTAGTGCATCAGCAATTGTTCCCATAGCTCTTGATGCATCAGCAATTGTTCCCATAGCTCTTAATGCCTCAGCAATTGTTCCCATAGCTCTTGATGCCTCAGCAATTGTTCCCATAGCTCTTGATGCCTCAGCAATTGTTCCCATAGCTCTTAGTGCATCAGCAATTGTGCATGAAGCAACGAATCGACACGTGGCTGTTACCCGAACATCTCACCCCGATTCTGTGCTGGTCTTTGCAGGAGTTATCGCAAACGGAAAAACGCCTCTTCTTTTTGTTTCACAAGGGATGAAAATCAACAGTAGCAATTATTTGGATTCCATAAAGAATGTGGTGTTGCCGTGAGCTCAATGGCATTTTGCTTGGCGTTGCTTGGCGTTTCTGAACCCATCAACAAGATCAACAAGACGGGGTACCTCAAAAGCCTAGATCTCTAGATCTCTCGATTAACTGGGGCCAAAATTGTACCCTATTTTTTGCAAAGCCAATTTTTCCCTCCTAATTACGAAGGACGTAATGATGGCCCAGCAAAGCTTGAATGAAGATCACAATTCGAATCTAAAACAATTCACATTGCAGCCTCAGAACAGAATCTAGCTAAGAAAAATAGAAAATCATTCGAATCATTCGAATCATTAGAATAAAGAGCTTCAATGCTTCTTTAGACCTTCAAAGCTTCTTTAGAGCTTCACAAACTGAATGGTGAATCCAGAGTGCCCAACGGAGATCACGAGAACTCGAAAGAGGCTCGACTCACGATCAGAAGAGGTATGCAAATTTTGTATTTTGCGAGACATTTGAATATCTCTTTTTTATCGATTTTTACAAGACGATATCGTAACTCAAATCTTTGTAGGCATGTCTGCAAGATGGGGCGCCGGTTTGCCGCCGCCGATCATCTGTGGCTGGGATGAGAGCGGGAGGAAATTCACGTACATCTACCGGAAAAGCCGCTTCACCTGGGACACACAAGAGAACAGGGTTACGAGGAGGAATATGGTCGGTTCGATTTTTAGGGGTTGCATAGGCTTTATGGCCCAGCTGGCGTAGGGCCCAGCTGATCTACGGCCCAGCTGATCTACGGCCCAGCTGGCGTAGAGCCCAGCTGATCTAGAGCCCAGCTGATCTAGAGCCCAACTGACCTAGAGCCCAGCTGACCTAGAGCCCAGCTGATCTAGAGCCCAGCTGACCTAGAGCCCAGCTAATCTAGCACCCAGCTGACGTAGAGCCCAGCTCACTGCATTTTAGCAATTTTGACCATTTAGCATCTAATCTGGACCGTCTCTGAATCTGATCTTAGCTCTAGCCTGGGTCCCAGATAAACCTAGGTTTGCCTGGACCTTGAGAGCCGCTGTCTTCGAGATCTAACCTTGCCTTGACTCTCGTCTACACCTAGCCAGATCTTTAGCCTAACCAAGAACGAAACTTGCCCTATTTCTAGTCTAATCTCTGTGTTAAAGCAATCCTTTTTACAGGATGACAAAATCACGCCCACTTTCTCGACGGTCGAGCGTTTAAATGGGCAAAATGGGAAACGTTGGATCGTCGGGGAAACAGAAAATGGATACGAGGTGAGAGGCTTTGATGAGGCTTTGACGAGGCTTTGATGAGGCTTTGACGAAGCTTTGACGAGGCTTTGACGAGGCTTTGACGAGGCTTTGACGAGGCTTTGACGAGGCTTTGACGAGGCTTTGACGAAGCTTTGACGAGGCTTTGACGAGGCTTTGATGAGGCTTTGACGAAGCTTTGACGAGGCTTTGACGAGGTTTTGAAAAAAAAGAAAACTTCAAACCGAGACTCCAGGTTTGGTCTTTCTCCCATCATAAACTCCATCGCGAATACGAGGCTTTAATCTCGCTTCCCGACACACCGTTTCCGATCAAATTCAAATCTTTAATGAATCCGATTCGAGACATTCAATACGTTGAGCCGAGTCCTCGACCGGATGGATGGAAAGGAGGGATTTGTATCGCGATGTGAGTGAAGAATTAGACTTTAAACCTTGGCTTTAGCAATGAGAAATCGGCTGATACCCGAGCGAGCAGAAACGAAAGTGCTACTGCTAAGAGATGAGCGTTTCTTTGAGAGTAAACTTAGACTACGAGAGGCTCCTATGGGGCTTTTATTAGAGGATTTACGGTGTAATTTTTACTCGATTTTTACTCGATTACTCGACGCTTTTTGTCGAGTAACTACGAGCAATCCTCTTTACACATCGAGTAAATTCGCCGTGTCCTTGCAAACGAGCACACTTTGGGCACACTGGACTATACATAATTTCGGCTATTCCTGGACAGTGTTAGGGCAGAGATTCGCGAGCAGATCTATCCAAGCGAGTCGACAAATAGATCGAGTTAACGATCACGATATTGGATCTGTTATTGGATCTGTTATTGGATCTGATCTTGGATCTGATCTTGGATCTGATCTTGGTTGCTTCATCACCAAACCATTTCCAGAAAGGGCCTAGCTGACTTAGGGCCCAGCCGAAATAGGGCCCAGCTGGCATAGGACCCAGCTGGCGTAGGACCCAGCTGGCGTAGGACCCAGCTGGCGTAGGACACAGCTGGCGTAGGACACAGCTGGCGTAGGACACAGCTGGCGTAGGACACAGCTGGCGTAGGACCCAGCTGGCGTAGGACCCAGCTGGCGTAGGACCCAGCTGGCGTAGGACCCAGCTGGCGTAGGGCCCAGCTGGCGTAGGACCAAGCTGGCGTAGGACCAAGCTGGCGTAGGACCAAGCTGGCGTAGGACCAAGCTGGCGTAGGACCAAGCTGGCGTAGGACCAAGCTGGCGTAGGACCAAGCTGGCGTAGGACCAAGCTGGCGTAGGACCCAGCTGACCAAGCGAGTCGACAAATAGATCGAGCTAACGATCATGATCTGTTATTGGATTTGATATTAGTTAATTCATCACCAAATCATTTCCAGAAAGGGCCCAGCTGACATAGGGCCCAGTATTGGATTTGCAATGGTTAATTCATTACCAAAACATTTCCAGAAACAATCAAATGGGTCAACAGAGTCAGCTCTTCGTTTGGCTTAAAGATCGACCAATTCGACCGTTGGATTTGAAAGGCGAAGAGTCGGCAGTAAGTTCAGCTAAATAAAATCAAATTTGGTTATCGATAGCTATCGATGGCTATTGATGGCTATCGATTGCTATCGTTATCCAATTATCTAAATCTCAATGAGCAAACCTCAATCTCAAGAAATCATCCTTGTTTCCAGATTCGCTGTCTCCGTTTCAAGCGTCAACCGCACTATCTGGCCGCGTTGACCGATCGCTATTTAGACGTTTATAAAGTCGATGGGGAACAGTTGAAAATCACTTGTAATTTGCATTAAGAACTCGTCTTTACTATAGATAACTAAAGAGCTTTCTTCTATCGTCACTTTGATCTATTGTCATTTTTCAGATCGTTACGATCTTCTCAAAATTTCCCCATTTTCGGGTAAAGTGCAATGGAATGATGACGGGCAAAAGATCGTTCTCCATCAAAAAAATCCAAGAACAGGGATGATTGGGGTGAGGAAAGAAGAAAATTTCAAATAAAAACCTTTTTCTTCGACATTAAAGTACGTCTGTACTTTACTGTCTAAGAAACTGATAACTGATAACTCGTTAAAATATTCAAATTTTTTTTCTAGATCACCGCTCTGATTCGCACAAAAATCGACGCACCAGCGCCAGCAGTGGTGGTGGAAAAACTCTGAAAGACTCAAATTTGCACATTTCTTTTTAGAAATCCAAAATTTTGGCTTATCTATTTGCCGTAAAAATAAAGTGTTTTTAAAATTTGAAATCAAATACAATTTACACAAGTAAACGAGTCTTTTACAAAGCAAATATCAAATGAAATCGTAAAATGAAAAATCGAAAAACTACACGTTTTGTTTCCGTACACAAAAAAAGGGGAAATGAAATGAATTGGCTAATAAAACAAAGAAGAGGACAAGTTCAGTGATTTTCCAACCGGGTTTTACGGTCTACAAGAAAGGCCAAGTCAGCCAAGCAAGAATTGGACAAGTCAAAGGTCAAAAAAATTCATTCTGAACAATTCGTTACCTTAAAACCATTGTTTGTTCAATAAATTGCTTCATTTTCTGGGTCAAAATTGAAAAACCAAGTAAAAGCCAGGTAAAAGCTGGCTTCTGACTAGGTTGGCTTGACCTGAGCCTAGCTTGACTTCGAAAATTTCGGTTTAGAATATCCATGAACAAGTTTGGGGTGGGGAGGGAAAAGATGATAAAGACATGAGAAAGACTAACTGATGATTTTGGGAGCGATTCACGCTTGAAATTCGGCTTGTTTGTTGTCTCAGAAAAGCTAGCGCTGTTCAAAATTCCCAGTCCAGGCCATTTTTGACCTGATTTGGCCTGAAAATTTCAAAAACCTAACTTTCCCGAACTAAAAGCGTATAATGCTCATCCGTGAAAAAGAAATCGATCAGCTTCCTTTAAAAAAAAGCGATAAATTTGAATAGGATAGACAACAACTAGATGATCTTTTGAAGGACAAGAAAAACAAAACAAACATGAATGGGTATGGAATGGATTAACAAAGCAAAAAAAGAGAAGAAAATCCGTTACTACCCTCGTTTTCCCACTTGAAAGTAGTGCCCGTTTTATGATGAAGAAGCAATGTCCACCGACGATGTCGAGGTACCCTTATCGAATTGATTCACTGAAAAGAAGGAAAATATAGTCATTGCTTTGTAATAAAGTACAGTATTATGCTCTTATAAAAGTACGTACCGTTAAAAGCTAAGAAAACTTCAGAATTTTGAATTATCTCTGAATGGATTATCCCTGAATCTCTCAGAAAGATCGGAGTAAAAAAAATTTCATGAGGGGTAACACATGATTTTTTTTTTCCACATTTTCTAATGAATTGAATCTCTAAGAACCCTAAGAAAATCGAGCCCAAGCAATCGGTTTACGCCACTTTTTTTTAGCATTGAATGCTTCAACTCTATTAGATTAGATATGATAATGCTATCACGTACTATTATCAATCCACTTATCTACTACTTATCAGCAACAAAACCACTTACCAATGTCGGTGACAAGTTGCGGATGATCCTTGAGGATAGCGTCCCAGCCTTGCGTATTCGTGATGTGTTTGGGTCGTTGCAGGATGAACTGGAAAGAAAAACATGGTCATCAAATAGATAATTGATAGCAAAACTTGAAAATAATAGTCTATATGTTGTGTCCGATTTGGATTAAATAAGTCACCAAGGTTAAATTTAGCCTCGATTAAAAAAATTCAGCTGCAGTGAGCCTAGTTACAGTACCTTTATCTTTTGTCCTTTTTTATTGGCTTTCCTAGAATTTCCCCACTCCAAAATGTTGTTATGCTTTCTGACACCAAATCATTTACATCTTTTATGTAAATCGTTATGAGCCTCACTTTTCGCAACTTCTTGAACATTTTCGTAAATTTTCGTTAGAATCCTTCTGATTTCGTTTTTACCCAAACTTTTTATCTATTTTCTCGATTTTTACAGCATATAGGCCAACTGAAGCACAAAAAAAAGTAAAATTGATCATTTCAAGCGCTTCTCCATTCTAAAATACGCAAAAATCTTAAAAATTCAGTATAAGTGCTCATTAAAGGCTCTATAAAGTGCTCATTAATGCTATTCTAATCTCTTCTTACGCAAAACCTTTTACAGATTCATAAAAGCTAAGAAACCCTCAAGATAACAGTAAAAACACGTTATTGTAGCGCTCGAGATTGTTTCAATCCAAAATCGAACACAACATATATATGATGATACTCTGACAAATTTAACATCCAAGATTCATTATCAAATCCCTTACTTGAACAGCTCGTTTCCTCAATCTCGGTGCTCCATACATATCACCAAGAATCAACATCTCACAAACGTTCTCAATCGACAACTGCTCCATCAACGTCTAAAACAAAAACAGGATAAGTATCAGATTTAGAATTCCCACCTTTTCACAATGAGCTTTTAGCTCTTCCAAACGATATTTATCCGCAGCGATCAACAGATCCGAGGCTAAACAAAACAATTTTTATTGTCCGGCATTATTAAACGCACCAATATGATTGATATCTTTTCCACAGCGTCCACCATAAATATAATTGAGCATCTCGACGACAACCTCGTAGTCCAAATCCGGAATCGTCATCTCTGACTAAAACAAAGAGATTTATGAGAAGCCAATCGATTTTTAAGGACTATAAGCATTTACTAGTTGATAACAATGTTCTTAATAGGCGAACATGAATAACATGAGTATACAAAAATGATTCAAATGATGCACGGTTAAAGAATTTAATTCCTAACTAGCTAAGGCAGGTTATGAGACTGCAGTGCTTTCATCAAAACAGTCCATTTTATGGCAAAAGTTCAGATCAATGCCACAAATCCATCAGAAGCTCACATTTTTCGACTCATTCGTATCGGTGTGCATCAACATTGCGCTAAAAACGGGTGATCGAGCTGCCAAAATTGCCCGATGAGCGCGCACCTCGCGTCCGCCAACCTAGAAATGAAGAAAATGTAGTCAGATATGATACGACTTGTTAAAGCTAAATAGGATTTAACTTCTCTAACCGAAATTCGTAAAGTTCTAAAATGTGAATCTCACCCTAATCGAGAAATCGGTCAACACGTCGTCCCTAAAGATCCGCATGTAATCGTCAACGAGTTGTTGCTCACAGTTTACCGCCTGTAAATCCCGTTCAAGAGGTGAGGAAAAAAAGAAACGGAAATCACATTGAGTGGGCGATTTAAAGATACTAAACCTTTTTTGCACACAATAAAACTAAGTCAACAAGGTTGAATTTAGCCTCAATTAAAAAAAACTCAGATGCAGTGTGTTTAGTTACAGTACCTTTAAATGTACTCTTATTGGATTTTCAAAAATTTTCCAACTTCAAAATGTTGTCATGCTTTCTGACACCAAATCATTTACATATTTGATGTAAATCGTTATGAGCTTCACTTTTCGCAACTTCTTGAACAAGTATTGTTATGTGAGAGACAATATTGTTTCAGAGTTGCATAGTGGGAGGACCAAGGCGGGAGTCGAACCACGCCCTTGAGGGTGGAAACTTGACGGCTAACCGATTGAACCACAATGGCATGATACGGAGAAATGAAAAAAGAGAGCTTATACGTCGCTGTAACCTAGATTTCGGCCAAATCTTTATCCCTTACATGTTTGAAACACAAATTATTCAGTAACTTGTGTAAGAAAGTGGCCAACCGATGGCATTTTATTTTACAATTGCTACAAAAAGACTCTATGCAGTTTTAAAAGGCCAAATCATCAATAAAATGATGAAATGTTCGACAGGAAATGCTGCCGACCCCAAAAACTAACCACTAATTGCTCCGTTGTTGTCGTGATCGTCTCCACAGCGACATCAATCTCGACTTGCACGATGATGAGATCTCGGGGAAGAATTTGAGGGAAGAGAACGTCTCGCTGAAAAGAAAATAATGAATTGGCAAACAAATAATTCGATTGATTACCTTTATATATGAAACATAGTCGGAATGTGATGGGTTCGGGTGAATTCTCATTTCGATCTCTTTATTTTCCGCAGATCGAAGCATGAAGCGTGATTTGAAGCCAATCTTCGGGCTTTTCGAGATTCCAGTGGGGATCTGAAAGTCAAAGAAATAGGTAGAAAATGTTTAAAATTCGACTCTATCTAGGGCAATTTTCTCTATTCCGTAAAAACTGACCACTCGATTGAGACACAAAAAGACGAAATCCTTGTTGTTTTCTCCGTTTCCTTTCGGGTAAATCTTGATGCTCCACGTCAACTGCTCGTCACCTCTAAAAAAGAAAACGATTGAATAAAGATTCTATTACTGAAAGTTTACCGATTCAAGTGCACGAAATTCTCGAGATATTCCTGGTAACAGTGCGAGAAGTTCTTCACCGTCCACGAGTGAGTCACGTTCTAAAACAAAAAAAAATGAGATCAATTGGCTAGATCTAGTTCTGTTAACTTTTCTTTCTTTGTCTAGATAATTAGCTAAATATCGCTCTGTTAACTTTTCTTTAAATTCAAAACGGTTTTCCCCTTAATTTTTGCTCATTTTTTTCATTTATCATAAAATCAGAGAGTTCTGATGTCAACCAGAAAATCAAAATTTCCTCTCACCTCGACTTTGATCTCCGTTTGACTCGAATGCGCCATGTGGTGAAGAGCCGACGAATCGATCGGCACGTTCAAGTCCGTCGCCGACGGTTCCATTTTGTCTTCGGGTGTCGACAGAAACACGAAGTGAGAAGAATACGGTTTAATCGAGTCGAAATTGGCACACAACCGATTGGAGCCTGGAAAAGACAAAACTATCATTTGAGAATGGAAATTTTCATCAAAATTTGAAGAAAAATAGCACAAAATCACAAAATCAATCTGTTCAACTCTATTGCAAGGAAAATTTCTCTAGTTTGTTGTCGAGAGGGTGAGAAAAACGATAAGAGGGAATCACTTGGTGAAAGCGTCACTCAGAAAGGAGAAAAAAAACGGTTAATCATCCAAATTTTAAGAGTTTAGCGTAATTTTTGGGACTTTGTCCCTTCAAAAGTGAATCGCCCAGGTACAAGGGTCGTTTTTATATCAATTCAAGAAATTTTTAGTTGAAACTTTCCAAAAGTTTAATTCTAAAATTTTGACGCTTGTCTGGAAATTGTAACAAACTGTCTAGAAATTGTAACAAACTGTCTGGAAATTGTAAAAATGACACAAACAAAAATTAACGATTTTTTACTTCGTTTAACTCTAAGGCAAAAAAAAACACCAAAAGTACCGTATTTCCCAACTTCAGGGCCAAAAAAATGAACTAGTAGAACTATAAAAACGGAAAAATCGCTAAAATGCCGATCAGACATTGAAATAAAATGGCATTGAGAATCGAGGGGAATGGATGGAAAAGAAAACGAGAAAGGGAAAGGGGAAAGGCTGGGGAAATCGATTTCGGCACAAAAAGGGATATTTGTGTGAAGGAAAAGAGAGGAAAAAAGATGAGAGAAATAGAGAAATTTGGGAAGAAAGGAAGTGAAATGACCCAAAAGATCTGTGGAAAGCTAGGAAATCTCAGAGTCAAGATTTCAAGTATTGCAACTTTATAATTGAAAGTATATCACCCTAGCAGGTATGACAGATCAAAAACATTGGTACTGTAATTGGTAAAGGCAGTCAATTTCAGTATCAAATCTAATCTGAATCCAGTCCGAATCCAGTCTGAACCGATAGCTTTTCTAGAGGGAATGGGAGTGGGACAAATGCTACCTTTTTTGCGCACCCGGACATTTGTGCATCTTTTTTGCGCATCCGGCCCATTAGCGCACCTTTTTCGCGTTTTAAAAAGCTCTAAAAACTTATATTAACCAATCTCCATTCAAAAACTTGTTTTTCTGGGTAATTTTAGGGTGTAGAATCGAAATTTTGACATATCAGAGCTTGTGGAACCAAACGGACGAAGTTATACGTAGGGAAAAATCGACAATTTTCTGAAATTTGACCTATCCATTTTCCCTTTTTCAAATTGATTCCACAAGCTCTGATATGTCAAAAATCTCGATTCTACGCCCTGAAATTACCCAGAAAAAACAACTTTTTGAATGGAAATTGGTTAATATTAGCATTTTAGAGCCTTTTAAAACACGAAAAAAGGTGCGCTAATGGGCCGGGTGCGCAAAACAGAAAGTCGCATTTGTCCCACTCCCAGAAAAAGTATCGTACTTCAAATGGCCAAAAAAGAATCCAAAAATGAAAAGATCTGGATTCAAAGAAAGAGATTTCATTTCAAAACCAACCAACCTTTCAAAATCAACCTTCAAAATCTCCCGCAATCGTAACCCACCAAAATTTCCGCCTAAAAAAGTTCCAACTGTTCGTTTAAGCAAAAAAAAAAGAGGAAATCAGGTCATTTCGCAAAAAGTTTCCCGCACAAAATCGCAAAAAGAACAATAATTTCAAATAATTTCGGTGAAAACCGAATCATATTTCAGAATCTCAAAGAAAATCTCCAAATTTATTGCACTAGTGTAAGAAGAAATTTGACAATAATAACAACAACAACAAAAAATTCTAGCATTTCAATAAAGGTGACAAAAGCTTACCCGTAAACGAAAATTTTTCTCACTTTTCGCAAAGAAAGCACCAAAACACGTGTTTAAAAGGCAAAATAAATTAAAAAGAGAAATAGATATACAAAATAGAGAAATAGAGAAATTTCCATATCAAAGCATTACTGTTCATCAAAACATTACTCTTCATCAAAACGTTACTGTTCATCTAGAAACGAACATTCGAGTGGCATTTTTGAGAGATCTGAAATGAAAAAGTATTCCTTTTTTTCAGTATTAGCGATATTTTTGATTAACTTGATTCATCAATTTCACTCTCTAAAGGGTTTTTCGAAAAATTCGGCTCTAATTACAATTACCCAACTACAAGCACATTTTTTAATATCCAATTGTTTTTGGTATCCAATCCAATATTTTTCAACCAATCTCTTTCCTAAAAAGTGTCCTTTTACCCAAAAATTACCATAAGCTTGTCTCAATTTTTCATCAAATCTATCCACTTTTTTTATTTTTCAATATATTTTGTGAATCTTCACAGAATCAGACTAAGATAGGTAGATAGATTGGATCAAAATCGCAGCAAGATTACGATAGTCGAGAAAGTGGGACACGTTTTAGAAACGGATTAGAACCACAAGCCAACCTTTTTATTCTGCTTTCTCATTTTCACATCTTCCCATCCATCGCTGCTCAAATCACCATCATCCGGTTTCCGAATTTCTCCCGAATCGCTCAATTCCTCTTGGCGAGTCGGTAGTTCGATCGTTTCCATCGAAATATTTCCCTCGTTTTCACTTCTATCCGTTATTGAGGAACTTGAACAAAAGCCCTAAATGAAAAGCTTAGATACCATGCATTAGAAGTTTAAAGGCTTATTCAATTTTTAAACCAATTCAAATCCAAGATTTCAATTTTAAAAAACACACCGACGCCTCCGTGTGCACAAATAACACCGGCGTGCTGTTCGTTTTGAGTGCTTCCGCCGGATGGACGATATTGATTCGCTTCGACAACTTCATGTAATCAAGTAATCTAAAGTAAAAAATATAGTATTCACCATCTACTTATCAATAACAACCATATTTACCATATACTACAAGTCTACTCACCTTTTAACATAGTCCAAATCCAATGGCGGCACTAATAGAAGAGCCGAATCGTTTTCAGCAGTTCGAGGCTCTGTTCCCACCCATTTCAACGTAAATCCCTAAATCAAAAATAGTCTACAAACAAAACATTAATACTTACCTTTAACCACAATCGATACTCGATCTGCTCCTGTTTAAAAGTTAATAAATTTCCAAGAATCGAACCGCGATAGTGGCTTTTCCAACGTGCCGAGATGGGACGATCACTGAAATAAAAATTTATTTGAATTATTAGAATGTTTACGAAGTTCTGATCAATTTTGATTGTTTTTAGATGTTAGATGTTACGTTTTATCAGAATGAATATGGTAATCAAGTTTTCTAAAAAAAAAAACTCACGGTATAAGCACAGATTTCAACGAGATGAGCGCTTTCTCAAAGGCGAATCGAACACTCTGGATATTGTACGTGGAACGGCCAACATCGTTGCCTAAAACCAATAAAGTTCATTTGGCTAACCTTTACTGTTACACTTTAATTTGTGCATAGTCATAACACTGTGCATAGTCGTAACACTAGTAGTTTTTACTCATTAAAAGTCATTTAACCTCTTTTAACCATTTAACCTCTAATGTCAGCTATTTCCTCGATGCTCAAGTAATTATTTCAATCAGAGCCACGTCTTCCGATAGCTTTATGGTTTACCTGCCAACAATGGATCCTCGATGCTCAAGTAATTATTTCGATCAGCCACCTCTTCCGATTTGCGCACATACTGTTTCTCTTTCACCTAAAACATTGTACTTATTGCACTAAAACATCTTAAACATTTCACTTTTTAAAAAGCCCAACCTTAATCTCTAGATCCGAATAGTTGAACTCGAGAGCGAAAATCTAGAATTGATCGACGTTGATTGATTGAAATTTTCAAAGAACCTCAAGAAATCGCAACAACAAGATTCCCAAATTGACCCGTGGATCCTCGTAGCCCAAGTAGCGCAAATGATCATAGTTTGTCTAAAAGAAAAACGATTATAATGTCAAAATTTTAGCTATGCACACTATTTTGACATAAATAAGAATAGATTTTTCATTGGTTAAACAATTTTCATTTTCAGGTACAGGCTAAGCACGATTACATCATATTATTGTCAATTTTTCGATAATAAAACCTGCAACCATTTCCTGGTTGACTGGAATTCATCATCTTTTTTGCAAAACATTTCATTTGATCAATTTGATCAAAGTCAGAAGAGGAAAACAAAAGATAGGTGAAAGGCTAAAAACGAGGGAAAACAAGGGAAAGAAACTCGTGACTCTCAATGTCCCTTTCACCCTTTTTCCTATGTCTAGTAATGCTATGAGTGAGCCAAAAACATGAGAATGAGGAAAGAGAAGGGAATCGCAATGATCTCTGAACTATTCTCCGTGTTGTTATTGACAGCTTAATGATAGCTTAACGACAGCTTAATGATAGCTACTACAAGCTTTTAGCTTTTACAAGCAATTTAGAAGAATCGAGCATACAAACAGCGTTGTTGTCGCTTCGATATCTCATCGAAAGGCTGGAAAAAAACGAGAAAATGAGCAATGGACAAAACAAGAGCCAAATATTGATTAGGATTTCAGAAAGTTCTACTTAAAGTGCTAGAACTTGAGCCAATCAACAACGAATCTCTAAAAAATTCAATGCTAAATGCTAAATGTCTAGATTTGAATCCTGTAAGGGTTCAACTTTCAAAACTGCAACTTATGACGATTCAATGGGTCTTTCAATTCAAAATCACCCCAAAGAAATCGCCGCATTAATCTGATCAACGATAATTTTTCCCCCGAATCGAGAAAAAAAAAGCGATCACAAAATGGCAAAAGATTTTCCGAGAAAAGTGAGCGGCTCAAACTACAACAAACCACAAAACCACAAAACGCTCACGCATCGCTTTGTGAGGCAATTTCACGTACAGTAAATGCTGCTCGGATGAGAAATCGAAAGTTCAACTGAAGTAATTTTAAGGGAATGCCAAAAAGGCTCATAGTTCAATGTTGTTGTTGTTGTTGTTGTTATTCAATGTTAAGCTTCAATGTTGCAAAGATTGAAGATAAAATACTGAGGTCAGTCTAATTCAGCTAGTCAAAGCAAGCAAGGAGGAGAAATATATATGGAGAAGAGTTTGATTGACCTTGCCAAAATCTGCCAGTACAATCCATCAGGAGGCCAGCTGCTAAAGATTTCCAGCAGTTGATTTTAAAATTAAGTTCGAAAACTTGAAGTTCGATGCTAATCGTCAACGAGATGCAAAGGAACGCAGCAAGAAAAAGAAAAGGAAGAGAAACGGGCCATTTCAAAATCAACTACTATCTTTCACCAATAGATTCTGACCAGACCAAAGCACCAATCGATTCAGCATCAGTTACAAAGTTTATCAAGGTTTAGCTTACAAAGTGTACATAAACCTTAATTCAAGTTTTCAAATCCAAACACTCGAATGTCCAAAACAAGTCATTACGTCGATGTGACGTAATATGACGAAGAAAAGGGGGATTTTCAAGCACTGCATTTCAAAATCTACTAACAACCACAAAGCTTTCCAATAATTTTGTGTCAGTATAAAGCTCGACAAGGCTTGATTTAGATCAGAAGTTATAAAGTTTCCAAATCCAAAAATTCAAATAGCCAAAAACGAGTCAATAAGTCAAAAATGTGGTTGGGGAAAGGCGGGAGAGAGAGAGAGAGATGGAAAAGGGGACGGGCATTCCATCTCAAATGGGTGAGAGCAATGAGCAGTCAGTTGATGGAAAAAGAAAGGGAGAAATGTGGAAAGAAGGTAAAAAGAAGCGCTTGCATCGATTAAAAGCGTTAGAGAGAAATGGCGAACACACACGAGAAAGAGTCAAAGAGGGGAAGAGAAACATCAAATGTTGAGAAGAGGCGACGTAGAGAGCCTAAAAACCTTTTCGGGGCGGGGAGTCCAGCAAAGAGAGACTACGGCGTTGTTGAGTTTAGACCCTCACAAACATTGAGAAAACGTCACATCGCTTTTTCTCTCTGCAAATCCCTCTCTTTTCTGCTCAATCCAAAATCCAAACATCAACGAACAAGGTTGAGTGGAGAAGATTGTTGTTTTAAGTTTTTTTTTCTCATCGATGAACACATTTCATTGAAATGACATGTTTGTAGAGCTTCATTTGTTAAAGTTAGTCAGAAACTTAAACAACAAAACTTATGCTTGAGCACGTACATTAAACAACATTAAATAACATTAAACAAACATTGTTTATATTTTTTTAATGCTTATGCAACATCAAGACTTATTTAATGATTCGTTTTATCGATTAAAAATGGTACTGCTACTGGTAAAAATGGCTTTAAACTAAAGTTCGAAGGGTAAATTTTAGTCTAAGCCATTTCATCGAACTAGCGGGTTTGGCATTTCATTTTACCCTTTTAAAACTTCGGAAACTTTTGCCAATTTCATTTTTTAGCCTTTTTCAAATTTAAACCCCCCCACGTTTTACTTAACTCAAAGAAATGTTGAACCATCAAAATCAATCCATACGAAGAGAGGCCACCACGAAATGTGTAATTGAGAAGTCGCTCGCTCAAATATTGCTTCAGGAAGAACACCAGTGGCTCGAGCGATGGGAATTCGTCTCTCACCTAAAGAGAGTCTATTGGACCATTTATCAGTTAAAATCCGTACCTTCTCGAAATGCTCAGCCGCGCGAACACCCTGTTGGGTGTTGAAAGAGATGTCGATGCTAATCTTCGTGTCTTTGTCGACAACCTGAAAATGGTATCTATTAAAAGATCAACATATCAACAATTCACCTTTATGATCGGCACTGGAGTGTCGGTAAGCGTCGAAACATCGGTAAACCCGTTGTTGTGCAAGAATGTCGCGGCGGTGGCCTAAAATTGAGTAAAAAGGCGAAAACTCCAATCATCAAACAGCCAAAAACTCCATCATCAAACAGCCAATCAAACTCACTTTAATAATTTCATTTGCAGGCTCCGTTTGCTCATTCGCTTCATATTCGACAAGCACATCAATATCGGAGCTGGGAAGGAAAAGTTTCGTTCGAAGACTCCCGAAAACGGAAACACGAAGACCATCCAAGTTGGCCCAACGTTCGCTGATCGTCTTGGTCACCTGAATATGGTGAATTACAAAACGGTTAAATAGTTTCGGTTTTGATTTCGTACTCGCAAAACGACTATTAAAAGTTTAACAATAAACCAAACCTTCTCGAAGACTTGATATCGAATTTTGGTCTCAATCTGGCTCGGTCGCAACCAATTATACACATCGATTAGCTCTTCATGTAGTCTGAAAATAAAATCTAATATCTATAAAATGATCAAGTGAATCCGAAGCTCTTTAAATCGTTAGTTTAACTAATTTAACTAAACGATAACTATTCAGCTAAACAAAGGCTTGGTCTAACGAGTTCTCACCAAAACCATGATTTACATAAACATTTAGCTTCTTACATACTCAGCTCTCTATTTTCAAAGGATTTTAGGGTACGAAGTTTGGCTAATGTCTCGTTAAGCCAAACCTAATCATACAAGTTTTCACGTATTTCCCAAAAAACCTACCCTTGAATGGAGAGCGGATATCGGCGAGTTGCCCACGGAGCGAACACCTGATCGTAGCCAAATGGAAGTCTAAAAGAAGAAAAATCGATCAATCTTCATTAAATTAAACTTTGAAGCGTTTTAAGTGATTCAACTTTTCAAAAACCTTACTTTTCACTGAAACCTATCTCCGGCGCAGCGTTCACCCAATTGTGATAGAAAGGATTGTAGGGTTCCATTGAACGGAACTGATCTGAATTGGAAAACAATTAGCTGTCACGCCTTTACATCTGGCCTTGCTCTTAAAAATTGATTATCAATGCAAGCAATAGAGACTTTCACGGCTTGATACCCAAAAAGATTATTCATAGACAGCATAAAACCTTTATAAAAGCATTTCTACAAAATTTCAATTGCGACATTGAGCAGAAACTGATAAATGTTTTATCTAATCACTGGCTTACACACAGAGAAAAGTTTAAAAGCGGAATATCAAAGTGAAATTTCTTCTCAATATTCATCGTCCGAGTCGAGGGCGACGCGTCTGCGATCAAACTAAAAAAAGCCAAGTTAAAAAGTAGGTAAGTAAAAGCTATAACTGACTCTTGATTCTTCTTGTACTGGTTTTAAACCTTGGAAAAACCATCGTGTACGATATTTAAAGCTATTAAACAAAAACACTAGTCATACTTAAAGGTTGTTCAACAAATTTAAAAAAATTTACCTTGACGGTCGTAGTTTTGTGTGTTTGTTCGGAGACTTTCTCGAGAAGTGCCTTCAAACTTTCATCCGACATTCGCCCGACGATTTGTCCTCTTCTAAACAAATCAATATAAACTTTTGCTTGATCAAGGGTCAACTTTCCTAAAGATATGTGGCTAGCTCATATAGCTCAGATTCATTAAAATGATTCATTTTAGAAGTAAACCACGCACTTTGCCATATTAATGATCGTTTGTTGAACGAGTTGCGCCTTTTCGGGTTTCGCCGCCGCCAGATTCGATAGTCGCACGAGAGCTGGTTGTTCCAAAATCTGAATCAACAAAAATTAGATATTTTTATGAAATTAGCTGTTTTAAAAGCTAATTGATCAAAATTTGTTCTAAAGAGTCAATTTCCTCGGGATTCTCGAAACTTTTTTCACTCTTCTATACTAAAACAAATAAATCAGAACTTTTGCGTACTTTTAAAGAAAACTAAACCTGTGACAACATCTGATTTATAGCATTCTCTTGTTTCTCGGCCATCTCTCGCGCTTTCTCCGGATTGGACCCTCCCTAAAAACTTTAATTTCAAGAAAACGGCAAACTTTCCCTACCTCGAATCCCATTGGTGCATTCATTTTGATGTTTCGGTTATCTGAAAATAGCACAGTTCACTAAAATAACTAAAAAAAAGAAGCAAAATAAGCTGTCTACACCTATTAAAGTTTAAAGAATTCAGTCAAATAGTGATTTAACTGATTCGGTAGTTAAAAATCTCTTACTCATGCCAATATTGCCGTTAAACAGTCCGGAAATTTTGTTAATTCCTAAATTGCTTTCAAAAACTGCCAATCATTCAAGACAACTCTTAGCCAAAATAACCTTTCCATGCCTCAAAAACGCGATAAAAAGTATAAATACAGCGGTAAAAAAAACAGTATCGGCACCTTCTCGAACATTTCACATACTAATTAAAAATTTTCTTTCTATCCATGGATTTTCAATAGGGTTTAAATTTTTAGATACTACAAGAACTAAACTTTTTATAGGTAGAAAAACTTTTAAACTGAACGTTTTATTCGAGGAGAACAATTCATACGTACAAAATAGTGCAAAATAAGCATTGAATTGATATCTTTGTGTTTTCTCACTGTAGAATTTGTTTCTTACCTGTTTTCGAAAAAGTTTGAACTATCTTTTAGTGATTTAATGATGCTGAATCTGAATCTGAAACTGAAACTGGAAACAGTTCGTCAATAGCTCTTTTAGTTTTCGAGGTCTGAAATACCCATTTATACCGGAAAATAGTGTTTTGCGTTTTCATGGTCAAAACTTTTTTAGATTAGTCTGTCAGATCAAATGGCTTCGTTTTTCGAAAACTAGAAGAAATTTAGCACTAAATACTTTTTGGGAGCAACCTTTTCGCGGCGGTTTAGAGGGTCGAAAACATGGTTGAAAATGCAAATTCACTCAAAATAAGCAAAAGTCGGACCTCAAACTGTTGCTATCCCCTCAAATAAGGGGAATAACAAAGAGATGAACAAATTTAAAAGTATCACAAAAAAGGATCAAACCCGTAAACAAATAACGATAAGAAAGATCTGAAGTCACTCGTAACTTAGAAAAAAACAACGCGAAAATGAACATAAATTTGTGAAATTGAATCCCAACCATTAAAAACAACGCATGAATTTTCAAATTGAAAGATACCAAATGGAATATCTTGAGTAATCACTTAAACATCGCCTCAATTTCCTCGTCGTCTGCGGTAGGCCAAATCTTGCGGATCCTGTTGATGGCATTCTTCTTCTCCTCGGCATCCATCGGCACACACGGTTCGTCAAATTGCTCAGCCATCTCTTCACGTCTCGCACCACTGTTGATGTAACTCTAAAGAAAGAAGAATTTCGATACAAGCTATTGTACGGCAAAATCCTCATGATCATTCCGTTTACCGTGACCTAATAGATCTGTTGACTCTATTCCAATGACGACCGTTAATATTAAATCCGTTATTATTCCAATTTTTCCTTATTTTTTTCATAAAATAAGCACAAACCTCAGGGAACTCCCTTGCCTTGCTGTCATCACCTCCATTTCCGCTCGAAAATGCAAAAAGATTTTATAAACAACAAAAAACTCACCCAAATCGTCTTCATTGTCACTCGGTCGTAATTGTATCGTGCGTACTTCGGCATAGGAGTTGGCTAAATTTAAAGACTTTAGAGAACAGAAAAGTGCTAAAAAACCAGGAATACGCTGTTTTGGCAGCGAGCGATGATAGCCGGGACAAAGTTGTTGTCGAGGTACTCCCTGAGCAAGGCATGTTCCATCGGCTCCTGCAATAAAAAAATTTGTTACTACGTCACTACTAATTTGAAGCCCCTGTGCCCGTATATCAGTAGAATTTAGATTTGCTACCCAAATAAACTCACATCTTTTCCCGGTCGCGAGTGCGTAGAGCCCAGCCAAACGGGTGCTGGACCCGAATGGACTGGAATGTGCACTGGTTCCATGGCGATCATCTTCTTGTTCTCGAAGTATGTCGCCAGCTTGTTCGAGTCGTCGCTGCGGATCGTTACATTCATCACCGGGTCCAATCTCTAAAAATACCAATTAACGAATTTTACATAAGTTTAAATTGTTTACAATTTTTTTTGGATAAGAAAGTAAACCATTTCTTAGATGAACCGACATCAACATCAATTTTAGACATATTGCCCGTACATGTAAAAACTTCACTCACATTTAATCGTATGGCCTCAAGTCGATAATATTCTTTACGTTCGGGGCCAATTCCCTGAAATGAATGAGTTTGATGCATTTTACCGTAAAGGGGATCAGCGTACAAAAAAACTATCCAAATTTCCATAATCTAATTATAAAAGTTGAAAAATGCTTACTTGATAGATGTCACCCATAAGCCGAAGATCGGAGTTAGTGTAAGCCCGACCGTGTAAGCGTCGAAAAATGTCCCTTCCATCGCGTTCCACGAACAGCCAAAAGGAAGTGAGCTTTCTGAAATTTGAAAAAGTTACTTCGATAAAATGGCAACTACCCAGATTGTTTATGGGTTTTTGGTTGAAAAGCCATTGTCGCTTATCGCTGCTGTTAACTGAAATTTTAACGATATAGAAACATTGGGAACACGGAAAGGGTGCAGTAAGTGAAGCGAGAAGGTTGACTTTTTAGACAAGACCGAAAAAGACCATGAATCTACAGATTCAGTATATCAAAAACACTCTCTTGAAGACTAGGAGTACGGTAATAAATTAACTACTAGGTACAATAATAGTCAGAGAGACTCCACTTCATTCCTTGATCAAAAGCTTTTGAAATGATCGGATCCAGTGAGAAAAGTTTATTTAATTGTCTGAATGTGTGAACAAAAATTTGTTAGCTGGCTGTCAAAGTTGTTAGTCACGAACTATTAGTTATTAGCGTGCATCCGATCAAGAGGAACAAGAAAGATAATTCACTAATCAACATCAAAACCAACACTTTCTCACGACATCCTGCAAAAATTCACATCAGGCTTTGAAAACCTTTCAAAAATCCACTTTCCCTAAAGAAAAGAAACTTTATTACCACCAAAGGAAAGAGCAAAAAATGAACGAAACAATACTCACAGAGCGATGGAAAACAAAAAAAAACAATAAAAGAGACAAAAAATGATAAGAGAAACTCACCGAGAATATCACAATATCAAATATGGTAAATCTATGCACATGCCGTAAAAGGAAAATGAGTGACAAAATCCATGCAAGAGAAAAAAAGCTATACAAAAGGAAGAACATTTTCGGATTTCAAGTGTCACACAGAAGAGAGACTAGAGCTTTCGAAAAAGGAATAGACAAAAAGCGACAGTAACCCTATCTGAAAAAAACTTATCTACAGTAATCCGAAAAAAGAGAGACAAGGCAAGTATACCAATCAAATCACACACCATGTAAGAAAAATGCTTCATGTAAGAAAAAAGAAAGCATAACCGTCGTTGTACAAACATACTTTTTATGCGGCTTAAAACTAGGGAAAATGTAAAGCGATGCAAAAAGTTCACACAGATATCACAAGAGAATTGGATAAGATCTTGTAAAACACACAAAAGCACAACCCACTAGACATAAAGACAATGTGAAACGAACATGGAATGGAGATTAAAGGCCTTCTTCTAAAGCTGCCAATGTTCGGCGAAATCCACGTAAAGAGCCTGCTCGAGACGAGAAATCGCTGCCGAATAACCCAAACGACCGGAGAGAATGTTTGCGTCGCGCCAGAATGGAGAGCCGGCTTTCTAAAGAAAAATACATTATCTCGTGAACGTTTGCTTAAAAGCGCTAGCGTGTTCCATTTCCCTAGGTCTAGTTATAGTCCAACATGGCCAAAAAAAGGTCAAAAAGTCGCAATCACCTGATTTTTCTGTCCAATCGTTCTTCCGTGCATGGTAAGAGCGTAGAAGAATGGTCGCAGTTCATCAAAAGACGTCAACAACTTCATTCCCGACAACGTCGCCGGTGTTGAGTCCAACTCGATTTCAGTGAATTGTCCATACTAAAAATTTCATTAGTTAATAAAGAGCTTCACATCTACATCAATACGTAATTCTAATTCTTCCAACCCCAACCTTTGTCTGAAGTCTTTTGCTAATACGATTGGCAAACGGTGTGAAAACAGCGGGATTCTCACCGGTGGCCACCGATGTGACAAAGGCCCAATTGCACCTAAATTGATACGTTGTAATTTGACGAAATGTTCAACATACATCTGAAATTGAGCGACATAACCGGCAGGTAGTGTGCACAAAGCTTCTAGAAGTTTCGAGGAGGCCAAGAAGAGTTGCATCCATTGATCGTCACGTGCACCGTACTAAAATTTAAAACTTAACGATGAAGTGCTTCATGGTAAACCTCTTCTTTATTCCCATCAGCTGGATCATCAGAAAGTTGTTGTTCGACTTGAAGTAGCACGTGAATCTAAATCAAAAGGTAATCTCATTTTTCTTCTACATTAACTTACCAATTCTGTAACCATCGCCGGCCACATGCTGACAAGAGAATGTGGGCGAAGACGAATCAAAAGCACTCGATAACAGAGAAGAACGGCCGCTCGAATTGGTGGATGTGGGCAAACACGGAGATTCTCAGCCAATCGCTCTAAAAGTTGGAAATCATACAAATACAAACTTTTCATGTAGGAATACATACATAGCTAAATCTCATGACAAACCTTGAATATCCGGCAACTGTGTGTGATACTGATCAACTTCCGAGCTGAAGACGATAAAGGCCAATCTTTTCAGCGCCTGTGTTCGAGCCTCATATTCTTGTTCACGCGATTGCATCAAATTTAACGATGACGAGGTGTAGGAGATTGATTCTAAAGTAAATATTAGGGTTTTTCAAAGGCTTTTTGTCTTACTCAGCAATTCTTTGAATGATGTTTTGTCGTGCGCCAGCATCAAAGTGCTCTTTTCTGATGCTTTTGATGCCTAAATTTTATCGATCAGTAACGAACAAAACAAAAAAAAAACACCCAGCCTTAGACTATTCCTAGAATCAGGTATCAAAACGATTAAATCCACTGAAAGAGTCAGTCAAAAAGTATTTATTGCCCCCAAACTGACTGTCCAAAAGACAATCACATAGAAATAGTGCACGTGAGTCTTTATATTTTCATTAAACCAAACCAACATTATCAAGCGTCATCAAATGATCAGTGACGATCAACCATTGCCGAATCGAATGAACATCCATGCGAAAGAAGGCTAAAGTTTAACTCGAAAATTGAAATTGTGAGTCAGCACAAGCACCATAAACTAAAACTTACATGAATCCAGCAACAACTCGAGCGTCGTCTTTTTCCACACCGACCTCATATAGTTGTAAGATGACATGTTAGCCAAAAGCTGCGAAGCGGCAAGGAAAAACCGGGCATAACGAGCACTAAAAGAGAGCTTTTAAACATTAAAACTTTCAAACAAACTTCTTTGATTTCAAATAAGGCACAACATTTGCCCAAACAGCGTGAAGCGTCGGTAGAAGTCTCTCTTTGTCATCACTCTTGCAAATCGAATCGATCAACTCCGGGAGGTGCTAAAGAGAAACGATTACAGTTAGTTTTATATGTAACTTTCATTATTTAGCAAGTTTGTACCTCGGCTAACAAGAATAAAGCTTGCGTAGAATGGGCCGGATCTCGCTTGTTGTTGTTTGAGTCCTGGACTTGCTGAAAATAAATTTAAAGTGCTTCAAAAGTGTATTAAAATCACTTTCAACGAGCTCCTCAAACTGGCGCTGCTCTTTTTATTATCTTGTATAGAGAGAGCTGTCGTGTATTGTGTGGAAGTTGACGATGTTAAGGAATTCGTTTCCAGTGAGGCTGGCCTGAAAAATAATGATTTGACAACTCATGAATTTAATTTAACGATCCCGTTGCTAGCGGTATCAACTCGCAGCACCACAAAATCACTCACCGATTTTGCATAAGACTCGTTGTACTCCCCCGGACGCTGCTCAAATCAACCGGTCCATTGCTTGGCGTTTCTTGCATCGGTGAAGCGTCCACAGAATGCGAAATCTTGCCAACTAAAGTCGAATTTTGGCTATATTTTAACGAAGTTAACCTGTAGTTGGATCTGACTTCACAACAAGTGTCCTCTTCAACCATGTTGTAGCTTCAAGTTGCCATCTTAAAACAGAATATTTAAAGTGTCATGTCACAATAACCAACCCAACAATTCCATTAATTGCTTCTGTGAGCTTTTGACAAGAATCGTGCACGGCTCGCACAGTGGCTCGATCCTCGATAATGTAAAGTGGGCCAACGATTCGCACAAAATCACACAGCATACTAAATATCATAGTTATTGTTCATCACGAATATAACGTTGCATTATCCTAACAACAAGATTAACTTACATGAACTGCAGGAAAACGGCTCGTGGTGGAAGTGTTGAATGGGATGAGTCGATGAAAAGCGAATGAAGTGATGACCAACAACTTGTCACTTGCTCAAAGGTGAGACTCCGCAAACAGCCGTGGACCAATTCCAGTAGTGGAGCTTCCGTGGGAAATGAGTTCTAAATAGAAATCTCTTAGTTTATTTTTTTTAGTTGTTAATTTAGCAGCAATGAAAGCTTTTGACTTTTAGCATACAAGAGGATTTGTAGCTCGCCTTTTCTGAAAGTAAAGTTGTCGGTTTCCCAGCTTTTCCTGACTGATCCCTCAACGATTCTGCAACTCCAGCAAGCACAGTCTCAAAAGAAAGCATTCGAATTGATAACAGCAAATCAGCCACATCCATTTGAGCTCTCGAATAAGTGAAAGATGCCTGAAAGATTTTAATTGAATAGGCCGCATTATATCCTTTACCACATCGTTTTCCGTTTTGCTTTGAATTCCGAGTTTTGCTCGAGTCAACCAAACAAGAGACATTGCCTAAAAGAAATAATGACCGGAAATACAAAATCAAACGTACTTGTAGATAATGTGATTGATGATTCTGCGCAATTGGGCTCAACAAATCGATGATCAAACGGCGCAGATGCTGAAATTTTAAGTTGAAAACTTCACGAAGTAAGCAATTTGACGTTTCAGATGGACAACTCTTCAACTTGCAATTAAAACTTTTTTACGGATCGCCTTTTGCGTCAATCAGATTCACAAGTGCCTAAAAATCTCCCAACTCACCTGTGCTTGTCCAACCGGATAGATCGGAGTTGCTCCTTGTCTCACGACTCCCCAAACATCACAAAGTGTCGCCAGTGAATGGGGAAGCCCCGTCAAAATTTGCCGCCTTGCCTCCTGCCACGATGCATTTTTTGGATCGAGCTTCGCCAGTGGAACACCGGTTGCCTAAAATCCAGACGCGTTCACCAATAAGCTCATTGTAATACCGTTGACGTGTCATTGAAGGTGAAGGCGGCTTTCACAAGGTTTGTCAACAATTGAGTCCCCGGAATCGCCTGCATTGCTTGGCCGACCATTCCCGAAGAGCTTGACTGCATTCCGCCAGAATTTCTGAGCACAAAATAGATTTCAGTCTTCTTGAATACTCTTTACCTATTCGATTTGGTCTCGTCTTGGATCGTCGATGAAAGATTGCTCGTTCCACCAACCACACAGAAATGAATGACTGTCGTTAGCGTCTCAAGGCACTGAATCAGCCAAATTTAGGTAGTCTTTAAAGATCTCATACCGATATCAAGTAGTTAGCCGGATAGCTGAATTGATCACTGAGCGGGTTCTCGCTTGGTGTTCGTTCAGCGATCTAAAAATACGCAATGAGTTGCCTTTGCGATATATCAAAGTTTATTTTCAGCACAATGATATTGAGATCCAACCGTTTTCTCCATTTCCGGAAAAGCATTAATGGCCGCATTCTCGATATTCTTACACAACTGCTCAATGACATGCGTACAAAAAGTTGCCAGCGAACGATCGATCCACGGGAGAATGTAGATCACAAATTGGAACCAGATCTAAATAAAATGTCTATCAAAGTTGTTAAATTTGTCCTCACCTCATGCCTTTCCGGTTTATGCTTGATCGCGCTCAACACCGTCACCAAGAACATTTTCAGCTCGACAAGAGGAGGCTGAAAGAAAAGTAATTGTAAAATGGAAAGGACTTTTAAGCCTTACTTGCGAGTCCCTTATGGTACTTCGGTGTTGAGATGCCATTGTTAGCGTAGGTGTCAACGGTAGTCGATTGACCACAAATCCGGAAGCCGTCTAGAAAGTGCTATTCTAATAGTAAATTCTGTTATATCAGACCAGTTCATTAAACTCTCGATATCCAATTTTAATATCGTGCTCTAAACGAATTGTCGCCGCAGTCAACGCCAATAGAGAAGAATTGTAAGCAGACAGGAGGCCTAGATAAGAAAGTTGATATATGCAGTCAAACCTCGATTTAACGATGTCAATTTTTGGTCCCTTGAAAGCTATTTACCTTATAAAGACGTTCGATTTAAGGATTTACTCGATTTAACGATGGAGAATCCCGGTCTCTTGAGAAACGTTAAATCGAGGTTTAGAAAGACCGACTAGAAAGATCAACAAACCCAAAATATGCTGTCGTTTTTCTGGAGTTGCCCAGCGTCCCTCGTTGAATTCAGCAATTGTCACGGAAACCGGAACGCTAAAAAAATATTACGTTTCTTTGTTAAGAATCATCTTTAATTTTTTAAAATTTATTTATTCACCTTGACGAATCGGTCCCTCTTGGATCATGAACGGCGGTCAAAAGGAGATGAAGCAGGCACTTTTGCAGCTTACTTCTCTGGAGAATCGTTTGAATGAAAGCGACCAGCGCCTAAAATCAATTAAACTTCTGCAGAAAGTGCAATAAACCTGTGATTGTTGTGCCCGAAGCATCTCGCCCAATTCTACCAACAATGATGTAAGAAAATCGAGAGCGGCCATCTAAAAACAAGTTCAACGTGAAATTTTGCGGTTTGCTCACCTTGCACTTCCAGGATTTCACCAAATCGTCATCATTAACAACAGCTATTGGAGAGTTTAAGAAGTACGATCGGAGGAAGTGTAAAGTGATTGTCAGCAACAACTCGAGAAGAGTGAAATGTCGATTCACCGCCTGTTTTCCATCATCTTCGCCGCCCGTGCTCCAGAATTGTTGACCAAGAATTGCCTAAAAGATAACGTGTAATTGGCATTGATAAGATCATTTTAATGTAACAACCAGTGTTAGTAAGCTTTAACCTACAGCTACAATTTACAGAATTGCTTGTTAACCTGTCGTTTGTTTGTTTGTTTGTTTTTTTTGTTCTCTAATTAAACTCTCTTACCTTCACATGTCGACTCATCAACTCAACAAGAGAGCCAGAGTTATTTGAAGTCGATGCATCTTGTGTGGATGTGCCTGAAGAGACGAGACAGTTCAGCAGCATCCTTGGAGGTAAAGCCGGTCCACCACGAGGTCGAAGAAGAGCCGTCAAAATGCGAAAAGCGGATTCACAACGTGAGAGATCGACCAAGCGCCCGGATTCACCTAAAAATACGATAATTCCATTCTATTCGATATCCCTTACCATATAAAAGCATGTGCGTGTGTAGTTCGTCAAATAGGGAAATCCCATCAGTTTCATCATCGGCGGAGAGGAGTTTCTGGTTTGGTCTTGCAATTTCGCATTGTTCCAGTAATCTAGGAAAGAAGTCATTTCAAGTTGTTTTATAAAATCTACTTCAACTCAGTTCCACAATTGAATATGCTTTCTTGAAGACTGTCCGTTCGGCGGTGACCCTGGAAAACAGCATTTATTAACTTTTAAGAGCTCAATGTGCATAAGTGGACCAAAAGTGCCTCACTTACCCGTTTAATCCTGCTCACGCAATCTTTATTCGGCAGTGGTGGTTGTTCCTCGATCTGCACATGAGCTTTGTCATCGGAATCAACGCCAGCTCTGGAAAAAAACAACAATTCGACGCAACTTCTCGAAGAACCCACCGAAACACGACATTCTCTGTGTGCAATTTTCCACTTTCGTGAGCCTCACGGAATCTAAAAGCCCAATAGAGTCAAAAATTTTCTTCTATCAATACCTTCTCTCAATATCCATCTCGCTTTCTTCATTCTCAACAACGATATCAATCATGTATTGGAGACAATCGTAAACAGCCGGCTCGATTCCCTCTTGATTGATGCTCATTGACAGTGTGTCCAACGAGATAGAGTCCTAAATTGATAAACTTCCATAGCGATCAGTAGGAGTACAACGACGTAAAGTTCAATTTTCGCACCGTATCGTCATCAAAGTTCGGAATATCATGGTCCTGTGTGGGGCGTCGAGTTCGATTCAAAAAGTCGGCCGATCTATCAATTGTCGTGTCCACGTCTTCAAACGTTGTCAAAAGGCGCGATCGCAAATCGGGCAACCACGACGAAGAAGCAGTTGATGGACTAAATTTGAATGTAATGAAAGCATGATTCTAATCAGTACCTGCTCTGATCCTCAAAAATCACGTGATGCATCTTGTGGCGCTCATCGCTGGTGAACAAACTGATTGCCTAAAATAGAGTTTTAGCATTCAGTTTATATGCTCAAACCTGTGTCCCTGTTGGCATCGACGGTACATCATTTCCGGTGATCTTTTCTTGCACGGTTACGTATTGAATCGACACTCGAGCTGTCACCGGATTCATCAACATCGTTGAGAGCATCTAAAAAGAGCAGAAATTTTTAAATGGCTTTCAACAAACCTGAACAATCCTCGGCAAATCATTGTGTTTTGCACATCCGACAAACCAGTTGATCGCCGTCGATTTGAGCGTGATCTTCTCGCTGCCCACCGATTCATCGGACAAGATTCCAAGAAGAAACATTACGACCCTGAAAATTGAAAGATTTAAATCTTGAAGTGATGATTCTTGTTTACTTTACTTATTTTCGTTTATTCATTACCTTGAGAACAACTTTGGCGGCAATCCAGGCAGCAAATCTTCGTTGCCTCGTGTCAACGTCCAAACTCGGTCAAATGTTCGAACAGCAATCGCGCAAGAGACCTAGAAATTAAAAAGGTATATTTCTTAATGTACTTGTTATTTTAAATAACTAATTTGCAACTGTTTATTTTTCTAACTTCCTTTCCAAATAAAAAAACGTTTTAATAGCTTCTCATTGCCATTACATTGTGTTCATGTAGCTATTTAGAGCAACTACCTGATCTTGTTGCGTCAATTCGGCCAGCATAATCCCCTCCGCTTCACTACTCGGATCTTGTGGTCGTCGAGCGTGAATGATGGCCAATAGATGAGCCGCCGATGCATGCAATGAGGCGTGTTTATTTGATGAAATCGTTTTCCACAAAGCTTTAGCGCTTTTCTAAAGAAATTTTCGTTAAGGCACGAATAAAGCGTTTACCTCAAAGATTCCTTGCGTTTCCAACGTTCTCAACTCTTTCTCCAATAGCATCGGCTTCAATAACACTGTCGTTGTAGAGCTGAACATTGGCCTGAAAGTGTATTGGTATTTGAATCCACGCTTTAAACCCACTGCTCTTTTGCCCCTTGAATCTCCTTGTGTTGCTCGAGTACTTGTGAACTTCGTACATAAATATAGCACAGCAGGTCAACGCAAGCAGCGCGAGCCGTGAAGTCGCAATTCGCCCCAAGTTCCGTCCATCTACAAACGTCAACTACCTAAAAAAGCTAGCTTAATAGCATTTCAACAGGAAACTTTCTGCTAAACGACAAACTAAAACTGAAGTTTAGCAAGTCTAATCCTCGTGTTATTTAGATTTTTAACAAGTCGATACTATTATTAGAGTGGTAGCGTCAAAAGCACTGTTGGTATCGCTCGAAAACTTATTATCAAATAGAGAATTTCGCGCAAATTCTCGAACCTTAATCAAAGTTTCGATCCATTGCGATTGAATGGGTGTCTCCAAATCGAGGCAATACAGTGGGAAGTCGACGAATCTCGATACAAGCTTGCATGTTGCCTAAAAATGTCAAATTTGAGTGTCAAATTAAAGCTCTGGATGGTCTTACAATAAAAAGTGGCAACTGTCTGATGTCCCTTGCTATCAAATATTGACCAGAGATCACCTCGAAGAGACACAAACAATCCAAAAGACACTCCTCGAGAAGTTTCTGTTCTAAACTCATCAATACAGTTGAGTATGCTAAGAAAATCGCAAAAACCTTTATCCCTTCGTGAGTCACCGAGGATTTTCTTTACGGGACTACCGACAGAAGAATTTGGAGTAGAGTCTTCACACTCAAAAACTGAAAAAACACGACCACTTTGATGAACAAACAAAAAGCAAAGAATAGAAACACAAGAAATGAATTTAAGTAGGAGATTTATGCAATAGGTTCGAGTTCGAGCAAGGTGAAATTTACTTAATAGAAGCAGGCTAATTTAAATAGATAGGTCTAGAGAATTTGATAGTTTTTATTTTTTTTTAATAACATTATTTTTTTAAACGGGATCCCAGTAAAGTTAAGAAATATAAAAACTAAATTCCCAGGGGTTTTAAGATAAGCTGAGCATCTTAAAAAGAGTAAAACTAACCAGAAATTGGTCCAACCCCAACGGTCATCTCTTCCAGCAACTTTTGACAAACGGAGATCTAAATTACTGGGTTTGTTGGAGGTGATTCTTCATCTCACTTGATTATGTTAACTTCAGACTTTCACTCACCAATTCCAAATAGACATCCATCGGGATCTTGGTCACATCTATCACAGCTAGATCCCTCAAAATCGAGTGAAGAAACCTCGGCAAATGCAACAAACGGACGCCGAATGAAGAGTCAAGTTGACAAAGGGAAATACATTGACGGACAACCTAGGACGTTAATATATAAAGCGCTTAAATATTTGACTACCCATGGAAAGTGATGCAATTGTTGAGCGTGAATATTCCTCTCATCTTCATTTTGCTCATCGTCGGTGCTTTGAAGTCTCAACAATCTAAACCGTGAAAACAATTTGAACATTATGCAAATCTAAACAGTGAAAACAATTTGAACATTATGCAAATCTAAACAGTGCAAACAATTTGAACATGAGCCAACTCACCTCGTGAACCAAGAGGCCAAATGTTCCCAAATGAAACCATCGTCCAATGAGCTCAACAACAAATTAAACGCCTTCGAGATGCTATCGAGTCGTTTTGCCTAGAAAATCTTATTGCAGTCATAGCAAATCTAAACAGACATATAGTTCAGCAGGCGTTGGTTCAAACTTCTTGACTCCGGAAAACGTTGAATCATCAAAGGACTCGCTCTGAAGATCAAAATACTATTATACTTTAAAGGGTTGATCGTTTACCTCTGCTTGCTCATTCTCCGGATTCCTTTTAACAAGGTCGATGAGGAAAATAGGCAGGATGCTAAAGTCAAGATTGGTGAATTCAACTTGCTTTGACATACTTTGACAATACAGGCTTTCCGATTTCGGGCCGATCTTGCAGGTATAGCAACAGACGACAAACACGCACCTCGCAAAGCGATTGGTCGCCTTCCTAAAGGAATTTTGATTCCGAAACAAGCTTAACTAAGGCACGTAAGTGCTAAAAAAGTTAACGTACCCGTATTGAATATCCAAAATGTGCGCTGTTTGTTGCAGGCGCCTGCATCTCGACTGTGTCCAATTCAAGATAATTTGTCAGGGCTTTCTGTAAAAATGAAATAACAATCATTAATATATTGTACTTGTAGTAAAGGAAGGACGTCTTTGAGAAAGAACGATGCATCCAAACGATCATCGCCCACAGCCACACCACTTACAGCGAGGGTTGAGCCTAAAATGAAACTTTATTAGCAATTAAAGACCTATAAACCCACCAGTTGGATTTAAAAGCCATTGGTACAATCGTCGATTCAGTGACATATCGCGACGAAGCACAATGAAGAGGCAATGTTGCAATAACTAAAAAAAGTATCAGTTATGAGAGCTTTTCATTTGTGTTACCTTGACAAAGTGCTCCGATGGTAGTAATGGTGAATCAAATGGGAATGCGGTGCACAAAAAGTCGAGGAGATGCCTTTGGACGAGTGGTGATCCGTTGTCGTCTGCTGCCGCACAAAGTGCTTCAATCTAAACATTAAATTTCTAATTATTTCAATGCTTTAAACTTGATCACAAGTTCATCCAATTTACCATTAACTCCGGTGTGCTCAATAAATGCTTCTGTTCGCACATCGTCTTGTTCTTGTCCAATTTCGTGTTCACATAGATCAAAGCAGGTAGACGCACGGGCGGCGACCCAAGTACAGCCTCCCAGATGCAGCCGTAGAATGTGTCCGGTCCAACCGCATCGCAGACTTTGTCCAAGAATACCACCGATCTAAAATGGAAATATTTATTCCAAATAGGTCTAGTTTCGTACCTGTCATAGAACTCTGTGCCTTCTTCTAATCCCAAAAGAACGCCAGCCAAGAATCCCGGCAGTGAGGGACGAAGGTTTCCGCCAAGCTTCAATAAGTAGATCTCGAAGATTGAGAAGAGCTCGGATTTCACCTAAAAGTAAAAAAATTGGCATTGGTTGCGCTAAAATTCACCAAATAACTGCTGATAACGAGTTTTTAATAAAACATTACTATTTTTACCTTGATTCCACAATGGTCCATCAGTGGAAAAAGTCCGACAGCGAAGAGGTACAATAATTGAGCCAACTTCTCCGTTCCAAGAATGTCGAACACTTGTCGATACGTCTCCAAAGCTTTTAGATGAACGCCCATCGGAAGCGCTGGATGAAGGCATTGGGATAGGCGTTTCGCGACGATGACTGGCTTTGGAATGTCCCCGAATTTCGAGTTTGAACTGAACACCTAGAAAAGGAAAAAAAACTAGACTTTTAAAGGCAAAAGAACCTTGGAAAGCTTTTGCAACGCGGAGATGAGATCGGCCCATTCGTTCGTATTTTCGAAAGCCTAAAAAAGGAAAGGTTATCAAAATACAGATAATTTTATGCTTAAATCTTGAAGTTCTAGTCGAACTTCGCCCAAAATAATCTATAAACTATACAGCACTTACTTTCAGCGCTTTATCAACAGCCTGCGCATACTGTTTATATTTGCTGGTTCCGTGGAATGGATTCGGCACCAGTTCGGGTGCGATTGATGCCTGGGACATCCAACTTCTCGTTGAATGCTCCTGGAATTGAAAGAATTAGGAATTAATGGCAATTATGCAAGATCAAAATTCAAAAGTACTCAAGTTATGGCAGGTAAAAATAATGAAGCAAACAAAAATCTGCACTAACAATGTTGCATAATCCTTTCGATTATAACGTACTTGCGTACAAATGTAGAAATTTTATTTTTTTAGGGATTTTGGTGGCAAAATGAGACTGTTTAAACTGAATTCAGACTTTATTGGGAATATTTTGAGTACTCAACAATTTTCATGGGTAATTTCAACGCTCTATTTTCGTTTGCTTTTCACTTTAAAATGAGACGGCAATGTGTCTGAGTGGTCAGAAAAAGTAAACTCGATAAACTCTTGTCCAAAATCGATTCAAAAGTCCAAAGGAATTGCCAATCACTTAAACAAAGTTACCAAGAAAAGCATGATAAATGCTTGAAAAACTCTTCGAAAAGTCAAGCCTGGGGTCAAGTCAAATCAGTCAAAATGTACCTATCAGACTTCAAATTGACAGAAAGCTTAAAACAAAACAATTCAAAAATTAGCCAAGTAAAAGTTCAATGTTTATGTTTTTTTTTCAGCGGAAGCCTTTACGCAGCTGGTTTTGGCCGGGAGTGGTGTGCTAAAATGCGCTCTTTCTGCGCAGTTGAGAGGAAGTGAGCGAATAACATGACCACACAAAAAACAATCGGGAGAAATCTCCGAAATCCCAATGCACAGCCAAAACAATTTTTGTTGGCATTAGGGATATTTGAGTGGAACCATCTAACTCGGCACCGCATTTTCACATGAAACGATCAATGTTTAATGATTAACACATGATTCAGCTCAACGCATTCAACCAAAACAAAGTGACGATACTGTAGTTTGAAAACGCCCTTAATTGTAGTGCTTTTGCATTGTTTTTCTGTACTCAACCGATAAAATTGCATACACAACGTATTTTCTCTCCAAATATTCACCGCTTTTACAAAGATTTATCAAACAACAATAAAACGAGATTATCAAGAAAACGGAAATTCTCAGTGTTCAACGCAAAACAAGAAAAATGAGAGGAGACCATCGATAATGGAGAGCCGTTTTGGAGAATAGCAGAAGAAAATGAAAAAATCAAATAAATGTGGGTGGATGTGAAGATTTTTATTTGGCAATACAAAGTGATAACAAAACAGAGTATACAAACTAGCAATCAAGATGTGGCAGAAGAAAAAGACGTTGTTTTTGTTGTCCAATTTAACGGAAACGTCCCGGACCGCTTCGCATCTCACGCATTCCACCTAAAAACGAGAAATCTAAACAATTGGGACACAAATTCACCTTGCATTCCGCCGGGTCCTCCAGGGCCGCCTTGTTGTGACAAGCTTTGACGAACACTAAATAAAACAAATTAAAAAATAATTTCTTTTCAAAATTAAGTCCTATTTTTCTTAGTTTCTTATGTCCGTGTTAATCTTTTGATGACCAAGTAGTTGCCTACTAGCCTGGCATACTTTGGCCATACAAAAACGAATACACAAAATTATTTCGCACATGTATGACACCTTAAATGCTAAGGGAAAGGGATAACAAAAATTTGTTAACCAAAACGGTAACAAAAATTTGCTAACTTTTCCAGCAAGAACGGCTCTTAGAATGTGCTTGTTTCTTTTTACATTTTTAATTTCCTAACTTATTGCTCAATCTTACCATTGCTGAAGGAGATACTGTGCGGCGTGGATCTGATTTTGTGTGCCGGTGATGGTGATAATTCGTTCCTCTTGTCCAGGGGCCGTCGGCTCGAGCACAATGTGAGCACCAGATTCTTCGCGGATGCGGTTGATCCTCTCGCCTCCACGCCCAATTATTGTTCCTCCCAGCTCAGTCGGAATGGTGACTTGCTACAAAGAAAAAATTATCAAACCTATCAAAACTCTCTTGCCTGTGTTGACGAGAGTGCATTACCACCAGCTTGTGGAGGACCACCGGGGAATCCTTGATTGTAGCCGCCCATTGGGCCTCCCATTCCTCCCATCGGTGCGCCCATTCCACCGCCACCAAACGGGCCGCTCATCTGGGGTCCAGGTCCACGACCTATACAAGTTGTATAGCAATCATTAGAAATGTTTAGCTGTTGAGTCATTTTAAATTTAAATAGCACTTATTTCTTACCAAAATCTCCGCCCATGCCCAACATTGGTGGTCCCATGTCTCGTCCGCCTCTCATCGGTGGTCCCATTCCTCGAGGTCCGCCACCCATTGGTCCTCCACCTCCGAAGCGACCATGGCCATCACCGCCTCCTCTTCTCTCCATGTTTGCTCCGTATCCATCTCGACCACCTCGATCACCGCGCGATGGCGGACCGCGATCACCACCGCCAAATGTGAAGCCTAAACACAGAACTAATATTGATAACAAGTTTTTATTCTAGATCACAGGTTAACAATTACCTCCATATTCATTGGCTAACACCGGATCATAGTTGATAGGGTCGTATTGTCGAGTGGCACCTTTGATGGGGATCGACTTGATGAGACCACACCTAAAATTGAATGTAATTCAAATTTAGAATTTGCGAAGTCAAAGTACGTTCAAGACCACTTACACGGCTTTCACCGCTCCTGGAAGGCCCGACTCGGATCCCATGATTTGCACGATGCGGTCGGATGATTGTGGAGCACACTCAGAGTAAACCTAAAATGTTGAACTATTAAAATAAACACGGGGCATTTGAAGATCTACCTTAATGTTGCATCCAGTCTCCTCGCGTAATTCCTTGATCTTCGAACCACCCTTTCCAATGATGGCTCCAGCGTGCGACATGTGAACGAGCATCTTGGCTTCCCTCTTTCCATCAGCACCCGCCTAAAATACAAAATTTAAAAGCCATAAGAATGTGTCACTCACATCCTCAAATTTGGGCAGCATTTCGGCACAAAGTGGAGCAATGTTATCGACGACACAGACGATAGTCAATACTCTAAAAATCAATATTGAATTCGTGAAAACCAGTGTGCTTTCTTTAGGCTCAACAATTTGGAAGTCGAAAAAGGTTGGCGCTTTTTGGTGGACACATGGGATCCCTAGTATTTTGGCAAACATTCAAGGCCCTTGAGGTTGTTAAAAAATTTCAAGTCAAAAAGTGGATCGATCAAAGAAAAGGACTCGGGTCACCGGGAAGTGTCGGGAGTACGTGAGGTGATAGAGAGAGGTCGATTTGGATGAACTGGGAAAAATCGGCCATCGATTTTCTCACAAAAACATTGTAAGCGCCTTGAGAGCTTGTGTCGGGCGTGTTTTACTCATTTAAACCTCTCTTCGTTTCGCATTTGACAGTGGATAACAAGTTGGGAAAAAGATTTACCGCTCGGCTGACCCCTGGCTATCGGGGACTGTGACGGTGGCATCGAACTGAAAGGAAAATATTGGGTTTATTGTGACGTCTACAGTATCAAAAACATCTATAGGCGGACAAAGAATTTTGCTGATATCTCTTCATAAACTTGTCAAACCTGAAGATTTTAATGTCATTTGCTTAGGAAAAAAGTTTCTCCAGATCTGACAAATTCAAAAGTTATAAAGCAAAAGTACATTGTACACCTATGAACGTTCGAAGATTAATGTCTTGGAATCGGGCTAGATTTTGGTCACTACTCATCATTGATAATTTCAAGACTAAAGATTAAAGTCACCCCGTTCATTTAGTACTGGTACAAGGTCACGGTTTGGCACTTGGGTAGGATAATCTTCTAACTATTCGTAACCGGTTTCGAACTTAAAAAGGAAGACAAATGGTCTCCTTAACGGAGTGACGTGTGTAAACAAAAGAACAAATAAGTGCCTAAATAAGCATCAAAAATGTACTTGAGAGCGGAGACGTTTGATGTTGTCTCCTCCTTTTCCAATCACTGCTCCGGCACTCTTGCTTGATACGAGAAAGCGAAGCTCAAATTTGCCAGCCGCCAGAGCGTCGGCGTAGCCGTCACCCTAAATACGAAAAGTTGAGTACTTTGAAAAACTAGTTATACAAGTACGGATCACACTCTTTCCTTGCTTGATTAGGTTTCGTTTAAATTGATTTTAGTTCAGCCTAAGCCATCAACGGAATAATCGGCCAAACTCTGGGACAGAAAGCTTGTTCGATTTTCAAATCAAGCTTTCAAATCGCAACCGCCCACTAGACTCATCTACCTTCTAATCCACAAAATTGCAAGCGTTTAACTGTAGACATGTCCACTTTTTAATAATGCTTAGTCATCTTTTTAATCAGGCCTAAGTCATTAATGCTTCGCCACTAGCACAACAATCATCAAAAATCCCTTACCCGTTGACGCTTCGATCCACCGCGGTTGTAATCACCGCCTTCAGCACCATGGCGTTTCATTTTACCTGAAAGTTGAAACAATTAGCAAGGATTAAGAAAGAAAGAGCACTTCGAAAATAAAATGGAAAGTGGAAAATCATTGTGCAGTATTCGGTAAGTTCAGATTGTTCGTAGAACGAACAAGTCAAGAAAATTCATTAAATTTGTAGCTAAAATCGACTTGGAAACTAGATGAAACTAGATTTGGGGGTACGAAATTCAAAAAAAGCATGAGGTATTCGTTGATCAGAAATTCTTTTTACAGCTTCAACAACTATCGAACTAAACAATCCAGACCTTGGAATTTAAAAAAATGCATGGGTTGATGTTTCATGGCAATTCATTCATCAGAACCGATTTTTGCAGCTTTGACATGAAAAACTATCGGAAAGTTTGATAAATTATAAATTGATATTGATAAAAGTAAAAAAAAATATCAAAATGCGAAAGCCGCGCGCAAATTTTTGTGGGCGAGCGCTGCGAATCGATCAATTTTCGCCGAATGGCGGCGTCATTTGGATTCCCGCGTACACCTTGTCATTAGTTGTTTAACGGTTTTTCTTGCCAACTTTGGGGTTTGGGGATAAACTTTTACCAATAATAGCTATCAATTAACCTGGAGGTGGCTACTTTGCGCCAAATTTTTTTACGCAACTCGCCATAACTTTCACTCCGGGTCTACCGGGTCGAACCCGGATCATGTGGGCCGTAGACAAGCGCGTTTCCGACTGTGCCGCGTTAGTTGATATATAAATAAATAGAAAATAAATAAAAAGCTTTAAATATATAGAATAAACAATTCAAGTCGCATTTTAATTTGCCAGAATAGCTTTGAAGTGCGCTAAATTTCAAGCTTTGAAGCTACTTTGCCCCGAATTTTTTTGCGCAACTGGTCATAACTTTTTTCTTTTCTAACTTTTCCAAGTGGACGAATCGGTGCTTTTCCAATATCGGGGGAGCGGTCCGATTATCGGGGGAGCGGAAAGAAAATCGGGGGAGCGGAAGGAAAATCGGGGGAGCAAATTTTGCCCCCTCGAAAAATGCATCTCTGGGACTTTTATTTTAACTGCAACGTTTTTTTTTAAACTTTTTGGCAGCGCTTTTTTTAAAACTTATGTCCTATATTATCCAAAGTACTGCCATAAAATCCGCGAATTACCCGTTATTCTCACAGCCTTTATATTAGATCACAAAAGTGACTTAAATATCTAACACCAAACCTACCTCTACCTTCCCTATCGGTCGCCTTCTCTTTTTGCCGAACGCTCCACAATCCCGAACGAACAAATGGCTACTTAAAAAATTATTCATTAATAGTATAAATGACCATAACAACGAAATAAATGTAAACGAAGTAAACGCATCGCAACGGAGAAGCGCATCGTCGTTAAAGTTTAAAAAAAAACGTTGCAGTTAAAATAAAAGTCCCAGAAATGCATTTTTCGAGGGGGCAAAATTTGCTCCCCCGATTTTCCTTTCGCTCCCCCGATTTTCTTTCCGCTCCCCCGATAATCGGACCGCTCCCCCGATATTGGAAAAGAACCGACGAATCTTTATGATTTCTAGTGTCATTTTGTTGCACTTATTGAGATCTACAAAATAACATCAAAGCCATAAAGATTGGCTCACTTGAATGTAGATCTCAATAAGTGCAACAAAATGACATCAAAATCAGAAAGATTGGTCCACTTAGAAGAAAGTTATGAATCATCTAGGTCAGGACCATCTTCCTTCCGACTCTTCTGATCAATAACTTTCTTCTAAGTGGACCAATCTTTATGATTTTGATGTCATTTTGTAGATCTCAATAAGTGCAACAAAATGACATCAAAATCAGAAAGATTGGTCCACTTAGAAGGGAAGTTATGGCGAGTTGCGCAAAAGACCTAGTTGCGCAAAGAATTTGGCGCAAAGTAGCCACCCCTATTAACCTTACTTATCGCAGCCAAAGTTAATGCAAAATAGGAAATGAGTTACGATGTTAATGCAAAATAGAAACCACCTGCTTTCACCATTTCCGTTTCAAATTTGGCACTTCCTTTAACCATCAATTTTATGATATATCAATTTTCTATAATTCACTTGATCTACTATAAACTTTAGTGCATTATAGGAAGTGGTTACGGTTAAACTTAGCTATCGAGTGCTCGCGTTAAAACGGACATATCTTTGTGATTGTAGCTCCAAATGCTCTGAAACTTTTTACCAATGGAAAGCCAGAAGTTCAAGTTTTATTTTGGTACCTAATACATATTGTTAGAAGAAAAACGAATCTCAAAAAACCTTATCGATACGCTATCGATAAGATTATATTGGTTATCGATAAGGGCTCGATAAGGTCATATCCATAGCGTATCGATCAGGTTTTTAGAGCTGCGTTTTGCGTGCTCTTTTAGGTATTAGGTACCAAAATGAAGCTTGAACTTCTGGCTTTCCATTGGTAAAAGTTTCAGACCATTTGAGTAGTTTTGTGCAAAGTTATAAGATTTTTTTGCGCGACTACTCTAAAAATATCGATAATATTTAGCAAATAATTTAGCGCAAATGATACGTGGCGCAAATAATTTGGCGCTTTTGCTAGCACCTCGATTTGTTAAATGATTGCCGTTTTCTAATTTGCATTAATTGCACTAATTGATGCAAATTCTGATTGATGTTAAACTCTTTTTAGTCTTTAATTTGCAAAAACATTTCTGATTTTAGACTCTCTTTAATCTTTAGAACTCGAGCTAATTGATAATTTGCAGATGGCCGGTCAAAATATCCAGCCACCGGTACCCCTCCGACAACAGCAAGAAAGCGGCTATGGGAGTACAAATGACAACACGTCAACGATGAACTCGACGATGAACCGTTAGTTTAGAAACACTACTTCATTTGTGATCCGATCAGAGTATTACAGTAGACTTACAGTAAATCTACTGTAGACTTACAGTAATCTACTGTAGACTTACAATAAACTACTGCAGACTTACAGTAAATCTACTGTAGACTTACAGTAATCTCCTGTAGACTTACAGTAATCTACTGTAGACTTACAGAAATCTACAGTAGACTTACAGTAAATCTACTGTAGACTTACAATAAACTACTGTAGATTACTGTACGTCTCCAGTAGATTACTGTAAGTCTACAGTAGATTTACTGTAAGTCTACTGCAGACTTACAGTAAACTACTGTAGACTTACAGTAAACTACTGTAGACTTGCAGTAATCTCCTGTACACTTACAGTAATCTACTGTAGACTTACAGTAATCTACTGTAGACTTACAGTAAATCTACTGTAGACTTACAGTAATCTACTGGAGACGTACAGTAATCTACTGTAGACTTACAGTAATCTACTGTAGACTTACAGTAAACTACTGTAGACTTACAGTAATCTACTGTATCAAGCCTACAAATCAAGATACTTTTCAATTTCTATTGATTACCATTTGAAATTTCAGGTGCTCGCGAGAATCTCCCAAAAGTGAATCCGTTGCAGTTGAGCGTACACTTTCAGAATCTGCTCGGCAGTGGTACTTTCGGAAAAGTCGTTCGCGGATTGCATGCAGAATATGGGTGAGCTTGAAAAGTAGATAAAGATTGAGAAAAATCGTATTACCTATTCAATGACTGATCTGGGACATCAGGAGACAATTCTTGGCTTTGCGAAAGTCGAACAGCTCCGATGAGCAGCAGCTTTTCCAATGAGCACCTTTTCAGAGATGTTGCAATCAAAATCGCTGAAGACGACAAAGGCAAGAAGAAAGATTTACTTAAAGAGTGCTCGATGTTGTACAAGTATGGAGCAAATCATCCGAATATTGTCAAATGGTAAGTGTAATCAATCTGGCACACTGAAATGCGCGTTCGTTGTGTCGGAAGGGATTTGTTTGAGTACAAAGCATACTAGAAAGAGACAGAGATACTCAAAGAAGCTAAAGCCTGGTACTACATTACAGTATAATACAGTACAGTACACAAAATCTGTTTCTAGGTATGGTCTCTATGAAAGCGCTCACTTACTGGGTTTCGTGATGGAATTTATGGACTGCGGAACACTCGACAATTGTGAGTACTGTAGAAAAACGGAGCTTTGGCAATCTACTATATATAATTGAGGGCTGTCTGTCCGTCCGTCCGTCTGACTGTCTGTCCGTCTGTACGTCTGTACGTCTGTCCGTCCATCTGACTGTCCGTCTGTCTGTCTGTCCGTATGTCTGTCTGTTCGTCTGCCCATCTGTCCGTCCGTCTATCTGTCCATCCGTCCATCTGACTGTCCGTCCATCTGACTGTCCGTCCATCTGACTGTCCGTCCGTCTGTCCGTCAGTCCGTCTGTCCGTCCGTCCGTCAGTCTGTCCGTCCATCAGTCTGTCCGTCCGTCCGTCTGTCCGTCCGTCTGTCCGTCCGTCCGTCTGTCCGTCCGTCTGTCTGTCCGTCCGTCTGTCTGTCTGCCCGTCCGTCTGTCCCTCAGTCTGTCCGTCTGTCCGTCTGTCCCTCCGTCTGTCCGTCCGTCCGTCTGTCTGTCTGTCCGTACGCAACTTTCATCTAGAGAACCGGAGAAGCTAGAGCTCCAAAAACAACACCCTTATAGGTTCTCGAGGTCGCTGAGTTCCCCATTGAAGTCATATCTTTTCTACAGGCAATGGAACAACGAAAACAGTAGTATTGCGTACTCCAATCCTAGATCTCAGCCCCCAATATACCGATTTTCATAGTTAATATATAATTTTGTAGGAAATTTAAAACTAGAATGATTTCGATGGGTGCCAGGACAATTTCTCCGTGCAACCGCGTAGCGGACGCGAAGCGCAGCTAGTCATAGACTAGCAACTAGTCAACTAGTCATTACGTTACCTTTCTATACCCATCTCCTTTACAGTACTCCTCAGAGAGAATCACCTTGACTACAAGATCGATCACGTTTTCGCGTGGATGCATCAAGCGAGCGATGCTGTTTGCTATATGCATTCCGTCGGATTGGTGCACCGGGATTTAAAGCCGTTAAAGTAAGTGAAAAGATGTGACAAAGCTCAAGCTCTAACCATTTTCTATCCAAATTGTGTCATCCAACTTGCCTATAAGAGGGCGCCAAGCGGAAAGGAAGAAAGAGCAGCGACGGCTTAGGAGATAATGCGCTAGACTATAAAGTCTCTGCGAACTGGCCAGATCTAGAGTACTTTAACAGTCCAGAATATGCGAATTTGATGATCTTTAACTTTACTAGAAGAATTTGAAAGATTTAGAAGAAGCCAAAAGCCAAAATAAACATTAGAAGAAGCCAAAAGCCGAAAGAAACCTTAGAAGAAGCCAAAAGCCTTTAGAAGCCTGGATACCACAGTATATTTAAGAAATCCTGTATTACCATTAAATACTGTATTACCATTAAATACTGTAGTACCCAGGCTTCTGTATTGTAACTAACCTCAACTTCAGCCTTCTCCTCCGCGACGGTTACCTGCACTTAAAGCTCTGCGATTTCGGCACAGTGATCGACATTCGACGAACGATGACGAATTGTGTTGGATCGGCCGCCTATATGGCACCTGAAGTGAGTAATTGATAACTAAATATCTAAATATCTAAATAACTAAATAACTAAATAACTAAATAACTAAATATCTAAATAACTAAATAACTAAATATCTAAATAACAGAATATCTAAATAACTAAATAACAGAATATCTAAATAACAGAATATCTAAATAACTAAATAACTAAATAACTAAATAACTAAATATCTAAATAACTAAATATCTAAATAACTAAATATCTAAATATCTAAATAACTAAATAACTAAATATCTAAATAACTAAATATCTAAATAACTAAATAACTAAATATCTAAATAACTAAATATTCACATATTTACGTAATCCCGGTCAGTTCGCTTGTTCTTTCAGGTATTTCAAGGTCGTTCTTACGGTCCAGCTTGTGATGTTTACAGTATGGCAATCATCTTGTGGCAAATGATCGCTAGAAGGTAAAAATAGATCTGAATCTGATCTATAACTGAAACTGATCTATATCTGAATCTGATCTATATCTGAATCTAGTCTATAACTGAATCTGAATCTGAAGCTAGTCCACCTGCCAAGACTAATTTGACTTGGCTTACAGGCCCGGATCAGAAACGGATTCTAGCAGGGATTTTCTGTTTATTCAAATCCCACCAAGGTTACCATGGTTTTTAGAAGATCTTGGTCAAGCTCCTGCTCAAGCTCTTGGTCAAGCTCTTGGTCAAGTCCTATTCGAGTCCGGCTATACCTCTGATCTGACCCTGACAGCCAACCCTAGGTCACTCTTAGATCTTATTCAGATAGATTCTTTTAAACAGATATTCAGCTACTTCAGGATATTGTGCCCAATCATTTATCAGAAAGATTTATCTAATTCTTACCTTTTTTCAGAAGTCCATACGGTCGTGTCGAAAAGATCACTCTTCTCTGGAACGTTCATCAAGGACACCGGCCACAAGACTTGAAATGCCACTGGATTTTGAGGACATTCGTGCAAAAGCAAGTTTTTGCAAGCAAAAGCAAGCAAGCAAAAGCAAAAGCCAGCAAAAGCAAGCAAAAGCAAGCAAGCAAAAGCCAGCAAAAGCCAGCAAAAGCCAGCAAGCAAAAGCCAGCAAAAGCAAGCAAAAGCCAGCAAAAGCAAGCAAAAGCCAGCAAAAGCCAGCAAGCAAAAGCCAGCAAAAGCAAGCAAAAGCCAGCAAAAGCAAGCAAAAGCCAGCAAGCAAAAGCCAGCAAAAGCCAGCAAGCAAAAGCCAGCAAAAGCAAGCAAAAGCCAGCAAGCAAGCAAAAGCCAGCAAAAGCAAGCAAAAGCCAGCAAAAGCAAGCAAAAGCCAGCAAAAGCAAGCAAAAGCCAGCAAAAGCCAGCAAGCAAAAGCCAGCAAAAGCCAGCAAGCAAAAGCCAGCAAAAGCCAGCAAGCAAAAGCCAGCAAAAGCAAGCAAAAGCCAGCAAAAGCCAGCAAGCAAAAGCCAGCAAGCAAGCAAAAGCAATCAGATCAAAGTTAAAGTTAAAAGTTAAAATAGATAACAAAATAGATCTAAATATGGAATATTTTCTTATAATATAATATAATATAATATAATATAATATAATATAATATAATATAATATAATATAATTTCTTCAAAAATTTATCTCAACTAGTTACCTAAAGTTGTGCAATACTTGCACAACTTTGATTTGCGTTTGTAAGCTCTAAGGAAAAGTTTGTAGCTGTAAGGAAAAGTTTGTAAGCTTTAAAATCGATAAGTTTTCTATATCTAAATAAATTTTCACGATGTTTTCCTTAGATTTTTCAAATTTCCATGCTTTTCAGGTGCTGGGCGCATAAACCGGAGGATCGTCCGAATATGGAAAGTGTGCTCGAGTTCTCGAAGATTATGTGCAAAGTGGGTTGGAACTAAGATACAGTGCCACTATGGGAAATTGGCATTAGCTGTCCCTAGGATCTGTAAGCTAAGTTTTGAAGCCATGAATAGCTGAGCCATGAATAGCTGAGCCATGAATAGCTGAGCCATGAATAGCTGAGCCATGAATAGCTGAGCCATGAATAGCTGAGCCATGAATAGCTGAGCCATGAATAGATGAGCCTGAAGCTGAGCCATGAATAGCTGAGCCATGTAGCTGAGCCATGAATAGCTGAGCCATGAATAGCTGAGCCATGAATAGCTGAGCCATGAATAGCTGAGCCATGAATAGCTGAGCCTGAATGCTGAGCCTGTAGCTGAGCCTGAAGCTGAGCCTGTAGCTGAGCCTGAAGCTGAGCCTGTAGCTGAGCCTGAAGCTGAGCCTGAAGCTGAGCCTGTAGCTGAGCCTGAAGCTGAGCCTGAAGCTGAGCCTGAAGCCATGAATAGCTAGTCTCAGCTCAAAGTTCGGAATCGACTGGAAACACAGTGCATAAGATAGAATCGGAAATGGCGAACAAAACGCCACAAAAATTAGCCGCTAATAGCCACGGAAACGCCGGAAAAACAAAAAATCTGAAATGCAAAACCGGGATTCAAAACTGATCCCTTTATAAGGCTTCTCTCGTTGCTGCCCAGAGATGAGCTCGTGGCGTAGTGGATAAAGGCTTAGGTCTGTGAAAGGTCGATGCTACTTTTGCCCACGGGTTCAATTCCGCCATGCAATTTTTTTTGTTTTTTTTGCCTGGATTTGCATCGACGTAACCACTGGAATGCCAAGAAAACTGACAAAATTTCTGAAATTTTAGCATTCAGCCTATTGGTTCTGGTGATAACAACCAGTTTGGCACGGGTACAGTGTGAAGTTTAAAGCAAGTAGTAGCAGTAGCTAATACTTGCCTTAAACTTAAACCTTTAAAAGTAGGCTTACTAGCTATGCAACACAGTAAACAGTTAGAAATACAGTGTTCAATATTAATGGAGACAGCTCGCAGGTCGTTTGAGCTCTCATTGACATTGAGCTCTCTCCAGAAGTCTCTCTAGAAATCTCTAGAAATCTCTCCAGAAATCTCTCTAATCAATTCCTTCACTTCAATTAAAGCTGTTAACGTTGAGCGTATTGATAAGGGTGTTTTCTTTTAAGCATTATTGGATTTTATTTTGTATTATTGGATTTTATTTTGCATTATTCAATTTTACTATCATTTTGCTTCCAGGTCTACCCGCACGGCCATGAACCACTCAAGGATAAGCACTTTTTGTCGGCCGATCCGCAACGGGTGAGTGGGAGCTAGTACAACAGCAGAGCTAGTACAACACTTAGTGGGAGCTAGTACAACAGCAGAGCTAGTACAACAGCAGAGCTAGTACAACAGCAGAGCTAGTACAACAGCAGAGCTAGTACAACACTTAGTGGGAGCTAGTACAACAGCAGAGCTAGTACAACAGCAGAGCTAGTACAACACTTAGTGGGAGCTAGTACAACAGCAGAGCTAGTACAACAGCAGAGCTAGTACAACAGCAGAGCTAGTACAACACTTAGTGGGAGCTACTATAACAGCAGTGTTGTAGTAGGTAAATGCGTAAATAATCGTGTTAACATGTATCATAATCGATTTATATTTGTTTTGTATCATAATCGATTTATTTTCAGGTCGGCCAACGAAAAGAGCGCTTATCTACGGGTCGAGTGCAAGGCCATCGCCGAACCAGATCTGATGAGGTGACTTTGGTGAACACGAATACACCGGTGAGTGGTTTTTAGCTGAATATCTTAAGCTGATTCACTGGTTTATCGTAGTGAATCTCTTTTATCAACCATACTTTTTACAATATTTACTTTCTAGGCCTCTACCCCAAGCACGACGAACGAGATGACGAGCTCTGTAGTCGAGAATTCCCATTTCACGCCTAGAGATGCCGGGGCTTTGGTTTCTCGTTCGTCCACAAACACACCGACGATGAAGTGAGTGAAATGGGATTATCGTAATAGAACAATTTCAGTCATAACACCTCATCACCAAGTGTTTCAAATGCAGAAGAGTTGTTAGCGAGGATCCCGGCGAATTTAAAGGTTTGTTAGATGAAGCGTGGGGTTACAATAGTACTGGAGAACTACAATAGTACTGGGGAACTACAATAGTATTGAAGAACTACAATAGTACTGGAGAACTACAATAGTACTGGAGAACTAGTTTATAAACTATTATCCAAACAGGCTGCGTTCAGAACAGGCCTTAAGAGCTAGATCTTAAGAGCTAGATCTAGAGCCTGTACTAGGCAAAGGAAGCACTGTAGTTGATAATACATACCGTAAATACTGTAATAGTACCCCGCCCCCCATAACGACGGTGCGGAGTGTTGCGTAGTCTAGCTTTGAACGAGTTTTTCTCGACACTGGTTTATGCTACAATGCGCGCTTAGGTATCAAAAAATAGCCCTGAATTTCAGCTATTTTTTGATACCTAAGCGCGCATTGTAGCATTTCTGAAGACTACGGGTGCATCAACCCAGCTGACTGGCCTTTACCCTGGTCTGGATAATCTTTAGCATCTAACTCTAGAGCTGGAAAGTCAGGAGTCCCAGTAGGAGCTCAGGAGTCCCGGTAGGAGCTCAGGAGTCCCCGTAGGAGCTCAGGATTCCCGGTAGGAGCTCAGGAGTCCCCGTAGGAGCTCAGGATTCCCGGTAGGAGCTCAGGAGTCCCCGTAGGAGCTTAGGAGTCTCCCGTAGGAGCTCAGGAGTCCCGGTAGGAGCTCAGGAGTCCCCGTGGGAGCTCAGGATTCCCCGTAGGAGCTCAGGAGTCCCGGTAGGAGCTCAGGAGTCCCGGTAGGAGCTCAGGAGTCCCCGTAGGAGCTCAGGATTCCCCGTAGGAGCTCAGGAGTCCCCATAGGAGCTCAGGAGTCCCGGTAGGAGCTCAGGAGTCCCGGTAGGAGCTCAGGAGTCCCCGTAGGAGCTCAGGAGCCCCGTCCTAGCTCAGGAGCCCCGTACTTAATATGATTTAAGCTACCGTAGCGTGACCCTGGATAACTAAAGTCCTAAATAAACTAAAGTCCTAAATAAACTAAAGTCCTAACTAAACTAAAGCCTAAACTAAAGCCTAAACTTATTTTTCAGCCACCCAGTCAAATCCTTGACGACGAGAGCTCCGAGCAATCGTACAACGAGCATTTGGCGATGTGCAGGGAATGGTTGGATTACTCGAATATCTTACAAGAAGCCACTGCACAAAAGTGAGTGATTTTCATTATTCAGTGCACTAGAAAGGGGTTGTTTACGATTTCGAGCACAAAGCACACAGCAAAGAACGAAATAAAACATATCTGCCAGAGGGTTAACGTTTCTGGCACGCATAAAGCACTTGATCAAAGAGCAAAGCACAAAGCAAGCAAAGCACTTTAGACATCAGCGTCTCTTCGAAGTGACAAAGCGGTTGGAGTTGAAAAAGAAAATCGCAAAAAGGGTGAGTTGCACAAGAAATATCTAGATATAGATCTAAATTAGTAAATAATATTTAAAATAGTATATAATATCTAAATTAGCATATAATATCTAGCTATATTTCGTAGCCGCTTACGAAATTCAGCCACTAACGAATGAGGGTATTTCCGGGCATCCAATCAAAAAGTCATCCACATAAAAATGTTCATAATACATATATTTTATAATAAATTTTTGAAATTAGCTCATTTGGTTCAGTAGAAAATTTTTTTTGAGCCCCCAAAGTTTAGGTTCAAAAATGGCTATAAAAAATTTTCTACTCAACCAAAAAACTTGCCTAATAGCTCATTTTGTAGCCAATTTGATGTAGTTTCTTAAAGTAAAGCCATCTAAAACAATTTTTCGTTGAAAGTAGGAGAAAGAGGGCGAGGAACAAATTCAGGGCAATTCTCAAATGTGAAAACAGCGACCGAGTTCAACTGAAGTCGTTCCTCACCCTCTTTCTCCTAGCTTTGAAAAACAAATGTTCAATGTAGCTTTACTTTAAGAAACTACATTAAATTGGCTACAAAATGAGCTATTAAGCAAGTTTTTTGGTTGAGTAGAAAATTTTTTATAGCCATTTTAAAGATCCCCATCTTTGAACCTAAACTTTGGGGGCTCAAAAAAAATTTTCTACTGAACCAAATGAGCTAATTTCAAAAATTTATTATAAAATATATGTATTATGAACATTTTTTATGTGGATGACTTTTTGATTGGATGCCCGGAAATACCCTCATTCGTTAGTGGCTGAATTTCGTAAGCGGTTACGACATATATATCTAAATATCTATTTAAAAATCATCCCAGGATCACCTAAAAGCCGTCTACGATCAAGCGATCAACAAGCTGAACGGGATCGAGGAGAGTTTCTTGTAAAAGCACGCCAACTGATGCACTGAATTGCATGCACAAAGTCATTACAAGTACCCTGATCAATTTTTTTTAGCAAATCTCATCTTTTAGCAAATCTCATCTTTGTAAAGTCAAATTTTTGCAATTTCTTTTTGTATATTGTCTATTTTTTTTCTGTAATCTGCCTATTTTTTCTGTAATTTGCCTATTTTTTCTGTAATCTCTCGACACAAATTTTCCAGCATTGCCTTTTGTGAATAAAAACGGGTCCATTGTGTGTATACTTCAAAGTTTTTGATGAATAAATGTTTGAAAAAGTACGTTCAAGCCACAAAACGACATTTCAGGAAGCTTTTCCAAAATGTATGGCTTTGTGATCACCGCAATCCTAAAGCGCACATTTTAGAAGACACACAACAGAAACACGCAGCTCTACAGTGCAACAGCAACAGAAATACGCGACTCAACAGTGCAACAGCAACAGAAACACGCTGCTCCATAGTGCAACAACAGAAACACACTGCTCGATAGTGCAACAGCAACAGAAATACGCGACTCAACAGCAATAGCAACAGAAACACGCTGCTCCATAGTGCAACAACAGAACACGCTGCTCCACAGTGCAACAACAGAAACACGCTGCTCCATAGTGCAACAACAGAAACACGCTGCTCCACAGTGCAACAACAGAAACACGCTGCTCCATAGTGCAACAGCAACAGAAATACGCTGCTCCATAGTGCAACAGCAACAGAAACACGCTGCTCCATAGTGCAACAGCAACAGAAACACGCTGCTCCATAGTGCAACAGCAACAGAAACACGCTGCTCCATAGTGCAACAGCAACAGAAACACGCTGCTCCATAGTGCAACAGCAACAGAAACACGCTGCTCCATAGTGCAACAGCAACAGAAACACGCTGCTCCATAGTGCGTTTTCTATAGGATTTTTACGTTTGAATAGTCATTTGACGCAGAAAAATGTGCTGAATTCAATGGTGAAAAAATCCGTCTTGTAGGTTTTTTTTAAAATCGCATTTTATCAAAAAAATCGGTCATTTTACACAGAAACGGCTAAACTCACCTGCATTTAGCCCTCCACTACTCGATGATAACAAAAAAATTAGGGAATCCCAGGGAGTAGCCTTTATCAAAATGTTGTCTGCGGTCATTTTGAGACCAAAATCGTATTAATTGGTCAACTCATAAAAAAGTTATAACAAGACAAAAGAGACATTAAGACAAAAATGACGTTTGACGACTTTCTGCGCGCTAAAACGTGGATAATACCGTAACCCTTCCCCTGGGGGAAAAAACGACTTAAAGAACGCTTGCAACGAATTTTTTATTTTCAGTTCATTTTTCTTCTTTTTACGAGCTTACTTTATCATTTTCATGTCATAATAATTGTTTCTTTTTTTCAGATACCCAAAAATGAGTCAACGAAAGAAACGCAGCAAAATAGGAAAGCAAACGATCGAAAACAAAAGAGAGAAGCAGCGGATGGAGGTTTTGAGTTTTGAGTTTTGAGTTTTAAGATTTAAAGGATTAGAGCAAGCAAAAAGAAGATTAGTAGAATCAAAAAGCGCAAACGCGTTGAAATGTTGCAGAAGCTTCGTTTAGCTTTGTTTAGCTTCGTTTAGCTTTGTTTAGCTTCGAGCTTTGTTTAGCTTCGTTTAGCTTTGTTTAGCTTCGTTTAGCTTTGTTTAGCTTCGTTTAGCTTTGTTTAGCTTTGTTTAGCTTCGTTTAGCTTTGTTTAGCTTCGTTTAGCTTTGTTTAGCTTCGTTTAGCTTCGTTTAGCTTTGTTTAGCTTTGTTTAGCTTTGTTTAGCTTCGTTTAGCTTTGTTTAGCTTCGTTTAGCTTTGTTTAGCTTCGTTTAGCTTTGTTTAGCTTCGTTTAGCTTCGTTTAGCTTTGTTTAGCTTTGTTTAGCTTCGTTTAGCTTTGTTTAGCTTCGTTTAGCTTTGTTTAGCTTCGAGCTTTGTTTAGCTTTGTTTAGCTTCGAGCTTTGTTTAGCTTCGTTTAGCTTTGTTTAGCTTCGTTTAGCTTTGTTTAGCTTCGTTTAGCCCGAAACATTTATCGTCGCTACTTGAAAAAACAACGTAATCGGTTGTGGATCTCTTCTTTCCCCTCTTGAAACATTGGCTTTGATGTCAAAATTTTTAATTGTTAATTTTTAGTTTTTATTGAGAATAGGCCACGATTGTTACCCCCTCCCTTTAAAAAAATATTCGGTTAAGGGGTTCTACGATTAGAGATCTACGATTAGAGAAGGCGCTACTGTTGCAAGTATTACGATAAGCGATGCTGAGACAATGCTATAAAAATTAGTAAGAAAAACACTAGAGAGAAAGAAAGCTTTCGCTAAATCTTTCGCCAGAGTTTTCTAATGGTTACAGTGAGTAACTGATATTGAAATTCGCTTTGTAGGCTTTGCAGGCTTTGCAGGCTTTGTAGGCTTTGCAGGCTTCGTAGGCTTTGTAGGCTTCGTAGGCTTTGTAGGCTTTGTAGGCTTTGTAGGCGTTGCAGGTTTTGTAGGCTTTGCAGGCTTTGCAGGCTTTGTAGGCTTTGTAGGCTTTGCAGGCTCGAGTTTGATCAAAATTTAACTGTGCTCGACCTTCTTGTAAGCCAGATCGGCTTTCGCATTGCCCCAAATTTTCCATTCAACTTTCGCCCACAATTCCTGATTTCTGTTTGAAGATTTCAACTTTATACATTTTCAAATTCATTTTAAAACTTATTTCTTATATTCTTAATTTCTTATATATTTTTTTTGATCTGTCTTCGCATTCAGGTGTTCCTATTTGCGCAGATCACAACCTGCTTCCACATTTCTCTATCCCTTGCTAGTGTCATTCAGTGTTTCCTATCTTGTTCCTGGTTCGAAGTCTTCGACTTGCTTTTGCTGGTGGTGGTTGCACTCTAGCCATCCTTTCTCTGACCGTCTCTGCCACTCTTGTGCTCCACCTTGTTGCCGGTCTTCCGATGGGCCTCTTCTGGTCTCGTGGTAGCCACTCTGTGATCCGTATCGTCCATCTGTCGTCTGTTGTTCTGGCTACGTGGCCAGCCCATCTGAGTCTTTTTCTCTCAATCACTTCCACTGGATCTCTGAGTCCGGAGAGCTGGCCAATATCCGTACTTCTTAGGTCTTGGTCGAGCTGCGTCTTGGTGGAGCTGGGTCTTGGTCGAGCTGCGTCTTGGTGGAGCTGGGTCTTGGTCGAGCTGCGTCTTGGTGGAGCTGGGTCTTGGTCGAGCTGCGTCTTGGTGGAGCTGGGTCTTGGTCGAGCTGCGTCTTGGTGGAGCTGGGTCTTGGTCGAGCTGCGTCTTGGTGGAGCTGGGTCTTGGTCGAGCTGCGTCTTGGTGGAGCTGGGTCTTCCTATTGTACTCGAGGAGGTTCCTTTCAAGGACTCGATGCGTCGTTCTCAGGGCTCGTTCAGTGGTCTGTGTCGTGGCCCAGGTCTCTGTCCCGTAGCAGACTGCTGGGAGGACGGTGCTGTCGAAGAGGTGTGCCCGAGTTCTCTGGTGATTCTTGAGCATCTTTGTCTTATATTCTTTATTTCTTATATTCTTAATTTCTTAATTTCTTATATTCTTATATTCTTTATTTCTTATATTCTTATATTCTTAATTTCTTATATTCTTTATTTCTTATATTCTTATATTCTTTATTTCTTATATTCTTTATTTCTTATAATTCATCTTTGCAGTCTTTTTAGGTATAGAAAGTATTCAAAATGAGTCAAAAACGAGCTCAACTTTATTAGAAAACGAATTTCACCTTTGCAATTATCTCCAAAAACAAAAAAAAATTATTTCCTCAATTTGTGCCCCCGCCTGACAGAAAATACAAGAAAAATGAGTTCCCGGAAAATTTTTTTCTGAAAATCACATTTCTCTTTTACGATTTTTCCGCATTTTACGGGTTTCGGGAACTTTATTTTTGGCTTTTTAGCTCCGATAGAATTTGTTTTCCCGAAGCTACTGGGTTTCAGAGATTTGCTGAAATCTGTAAACACTATCGTACTTCTCGTGTACTTTGAGCTCAAAGCTTGAAAACGCAGCCTTTCTTTGGTCTAATAGTTCTTTACTATTAAACCTGTCAAGTTCTACCAAAATCTTAAGCATTTCAGTTTTCTGACTGACAAAAGTCAGGTCAAAGCAGAACTGGGCCTGGCTTAGACTAGAGTGAACTGGCTAGGTTTAACCAAATCAAGCCTCGTTTGATTTGTCTAACTCTGAGGCTTCATTTGATCCTGGAGGAGGTCCTGGAGGCTCCAGCCTGGTCCTGGAGGCTCCATCCTGGTCCTGGAGGCTCCAGCCTGGTCCTGGAGGCTCCAGCCTAGTCCTGGAGACTCCAGCCTGGTCCTGGAGGCTTCATTTGGTTTGGCCTAAGACAGGCCTAGGTCGGGCCTAAGCCAGGCCTAAGACAGAGCACAACTTAGGCTAAAAGAAGCTAAGCTAGGCCTAAGACAGAGCTCAGCTTAAGCCAAGCCAGGTCTACCTAGTGCTAATACTAAGGGAAAGTCTGGAGAATAAGGAGGGTGTTGGAAGAATTCTTGGCTCAGGCTGGGGATTGTAAAGGATGTAGCCGGGGATTGTAAGGATGTAGCCGAGGATTGTAAAGATGTAGCTGGGGATTGTAAGGGATGTAGCCGGGCATTAAAGCATTAACAGTCTGCTTATTGTCAAAGAGTAAATGTCTCTTTTGAGATCCCAACCAAGCTGATAGTATAAAATTCTTTTGGTGGAGATCTGGGAAGTCCTCCTTCTCAGCAGTAACTCCACACTCAACCCATTGCCGTTTCCAGGCCTGAATTGACCTGGATTGATGATTGTTTACAAATTACACAAAGTACACACCAGAATCTAGTTGCCCTAGTTGCTCTAGCTGCCCTAGCTGCCCTAGCTGCCCTAGCTGCCCTAGCTGCCCTAGTTGCCCTAGCTGCTCTAGCTGCTCTAGTTGCCCTAGTTGCTCTAGTTGCTCTAGTTGCTCTAGTTGCTCTAGTTGCTCTAGCTGCTCTAGTTGCTCTAGCTGCTCTAGTTGCTCTAGCTGCTCTAGTTGCTCTAGTTGCTCTAGTTGCTTACCGAAACGCACTTTTCTATGGTCGTTTCTATGCAATTATCCCCCAAACGAACAACAATATTTTTCGTCTACATTTGTCCACATTTTTTCATACGAAAACTTTTCAGCTATGGACTGCTCTTTCGACTATTCCCTAATCTCTCATCCTCTATACATCACCGCTTTGTCTTCGCACGTGATTTCCTCGATTTTCACCCTAATCTCGGCAACACTTGTGCTTCTGATATGCAAGAATACGCACGCATTGAACGGGAGTATTAGGGTGAGTTTTTGAAAGCTAATATAAATGATGTGGCTGATTAAGACAGCTGATTAAGAGCTACAGTTGATAGTTACAGACGATTAAGAGCTACAGTTGATAGTTACAGACGATTAAGAGCTACAGTTGATAGTAGTTTTAGCATTTAAAATAAAAATGAAAAAATCAAAGTTGAGCGGCACCAAGGAGGGTCGAACCCGGACCCTCTGGGCTGTAGAAACGCGTGCTCCCGACTGCGCCACGGAGACTATGTGGCGGGCTTTAAAACTTCTAGAGAAAGTTGTCTCGATAAAGAGTTTGGAGAGATTGTAACCAATCAAAAACTCGCCAAGTGGGTTTTTCTAGTTTTTTTTAGTCGAGTGATGTGGTCGGCCTGGGCCAGTGGGGAGCATGCTTTTCTATCACCCATACGATCCGGGTTCGATCCCCGGGCGGGTCAACTAACCATCATTTTTCGCATTTATTATTTTAAATAACACAACTATATATTCTAATGTTTTTAAGAGAAATTTTAGCTTTCTTGGTGGGAAAATATGGCTAAGATGGCTGAGAATGGCTAAGAAAATGGCTAAGAAAATGGCTGAGAAAATGGCTTTCATTGTGCAATAGAATAATATTAATAGAGTACTGTAGGTCATAGAGTGCTGTAGGTTGTTTTGAAGGCTTCTCTACTCGATCTCTACGTGATCTCGGCTCGGGAACTTGGATACTATCATGATAATAGAAATCTATCAGCTAACAAATTAGCAGTAGCAATTGAAGAGCCTTGCAAATTGGTATTTAGAAGATGTTGGGCACTACGGGCTCCTCGACAGCATCAAGATCCTTGTAGGGGATAGAGGAAAGGAGCATTACTCGTGCAATAATGTAATAGTAATCACAGAGTGCTGTAGCTTCTGCTGTAGCTTCTGCTTTAGCTTCTGCTTTAGCTTCTGCTTTAGCTTCTGCTTTAGCTCTGTTGGCTCGCTTTTGAGCTTCTGCTTAGCTTAGCTTCTGCTTTGCTTCTGTGTTTGTTCTTGAGCTTCTGCTTGCTTGCTGCTTTGCTTCCTGTAGCCGCTTTAGCTTCTGTTGTAGCTTCTGCTGTAGCTTCTGCTGTAGCTTCTGCTGTAGCTTCTGCTGTAGCTTCTGCTTTAGCTTTTGAAGGTTTCTCTACTCGATCTCTACTTGATCTCTTTGATCTCGGAAACTTGGATGCTGTCATTTTAGGCATAAACTTCATTAAAACAAAATGCTCTTTGGGCAGAAATGACCTCAATCTATCTAATTATCGAATCATCTAACACAAAGCACACTTTTTCCAAAAAAGAGCCCCAAATTCCCCAGGGGTCATTTGAAAGTTCAGTGAAAACCAAAATTGTGAACCAAAATTGTGACCAAAATTTTTTTTCTCAAGAAACTTTTGTCTCCTTTGAACCGAAACTGTTTAAAAATATCGGTTTTTGCATAAAAAATTGCAAAAAATTGAGTACAGGTGGTTTTTTGGGTACAAAAGAAATCGATGAAACACTTGAATCCTTTCTGGGAACACTTTACAAGAGTTTAGAAAAGAGCTAGAGAAAAGTGCAATTTTTTGGGATATTTACCTGTAAGAACATAGAGAAAAACATCGTCAAAGTTGACCGGCTTCTGGGAACACTTTACAGGAGCTTAGAAGGTTCATAGAGGAAGCCGGTCAACTTTGACTGCTTATATCTCGATGTGCAAGCATTGGATCGACTAGCAGTTGGTTTTATTAGAATCCTCATGAATTTGGCTAGAGAAAAGTGCAATTTGTTTGGGATAGTCGCCTGTAAGAACATAGGGAAAAACGTCGTCAAAGTTGACTGCTTTCGCGGTGCTTAGAAGAAGCCGGTCAACTTTGACTGCTTATATCTCGATGTGCAAGCATTGGATCGACTAGCAGTTAGTTTTATTGGAATCCTCATGAAATTTGACTAGAGAAAAGTGCAATTTGTTTGGGATAGTCACCTGTAAGAACATAGAGAAAAACGTCGTCAAAGTTGACTGCTTTCGCGGTTCTTAGGGAAAACCTGTGAAAGCCAGTTTTTTTGATTTTAACAAAACTATTACTAATATAATTTCTTTCTTTTCATTTCCTCTTCTAGATTTTAATATATAAAGAAAATGAACAAAGATAAGAGAACAAAGATCGAAAATAAGAGTAAGAGTCTTTCAGGGAACTCGAGTTAATTCCAGGCAAGCCTTGACCTAGCTTGACCTAGCTAGCTTGGCAAGCCTTGACCTAGCTGGACCTAGCTAGCTTGGCAAGCCTTGACCTAGCTGGACCTAGCTAGCTTGGCAAGCCTTGACCTAGCTTGACCTAGTTAGCTTGGCAAGCCTTGACCTAGCTGGACCTAGCTAGCTTGGCAAGCCTTGACCTAGCTTGACCTAGTTAGCTTGGCAAGCCTTGACCTAGCTTGACCTAGCTAGCTTGGCAAGCCTTGACCTAGCTGGACCTAGCTAGCTTGGCAAGCCTTGACCTAGCTTGACCTAGCTAGCTTGGCAAGCCTTGACCTAGCTGGACCTAGCTGCTTGGCAAGCCTTGACCTAGCTTGACCTGCTAGCTTGGCAAGCCTTGACCTAGCTGGACCTAGCTAGCTTGGCAAGCCTTGACCTAGCTTGACCTAGCTAGCTTGGCAAGCCTTGACCTAGCTGGACCTAGCTAGCTTGGCAAGCCTTGACCTAGCTTGACCTAGCTAGCTTGGCAAGCCTTGACCTAGCTTGACCCAGCTAGCTTGGCAAGCCTTGACCTAGCTTGACCTAGCTAGCTTGGCAAGCCTTGACCTAGCTTGACCTAGCTAGCTTGGCAAGCCTTGACCTAGCTGGACCTAGCTTGACCTAGCTAGCTTGGCAAGCCTTGACCTAGCTTGACCCAGCTAGCTTGGCAAGCCTAGCTTGCTTGATTTCACTTTAGACTTTAGACTTACTTCACTTGCCTTTCACTTGCCTTTCATCATTTTCTAGACTAGAGCCTTAAAATAAAGTTCTCCTTAGCCAGCATCGTCCAGCCATCGTCCAGCCAATACTTGAAACACATACTCGATGTAGACAGTCCACAGCTTAAACAAAGAGAGATCTAGCAAGAGCAAGATCTAGCAAGAGTTTTCAAGATCTGTAAACCCCAAACTCCTTTCCAGGTTCAACTCTACACTCTATTTTTCTTCACTTTTCTTCACTCGATCGTTTTGGGGAGTTTTCAGGTAATATCAATGATTATTGCAATACAAATAGTTATTCAGTTGTTATGTTAATGTTATTATGTTAATGTTATTCAGTTATTCCATTTGATTCGCGATCAAATCTTCTCAACTCGAAACGATTGTTCGATTCTTCTTCCATCATCATTTTGTTGCCTCTTTCGTATCCCGTTCGCCTTTTCGATAGGTAAGCTCCAGTCCATCTCTATCCAAAGCTTGTCCATCTCTATCCAAAGCTTGTCCATCTCTATCTAAAGCTTGTCCATCTCAATACAAAGCCTCAGTCCATTTTTCAAAAGCATTCTTTCTGATGCACTTCTACAAACGTAAACTTTCTCCATCTGGAACTCCATCTTTCCCCATCTTCATCTGGCTTGCCAATGAGATTCCAGTGTTCTAAATGGAAAGAGTTGCACAGTAGAATCTTGGATAACTTAGATAATCTTGGACAACTTGGATGCAAAGTACAATCTTGAATCCTACTTTGTACAAAGAACAATCTTGAATTCTGCTTTGTACAAAGTACAATCTTGAATTTTGCTTTGTACAAAGTAGAATCTTGAAAAAGGGAATATGGTTCCAATATGGTTTCAATATGGTTTCAATATGGTTCCAATATGGTTTCAATATGGTTCCAATATGGTTTCAATATGGTTTCAATATGGTTCCAATACGGTTCCTATTTTGATCTAATACGGTTCCAATACGGTTGCAATGCGGTTCCTATTTTGATCTAATGCGGTTCCAATACGGTTCCAATGCGGTTCCAATGCGGTTCCAATACGGTTCCAATACGGTTCCAAGACGGTTCCAATACGGTTCCAATAAGGCTCCAATACGGTTCCAATGCGGTTCCAATAAGGCTCCAATACGGTTCCAATACGGTTCCTATTTTGATCTAATATGATTCCAATACTTCTACAAAACTTGCAAACCGTCTTTCTCTCTTTTCTCTAGCCAACAAATCTCTTGTACTTTTAGCGGGTCTCGTTTTGTGTTGGTTCTCGTGTGCGATCGATCGTTGCATCGCGTCAATTTTCCCGAAAATGCGCGACTCTCGATTGGAGTTCACGGCAAAAGGACTTGTTTCAATGACGGTAATCAAAAAAGTGAAGGGGATTTCCAAGAAAAGATTAGAAGTTCTTCTTCAAAAGCTTCTTTTATTCGTTTTCTTGTTCACAAATTTCTATTATAAAGTTCTCTAAGAAATTTGTGATCAAGAAAACAACAAATTCTAACCGGTTATTACCCAAAAAAAGCTATTTTCACGCTATTTTCACTTTCTAGACGATCACATGAAAATAATTGCGGCTTAGTCGACTTGACGCATTATTTTCGACGTTAATTTTAGGTTCTGAAAATGGCCAATGGGCTCTGGCCAATCTCTGGCTAAAGGACCAACTCGGGAAAATAGGAGAACTTGAGAAGTGCCAATAAACGAGTACATCAAGTTCTCGAGTTAGAGTCTCGAGTTAGAGTCTCAACTCTTTAAGAATAGAGTAAAGTAAAGGAGCTAATTGATAAATTTGTCCAGTTTCTCGCCACATTTCTCCTCACTTTTTGGACGTTTCAAAATGAGGATTTCTCGGAGATGCAAGTGAATTGCGGAGCGTCGACGAAGAGCTCGGGTAAAGAAGTTTCATTTCATCAAAACTCGATCCACCGAAATGAAATTGAACTTTGGCTTACGTTTAGAGAAAGAGGAAGAGAAAGAAAGGGAGAAAGAGAGGAAGAAAGGGGAAGAAAGGGGAAGAAAGGGGAAGAAAAAAGGGAAACATTCTTGTTTATTTCATTCATTTCATAAATAACTCAATTCTAACTTAAAAGCCTTCACTTTTCAGCACAACATTTCACGTATTTCTTTTATTTTTTAATGATTTTGGACGTGTTAGCTGTTGGGATTTTTCTCAGTTTATATTTCTACAATAAATTAATGCTACAAAAGTAAGTGCATTTAAATATGTCGTAGCCGATTATGAAATTCAGCCGATTAATGAGTGGAATGAGTGGGTCTAGGAGCGTCCAATCATCAAGTATTTGGTCTAGGAGCGTCCAATCATCAAGTATTTGGTCTAGGAGCGTCCAACCATCAAGTATTTGGTCTAGGAGCGTCCAATCATCAAGTATTTGGTCTAGGAGCGTCCAATCATCAAGTATTTGGTCTAGGAGCGTCCAATCATCAAGTATTTGGTCTAGGAGCGTCCAATCATCAAGTATTTGGTCTAAGAGCGTCCAATCATCAAGTATTTGGTCTAGGAGCGTCCAATCATCAAGTATTTGGTCTAGGAGCGTCCAATCATCAAGTATTTGGTCTAAGAGCGTCCAACCATCAAGTATTTAGTATCATTCTACGCAGAATCATTGATAATTATGTTAAATTTTTGAAATTAGAAAGATTGGATAAAAAGAAAAGAAACTAGAGCGATTTGTTTGAGAGTGAACTTTGAAGGGCCGTAAAATTTTCTATTTTTATCCAATCTTTCTAATTTCAAAAATTTAACATAATTATCAATGATTCTGCGTCGAATGATACCAAATACTTGATGGTTGGACGCTCCTAGACCAAATACTTGATGGTTGGACGCTCCTAGACCAAATACTTGATGATTGGACGCTCTTAGACCAAATACTTGATGATTGGACGCTCCTAGACCCACTCATTCCTAATCGATTACGACATATATTTATATTTCACTTGTTTTACTTTAAAATCTTTATTTTCTTTTTCCAGAAAATCATTCGAGCTGAGATTTCGTTTCCAAGTCGAAGAGAATCTTCAAGTCATCGTCCTTCTTTCACCGATTGTCATTGCTCATTTTCTTGTTTTTCTATTTTACACTCTTTCTACCGTTATCGTACAGGTTTTCGTTTATTTTAGAAAAAGAAAAGCTCACCTGAAAGCAAAGCTCACGAAAGAAAGATCGTTTCTGTAAGTTTCTGTAAGTTTCTGTCATTTTCTACAATTTCTACAATTTCTGCCTTTTTCTTCTCAGAATTCGCTTTGATTTTGTAAGAAAATGAAAGAAATCAGTGCACTAAATGGCACGCGTTTGCTCTAGAGCAAAAAAGCACTTCAAAGAATGCGCTAGAAAGGATTAGAACGATTAGAAACGATTAGAAACGATTAGAAACTATTAGAAACTATTAGAAACGATTAGAAACTATTAGAAACGATTAGAACGATCTGAAACAATTAGAAACGATCAGAAATGATTAGAAACGATTAGAAACTATTAGAAACGATTAGAAACGATCAGAAACAATTAGAAACGATTAGAAACGATTAGAAACTATCAGAAACTAGTAGAAACGATCAGAAACGATTAGAAACGATTAGAAACGATTAGATACGATTAGAAACTATCAGAAACTAGTAGAAACGATCAGAAACGATTAGAAACGATTAGAAACGATTAGATACGATTAGAAACTATCAGAAACTAGTAGAAACGATCAGAAACGATTAGAAACGATTAGAAACGATTAGATACGATTAGAAACTATCAGAAACTAGTAGAAACGATCAGAAACGATTAGAAACGATTAGAACGATTAGATACGATTAGAAACCTTTAGAAACTATTAGAAACAATTAGAAACGATTAGAAACGATCAGAAACGATTAGAAACGATTAGAAACGATTAGAAACGATTAGAAACTATCAGAAACTAGTAGAGACGATCAGAAACGATCAGAAACGATTAGAAACCATTAGAAACGATGAGAAACGATGAGAAACTATTAGAAACGATTAGAAACGATTAGAAACGATTAGAAACGATCAGAAACGATCAGAAACTATTAGAAACGATTAGAAACCATTAGAAACGATGAGAAACGATCAGAAACTATTAGAGACTATTAGAAACGATTAGAGACTAGTAGAAACGATCAGAAACACCGTCTTTCTAGCATCCCCTTCTCTTCTTCTAATGCATGCCATTTTTAGGCAAATAAGACGAATTTCGTTGATCCGATGCTCTACGTGGTTATCGATATGCATTGCTATGTGAGAATTGATTTAAAAATTCAATCATTTCACTTAAAATTGGAATGATTTCACTTAAAATCAAATCATTTAGCTTGAAATCGAATCATTTAACCTAAAATAGAATCATCTTTCTTTAGGTTGTCCCATATTTCACGATTTGTCTCCCCTTTCTCTTTGCGTTGATGGTTTGGCGAGGGAAAAGGATACGGTAAGAGATAAAAGATCACATGAGAATAGAAACAAATCAAGTCTATCAGACTCAGAGTCCAAGGGTGACCCTGTGGCCCTGATCTAGAATCGCATTATACCCAGCGAGAGTACTCTAGAATCTTGTAGACACTGCAAGAGTCAGACTCAAATTGATCACCTCAAAGTGATCAAATAGTTAGGGTAAATGTTGGGTTGTTGGGTTGAAAGATAGTCAGAACTGCTTTACCCTGACATCGCTACGATTCCGATTACGATTACGCTTCCGATTACGATTACGATTACGGATTACGGCAATTGTAAAGGCTACAAGGATCAGAACCCTACTAAAAGTGCGAACTTGTACGAGAAAGCTCTGAGAATGCACTTTATGCCTTTAAAAGATGTATTAGGTTGAAGAATACCGTAAATAGAGCGTATTTTCCGGGTATTTTGAAAGAATCTGAGTACTTTAAAAGAATCTGGGTATTTTAAAAGAATCTGGGTATTTTGAACGGATCGTCAGACTTTGAAGCCCTATAACTTTGTCTAGAGACAATATTTTTGCTAACCTTTTATATCATTGTACAGAGGACATTTCAGGCTTTCAAATGATACAAAATAGAGCTCGATTGCAAAATCCAGTCCAAGAGAATCAGACCCAACTCTGGCCCATCCCTAGCCAAATGTGGCCTATCCAACTCGGGTGTCGTTTCGCCTTGTTTTCATGGGAATGAAAAAGCCAATCGAGCTCTATTTGGTATCATTTGAAAGCCTCAAATGTCCTCTATTCAATGATATAAAAAGTTAGCAAAAATATTGTCTCTAGACAAAGTTATGAACCTTTAAATCACGGCGTCTCATTCAGAGTACCCGGTCTTCGGTCTCTTGGTTTGTCCCCGATTTTCTTGAAATTCTTTAGTCCAATCAAGCTCTATTTGGTATCATTTGAAAGCCTGAAATGTCTTCTATTCAATGATATAAAAAGTTAGCAAAAATATTGACTCTGGAAGAAGTTACAGGCTTTCAAAGTTGGCGACTCGTTCAAAATACCCGGCTTTTCTTTCAATACGCAGATTCTTTCAAAATACCCGGAAACTACGTAAGAGCCAAATCTTCTATAGAAAAATATTTCAATTCTCTATGAAAACAAAGCGTAAGATGATTGGAGATCTGAGTGTTGAGTTACACTTAAAATATTGAGTCCGGGTAATTATTGAACACCAGAAAAGTCTTTTTGTTTCTTTTTTTACTTCCTTTTAAACCAACAAATTCAAATTGATGGTTTGGAAAAACCAGTGATGAGTATTGATTCTTTTCCTTAAAGAATCACTCATTGTACCATTTTTCAGACGCGGTCGTATCGCGACAATGGTCGGCGAGAAGCGAGACGGTCGTGCCGGAGCTGAGGCACACTTTTCAGCCATGGAAATCATGTGGAAAAGTCGAGTGAGTATTGGTGGGAATGGATGGGAAAATGAGGAGAAAAAGCGAAAGAAGCCTTTTGAGAAAATCAGGGTCATATCAGCAAGACCATGAGAGGGATTTGAATAAAGATTTATGACGAGAATTGTCTTTGCAAGCACACTGCACTGCAGCACTGCAAACAGTCTTTGCAGCACTAAAGTTCTGTATTCGACTGTACCAGAAGCAGCTATGATAACTCCGCCTCTTTGCTCTCTCGATTGCCGTTCGCAATCTACGAATTTTACTTGTATCTTGATTTGTTTGTAAAACGTTGAATTTCCTTTATTCGATAGAAAATTTCATTTTAAAGTTCTGTCCTTTTTAAATTCTCTTTAATCGAATTCTCTCTGATTACTATTTTATGTGTTTATAGCCAAAAGATAGTCAATTTTTCACAGAATTTCCACAATATTAGAGGCCCTCCAATAGAAGCATCACTCTCCAATAGAAGCACACTCTCTAATAGAAGCCCGCTCTCCAATAGAAGCATCACTCCCCAATAGAAGCATCACACTCCAATAGAAGCATCACTCTCCAATAGAAGCCCACCCTCCAATAGAAGCATCACTCTCCAATAGAAGCCCACTCTCCAATAGAAGCCCACCCTCCAATAGAAGCATCACTCTCCAATAGAAGCCCACTCTCCAATGGAAGCCCACCCTCCAATAGAAGCATCACTCTCCAATAGAAGCACACTCTCTAATAGAAGCATCACTCTCCAATAGAAGCACACTCTCTAATAGAAGCCCACTCTCCAATAGAAGCATCACTCTCCAATAGAAGCCCACCCTCCAATAGAAGCATCACTCCAATAGAAACCCACTCCCCAATAGAAGCATCACTCCAATAGAAACCCACTCCCCAATAGAAGCATCACTCCAATAGAAACCCACTCCCCAATAGAAGCATCACTCCAATAGAAACCCACTCCCCAATAGAAGCATCACTCCAATAGAAACCCACTCCCCAATAGAAGCATCACTCCAATAGAAACCCACTCCCCCAATAGAAGCATCACTCCAATAGAAACCCACTCCCCAATAGAAGCATCACTCCCAATAGAAACCCACTCCCCAATAGAAGCATCACTCCAATAGAAACCCACTCCCCAATAGAAGCATCACTCCAATAGAAACCCACTCCCCAATAGAAGCATCACTCCAATAGAAACCCACTCCCCAATAGAAGCATCACTCCAATAGAAACCCACTCTTCAATAGAAGCCCACTCTCCGTTTCATCAGCACAAAAAGCGTCTCAAACCATCACAGAACCACCGCCAAAGTTTCGAGTCCCAAACACCATCGGATCACATCGAAAATCCCTCCAAAAGTAGTCGACGCCATTCCGATAAACTTAGACTACGCGATGCGAGGCGAGGCTATAGGCGAGGCTTCTATTAAAGTATTACTCATGTAAATTTTAAATGAGTAATACTTTTTACGGTACTCATGTAAATTTTACTCGAGTCGCACTAGCACTTACTGAATTGAGTGAATGACGGAATGACTGAATGACTGATTTACTAGGCTATTACTAGCCCCCCCCAAATCCCCCAAGTACTCCCCGGTGAGGGAGGGGGTCACCCGAGCTATCTTGGAGGAATCATCCTTACCTCAAGCTCTGACGAAGACGCGCCACCGTCTCAGGGAGCAATTGCCCTGGGTCTCCGAGTTTTTAGAGTCTTTGCTTTGACTGAGCGTTGTTTGAGCTGTGCACCCCTCAGCTTTCCGACAATTCCCTTGGCTTGAAAGTACCCGGGTACTTAGGAGTGCCATTCTCCTTTACCTCACAGAGGACATCCGCTGTTTCTGTTTCTGTTTCTGTTATCACAAACGTTTTGAATTTCTAACTGGGTTTTTACATGACATCTATCGAGAATTTTTGCATCAAAAAATAAAAAAATCTTTGCTCAGTGCGCGCGTAAGCCTTTAAATAAAAGAGAGGCGAAAATGAGCTCGATTCAGAATGATTTTGCAAAAAAACGAATGAAAAATCAGTGCAACGTATCAGAAATGATTCGGAATCATCGTAAAATACGGAAACATTGTAAAATACGGAATCATCATAAAATTCTGCGTCGAATCATCTATAGCTCATCAACTCATCCCAGCTCATTTGGTGAGCTGGGCTACAACTCATCCCAGCTGGGCTACAACTCATCCCAGCTGGGCTACAACTCATCCCAGCTGGGCTACAACTCATCCCAGCTGGGCTACAACTCATCCCAGCTGGGCTACAGCTGATCCCAGCTGGGCTACAGCTGATCCCAGCTGCGCTACAGCTGATCCCAGCTGGGCTACAGCTGATCCCAGCTGCGCTACAGCTGATCCCAGCTGGGCTACAGCTGATCCCAGCTGCGTACGCTGATCCCAGCTGCTAGCTGATCCCAGCTGCGCTGCTGATCCCAGCTGGGCTACTCATCCCAGCTGGGCTCAGCTGATCCCAGCTGCCTACAACTCATCCCAGCTGGGTAAGCTGATCCCAGCTGCGCTACAACTCATCCCAGCTGGGCTAAACTCATCCCAGCTGTACAGCTGATCCCAGCTGCGCTACAGCTGATCCCAGCTGGGCTACAACTCATCCCAGCTGGGCTACAGCTGATCCCAGCTGGCTCAACTCATCCCAGCTGGGCTAAACTCATCCCAGCTGGCTCAGCTGATCCCAGCTGCGCTACAGCTGATCCCAGCTGGGCTACAGCTGATCCCAGCTGCGCTACAGCTGATCCCAGCTGGGCTACAACTCATCCCAGCTGGGCTACAGCTGATCCCAGCTGCGCTACAACTCATCCCAGCTGGGCTACAACTCATCCCAGCTGCGCTACAGCTGATCCCAGCTGGGCTACAACTCATCCCAGCTGGGCTACAACTCATCCCAGCTGGGCTACAACTCATCCCAGCTGGGCTACAACTCATCCCAGCTGGGCTACAACTCATCCCAGCTGGGCTACAACTCATCCCAGCTGGGCTACAACTCATCCCAGCTGGGCTACAACTCATCCCAGCTGGGCTACAACTCATCCCAGCTGGGCTACAACTCATCCCAGCTGGGCTACAGCTCATCCCAGCTGGGCTACAGCTCATCCCAGCTGGGCTAAGCTCATCCCAGCTGGGCTACAGCTCATCCCAGCTGGGCTACAGCTCATCCCAGCTGGGCTACAGCTCATCCCAGCTGGGCTACAGCTCATCCCAGCTGGGCTACAGCTCATCCCAGCTGGGCTACAGCTCATCCCAGCTGGGCTACAGCTCATCCCAGCTGGGCTACAGCTCATCCCAGCTGGGCTACAGCTCATCCCAGCTGGGCTACAGCTCATCCCAGCTGGGCTACAGCTCATCCCAGCTGGGCTACAGCTCATCCCAGCTGGGCTACAGCTCATCCCAGCTGGGCTACAGCTCATTTGGTGAGCTGGGATGAGTTGTAGCCTTTTGTTCACCAGATTTGTGCATTTGTATACGAAAAGCTCCTCCATTTCTACAAAACCCCTTTATTTAATTGGATATTTTGGAAAATTTGATAATAATTGAATTGAAATTGAAATAATTGAAATAAAAAAAGTAAAAGATTAAAAAAACTACCAACTATGCACCAGATTTTGATAATTTAAAGCAAAAAAAAGCAAAAGCAAAAGTTTTTAGCTAATATGTACAAGCGATCGAAAAAAAAGACGAGAAAATCGAGAAAACGAGGAAATTATCTGGTTACAGAAAAAGAAATCTTTTATTGATTGAAGCCGAGATTCGGCTGACTGGCCGCCGAACGGAACGAGGAAAGAATCGTTCTGAAATCGGAAACGTTATTTGTGATCGAGATATTTGGATATCAGCTGACATCCAAATATCTGGTAAAAAATTATGGCCTCTTTCCGAGAAAATCTTGGATTGACGCTTTAAAGTGTGGTAAAACTACCGTACCCCTCCTAAAAAAGACAGTGCGAAATTTCATTTTTTTCATTCTTGTTCATTTCATTTTTTTTTCATTTTTTTATCATTTCTTTTCATTTTTAAATTTCTATTCATTTCTTTTCATTTTTCATTTCTTTTCATTATTTCATTTCATTTTATTCTTTTTACGCTTTTCTGATGTGATTGCTTTTGTTTTTGCAAGAAACAAAGAGGATAAAGCTAATTTACGTTTTTAACAGCATTTTTTGTGGTGGAAGCTTTGTTTGTCGTTTTTACTTGCTTCCTGATGATCTGCTTCACGAACTTGATGCCAACAAATGTTAAGTAAAGTGGTTTTTATCATTTTCTATGGCAGAAGCTTTGTTTTAACCACGGCGATAACCACTACACCACGAGACTGTTGAGGGGCCGCGGCGGGAAAGGGATTTTGTGGGCATGACCCTCAAAGAGGGAGAAAGATTGGCACTTTGAAGAAAAGTCAGAGAAAAAAAGGCTTATTTTGAAGAAATTCTACTTGCGACGTTTTTTCGAGAAAATCTTGGGTTGGCGCTTTAAAGTGTGGTAAAACTACCGTACCCCTCCTAGAAAAGACAGTGCGAAAGTTAATTTTTTTCATTCTTGTTCATTTCATTTTTTTTTCATTTCTTTTCATTTTTTCATTCTTCTTCATCTTATTTTATTCTTTCTGCGTTTTTCTGATGTAATCGCGTTTGTTTTTGCAAGAAACAAAGAGGATAAAGCTAATTTACGTTTTTAACAGCATTTTCTATGGCGGAAGCTTTGTTTGTAGGGTTTTTTAGACCCACTTGCCTCCTTTTAGATCTGCTCTACGAACTTGATGCCAACTAATGTTAAGTTAAGTGGTTTTTATCATTTTCTATATTAAGTTAAGTGGTTTTTTATCATTTTCTATATTAAGTTAAGTGGTTTTTATCATTTTCTATGGTGGAAGCTTTGTTTTTAGTTTTTGGACCACTTGCTTCCTTTTAGATCTGCTCTACGAACTTGATGCCAACTAATGTTAAGTTAAGTGGTTTTTATCATTTTCTATATGAAGTTAAGTGGTTTTTATCGTTTTCTATATTAAGTTAAGTGGTTTTTATCATTTTCTATATTAAGTTAAGTGGTTTTTATCATTTTCTATGGTGGAAGCTTTGTTTTTAGTTTTTGGACCACTTGCTTCCTTTTAGGTCTGCTCTACGAACTTGATGCCAACAGATGCTAAGTTAAGTGGTTTTTATCGTTTTCGGCTAAATTCAACAAAGATTTTTGGAATGAAGGGGAAGCCAGGCTCAGGCTCACTAAATTAGTAGATATTACAGTAATTCTCAGCTACCGTAACCGTTTGGTTGTTGTACTAATCTAGGGATTTAGACAGGATTACAATTGCCAATTGCCACTATTTAGAAGTTGCCTCTTTTAGAATGTTAGTGTTTTTATAACGTTTATAATGCTTTCAAGTTGCCTTGGCTCCCTCGTAAATCGAGCTTCAGCAATGTTAGATAAAAGATAGATAAAACAATTGTAGATAAAGTAGATATTCAGCTCACGTAACTCTGCAGATTTTTGGTGCTAGCTCAATCGTTGACAAGACTTTCGTTCTTTCCTTTCCACTCACCGATTATTGTGCTGTTGTGTGGATCGGATTGGTTGCATTTGCCGTTCGTTTTCCTCATCATAGCCACCACCTTTCACCTCGCGAAGTTTGTCGAGCTGAGAAAAGATTTACCGTAAACATTCTAATACTTCGATTAGAACTGTACTTCTATTCTTAGCCAAGCCAGATCTGCTTGAATCTGTTCGAAAGAAAGGCCGGACAACTGATTTTTCTTTTCATTAATGTCCCAATAGGTTGAGGAACGACTATGGAGAAAATTCTACGGTTAAGTAGGCTAGCTGCAAATGGGAACCTAATGAGAACCTAATCGGAACCGAATGAGAACCTGGTCGGAATCGAATGAGGACCTAATTGGAACCGAATGGGAAGCTCTTCGGAACCGAATGAGGACCTAATTGGAACCGAATGAGAAGCTCTTCGGAACTGAATGAGAACCTGGTCAGAATCGAATGAGGACCTAATTGGAACCGAATGAGAAGCTCTTCGGAACCGAATGAGAACCTGGTCAGAATCGAATGAGGACCTAATTGGAACCGAATGAGAAGCTCTTCGGAACCTAATCGAAACCTAATCGGAACCTAGTTCTAATCGGAATCTAATCGAAATCTAATCGGAACCTAACCGGAGCCTAATCGAAACCGAATGAGGACCTAGTCGGAGCCGAATGAGAACCTAATCCGAACCAAATCCGAACCAAATCCGAACCAAATCCGAACCTAATCCGAACCTAATCCGAACCAAATCCGAACCTCGAAGAACTCTTGTCCGGGGTAATTTTCCCCTATATCATCCTGAAGCCTATTTTGTGTCAGGGATCGCTATTATCCTAGCGGTAAAGGGAATCTACAATGTAGCTCATTGGTAGAGCGTTCGTCTGGTAATCGCGCCGTTGCCGAGAGGTGTTCGAATCCCGGCGCCGACCATGTTTTGTTTTCCCAGCCCCAACCCATGTCCAACTCCTGGCTACCCCTAGCTAAATACCTCAATCTCAGGAATGGACCTTTCATATACGTCCATTCCTTCTCCAAAAATCAACCAACCAACCTGTCTACTCGAGATCGGTTGTGCCGATCGAAGGACGATCCATTTTACGGTTTCTCTGAATGGATCCACTGTCTCCGAGCCATCATAAACCCAGAATTCTTTGCATTTCTCTGGAAATCGCGTTTTGAACGAGATTTTTCCACCGTAAAACTCACCCAGCGCCGGGAAAAGTTGATTGAAGTTGTAGTGTGAGATTTTCGTCTCGTTTCCTTTGTAGACGATCTTCGGGAGAATCTCGATGAACGGATTGAGCGCGGGATTGTCGTCGTGCGATTCCTGGAAGTCATTGATTCGGGTCATTGATTCATCGGGAAGATCCTGGTTCAATTACCCGACTGGGGGATAAAAAAAAAGCTAGCTTAATGGCTAGCTAGCTCAAGCTCAACTAGCTAGCTCAAGCCAGCGTTTACCCTCCGCTCAAACGTCAGAGTTGCCAAAAGTTGGGTAAAAAGAGCCAAATCTCTTCATGGAAACCATCAAAATGAAACAAAATGAAGAATGATCAATATTTTAGATTTGATAGATCAATATGATCAATATTTTATCTTGTTCAAAAGATTTACATTCAAGAAAATGGCGACAATGACGACTCCATTCGGCTGTTTCAGCGCCAAATCCATTGTCGAGAAACGGGTATTCCGGTGAATGAGATGCATTTCGCCCGCATATCCAACACCTGAATTTACCGTATTTACTCGAATAGAAGGCCGGCCTCGATCATAAGACCGTCTCGAATAGAAGACGGGGTCTAGGGGATGATCGAAAAAATAGAAGACCGTCTTGAATAGAAGACCGAGTAAATACGGTAGTTTCTATTCGAGTAAATACCGTAGTTTTAAAAGCCAATTTTTACCTAAATCAGCTAAGCTAAATCATGTTTTCTGTTTTAAACAAAAAAAAAGTAAAAACAGACCAGACGGATCTGAACTTGAGCCAAGGGACCGTGATCGGTTTTGTAACCCAGCACACTAACCACTACGCCACCTCTGCCAATGTTCGGGGGCGAGGGGAAGACGCTTTAAAGGTACCGATCCCCAATCTGGAGCTGGTAATTTTAAAGCTTAATTAAAGGCAATTTTCTTTGGCTTTAACGACAATTTTATTTTTCTTTAACGACAATTTTATTTCCCAAATATCTCACGATTCCAAACCAATAAACAGATTTTTAAAAATGATTCGAAATCTCCGTCAAAAACTGTATCTAATGAGCTTAAGCACTTTGATTTCGGGTTTCCATATTAAACATTTTAGCTTTTTGAGCTCACTCACCCCCAATCGTATGCTCTGATCCGTTCATCGGCTCGGTTCCCCAATGCCAACTCACCGCATCCAAATGGAATTGTTCCTAGACAAAATAGCAATCTGAGATCTGAGAATGATTCGTAAAATCTAGTTGTTGTATGTTTAACGGTGACAGGATCAGATTTGATTTAACCAGCTCGGACTCACTTGTTTGCCTTGCTGGCTTGCTTGCTTGATTGCCTTGCTGGCTTGCTTGCCTTGCTGGCTTGCTTGTTTGCCTTGCTGGCTTGCTTGCTTGCCTTGCTGGCTTGCATGTTTGCCTTGCTGGCTTGCTTGCTTGCTTGCCTTGCTGGCTTGCTTGTTTGCCTTGCTGGCTTGCTTGCTTGTCTTGCTGGTTTGCTTGTTTGTCTTGCTGGCTTGCTTGTTTGTCTTGCTGGCTTGCTTGTTTGTCTTGCTGGCTGGCTTGCTTGCCTTGCTGGCTTGCTTGCCTTGCTGGCTTGCTTGCTTGCTTGCCTTACTGGCTTGCTTGTTTGCCTTGCTGGCTTGTTTGTTTGTCTTGTTGGCTTGTTTGCTTGCCTTGCTACCTTGCTGGCTTGTTGGCTTGCTTGCTTGCCTTGCTGGGTTGCTTGTTTGTCTTGCCTGCTTGCCCAAGCCTTAACTGGCCAGGCTTTCGCTCTGAGATCTGAGAACGATCGTCCACAGAATGATAGGCGCAACCCTGAATTTTGCAGAAACACAATTTAAAAAGTTTTGACGAAAGCTGTAAAAGAGTTTTTTTAAGGATCATCCCACCTCTTCCTCCCAAATTTAATGCTTTCTTTTCCCTAGTGTTTTTCTGATGTCCATAGCATTGTCTCTAATAGCGAAATAGCGAAAATCGCACACATGAATGGTTGCAATAGAATTCCTCTTCACTTTTGGCAATGAGCCCGATGGCTTTCGAAGTTATTGGCATGGCATAGTTATTGGCAGTTATTGGCATCTTAGAAAGGATAAACTCCAAGATTCAAGGACTTCAAGGGTATTGGGATTGAGCAGTGATTGAAGAATGGTGGGATTGAGCAGTGATTGAAGAATGGTGGGATTGAGCAGTGATTGAAGAATGGTGGGATTGAGCAGTGATTGAAGAATGGTGGGATTGAGCAGTGATTGAAGAATGGTGGCATTGGGCGGCATTTGTTTCCTTTTCTCTACAAATTTGGGCGGTGATTTGATCAAAAGGATGAGTGAAGTCATACTTTGTTTCAAAGAAGATGAAATGAATCGCATTATCGAGTATTTTAACGTGGAATTCTCCTTTTTTGGACGCCAAAATCGCAACAAGAGTTTGATTTTTATGCAGGCTAGCGTTCCGTGCGTTCCATTCCTGTGTGTGATGTGGACAGGAATGGACACAGGAATGGTCATCGCTCCGTCGTCACGCAAAGAAATTGCTGCAACGCAAGAGAATCAGGGAGGACAAGAGAGAAGAGGGTTCTCTCTAGAGAAGAGGGTTCTCTCTAGAGAAGAGGTTCTCTCTTGTCCTCCTGATTTGAATGTGATCGAGAACGTATAGGCATTTATGGCTCGGGTATTTTGCCGAAAGCTTATGGAGGAAATTTAAGCGCACGAACTCGAAAATTCTCAAGAAACAAGAGCTCGAAACGTTCATGAGTTCATGTTCTAATTCGTTCATCACCTCAAGTCTACCATTATCATCAAATCGACAAGAAATTGTTTGATAACCTCTACCACAGTTTGGATAATCAAGCTTTTTAGCTAATTCAGCGGATTGGAGCTGCAAAATTCAGGAATGCGGCTATCATTTTGTGGAGTATTTTTTGCCCAGACTATTGGCCTAGCATAGATCTATTATCGAACATTCTTGAGATGTAAAGCTATACAACTGAAAGCTATACAGCTATACAACAAGCTGAAAAGCCAATTGATCAGGTTTGAGCATTCTAGATTGAGCAATTGATCAGGTTTGACCATTCTAGATTGAGCTATTGATCAGGTTAGAGCATTCTAGATTGAGCAATTGATCAGGTTAGAGCATTCTAGATTGAGCAATTGATCAGGTTAGAGCATTCTAGATTGAGCTATTGATCAGGTTAGAGCATTCTAGATTGAGCTATTGATCAGGTTTGACCATTCTAGATTGACCAATTGATCAGGTTAGAGCATTCTAGATTGAGCAATTGATCAGGTTTTGAGCATTCTAGATTGACCAATTGATCAGGTTTGACCATTAAAACCAAGCAATCACTGGACTGGGTCTATTCCGACCCATCTACAGAACATCTACAGAACTACAGAACATCTACAGAACTACAGAACATCTATTGCCTACGACTCTATTCTTTTCAACCTCTGGCCAAAACGAGAGTGCCAACTCTGAGTCATTTCCCTCGCGTTCGATCATTATCTAAAAACTCGAAATGATTTTACAACCAATTTACCAATCAATCTACCAATTCCCAGTTTATTTACCCAATCTGAAATGCCTAGAGTGCCTTCTGGCCTTTCTGGCACGCGTTTAACGTTTACCCAGTGCATTTCTTTGTTCATTTACTCATTTCTCATTTCTCTCACTCATTTCATTCTAAAACCCACCGTTGCCCCAGTGTTGATCGCTTTGAATTCGCCATGATCATGGTATTCGACTCTAAAGGAAAAGCAAGTTTCATAGAATATTTTTAGCTAACATCTACAGTACTTTTAATGCAATTAGCTGAGTATCAGCGAAAGCTGTTAGCTGAATATCTGAAGAAATAAAGGTAAAGTCTCGCCTGAACTCAGCATTTTGTAGATTCTCTCCAAAAGCGGTGATCACCGGAACGATATCGATTGGAGATTGATTCCGACCGAGTGAAGTGACGTGCAGAACCTGAACACATATTTTGATTCGTAAAGGTTATCTACTATGTATAAAGCAGAAGAGTCGCCTATCTGTTTGTCTATCTGTTTGTCTGTCTGTTTGACTGTCTGTCTGCCTGTCTGCCCGTCTGCCTGTCTGCCTGTCTGCCTGTCTGTCTGTCTGTCGGTCAGTTTCTGTCTGTCAGTCTGTCTGTCAGTCTGTCTGCCTGTCTGTCTGTCTGTCGGTCAGTTTCTGTCTGTCAGTCTGTCTGTCAGTCTGTCTGCCTGTCTGTCTGTCTGTCGGTCAGTTTCTGTCTGTCAGTCTGTCTGTCAGTCTGTCTGTCAGTCTGTCTGTCTGTCTGTCTGCCTGTCCGTCCGTCTCTCCGTCTGTCTATCCATCTGTCTGTCCACCTGTCTGTCTATCCGTCTGTCCGCCTGTCTGTCTGCCCGTCTGTCCGTCTGCCTGCTTGTCTATCCATTTGTCTGTCCGTCTGTCTATCCATCTGTCTGTCCGTCTGTCTGTCTGTCTGTCTGCCCGTCTGTCCGTCTGTATGTGTGTCTATCCATCTGTCTGTCCGTCTGTCCGTCTGTCTGTCTGCCTGCCTGCCTGCCTGTCTATCCATCTGTCTATCCATCTGTCTGTCCGTCTGTCCGTCTGTCCGTCTGTCCGTCTGTCTGTCTGTCTATCCATCTGTCTGTCTGTCTGTCTATCCGTCTGTTCGTCTGTCTGTCTGCCGGCCTGTCTGTCTGTCTATCCATCTGTCTGTCCGTCTGTCTGTCTATCCATCGGTCTGTCTGTCAGTCTGCCATTGGCAAAAAGGGGCGGGGCTTAGATTGCGTGGAAAACGTGAACCTTCCCAGCGAAAATTCCGCTGTTAATTCTTATAAACGCATTTCTTTCACGATCTTATAAGCCAGAAAACATGTGATTACGAGCACACACAAAGTTTCAGAATCAAGCCTTTAGCACAAAGGCTTGACCTACTTTGTGCCCCTGGAAACGCACCTTTTCCAGTGCACCGAATTCAGCGGCTTTTCCTCACCTTTCCAATGCTATCCAATTTCACTTTATTCAGCAGCTCATCTTTCGCTGATTTTGCTTGATTCAACAGCTTCGGAGCTCCCTCCTAAAAAGCACTCTTTGCTCAAGTTTCGGTAGCTTTTTCTAGATTCGGAAAAAAATTTCTGGAATTTTGAAAGCTTCTAGATGATTCTAGATGATCTCTAAAATCTCTAGCGTAATCTTGACTCGAAATTTGCGTTATCTGTTCCATAGAACCTGCCCGTTTACCTAATCGAAGAGCAAAAGAAGCTGAGTAGCGTATTTCCATACTTTCTGCTTTCCTAAAACTTACCCCCACCTGCCCTACTTCTACAGAAATATATGTCGTAGCCGATTATGAATGAAATTTTTTGGTAAATCTTTCTAGTAGAGCAACCCTTTAATGTATGAGGACAATATTATATCATCTTGTAGCGAATTCAATTCTGCGTCGATTGGTACCAAATTTGTGAGTTTAAGTTAAAAATTGCCGGCGCTACAACGTTTCATTCAAAATCGGCGGGCCCCCGTAGCCGATGATGAATGAGTGGGTCTGGGAGCGTCCAACCATCAAGTATTTGGTCTAGGAGCGTCCAATCATCAAGTATTTGGTCTAAGAGCGTCCAATCATCAAGTATTTAGTCTAGGAGCGTCCAACCATCAAGTATTTAGTATCATTCGACGCAGAATCATTGATAATTATGTTAAATTTTTGAAATTAGAAAGATTGGATAAAAAGAAAAGAAACTAGAGCTGTTTGTTTGAGAGAGAACTTTGAAGGGCCGTAAAATTTTCTATTTTTATCCAATCTTTCTAATTTCAAAAATTTAACATAATTATCAATGATTCTGCGTCGAATGATACTAAATACTTGATGATTGGACGCTCCTAGACCAAATACTTGATGATTGGACGCTCCTAGACCCACTCATTCCTAATCGGCTACGACATATATAAATTTCTGTTTTCCAAAAACTTTCCCCAAACTACCATACCTTTATTGATTGCAAATGTGCTCCGAGGGCTCCTTGTTCCGTAAAATTTTGCGCAGTTTCTTTCAAATTTTGAAATTTCCCCTGCAGTTGACTCAAGAAAGCCATCGCTGAAAAGATATTCAGTTAAAGAATACAAGAAATAGCTGAATAGCTGAATAGCTGAATAGCTAAAAGCTGAATAGCTAAAAGAAGTCATAGGAAATTAATTGGAGGTTTCTTTTTTAGAGAAAACGGAGGAAATTGATGGCTTTTGAAGGAAAAGGGAAATCGATTTGAGGGGAAATAACGTTGGCTGAAAGATGGCTACAAAATGTTTACAAGTTGACGGGTTGTTTACAAGTTACAAGTTGAATTTCGAGACAAAACAACATGTACTGTACTGTGATGTACTGTAATGTACTGTAATGGACAGTTAGAAACAGTAGAAACTACAGTCCTGTACACAGTAAATTGGCGGACAAATAGTAAGCCTAAGCCTAAGCCTAACAAAAAAAATCGTAAAAACCACTTTCTATATCTCAACTTCCTGACACGACAGTCACCTGAAAATTTGCCAGGATGCTCCTATGGGGGGCTCAAGCACCACACCAAAAGCTTGCACCTTAACTCCGGGAAGCGGCTGAGATCCAGAAAATGGGGGTTCAGCCCAAATCCAAATAGACTTAGTGTTAGGCGCTAGCCGCTAGCCTTCGCACTAAAAACCTAAGCCTAAGCCTAAGCCTAAACCTAAGCCTAAACCTAAGCCTAAGCCTGAGCCTAAGCCTGAGCCTAAGCCTAAGCCTAAGCCTAAGCCTAAGCCTAAACCTAAGCCTAAGCCTAAGCCTAAGCCTAAGCCTAAGCCTAAGCCTAAACCTAAGCCTGAGCCTAAGCCTGAGCCTAAGCCTGAGCCTAAGCCTAAGCCTAAGCCTAAACCTAAGCCTAAACCTAAGCCTGAGCCTAAGCCTAACCCAAACCCAAACCCAAATAGACTTACGCTAGCCGCTAGCCTAACCCAAATAGACGCTAGCCGCTAACCTAACTTCTACAGCTAGCCTAACCTCTACAGCTAGCCTAACCTCTACAGCTAGCCTAACCTCTACAGCTAGCCTAACCTCTACAGCTAGCCTAACCTCTACAGCTAGCCTAACCTCTACAGCTAGCCTAACCTCTACAGCTAGCCTAACCTCTACAGGATGTGCCATAATTGTCGCAATTAGATAAAGTTCTGATTTTAAGGAAGACAAGAGCAAAGAAGACAAATTTTTAACTGAATCACATTTATTGTTACTGGCCAGACCCTGCAAACCACTCCCAAACCGGATATCCATGGGAAGAAGATAATGCTCTGTTGCTGGTGGAACTTCAAGGGATTGGCGCATTATGAAGTGCTGAAACCTGGTCTAACCGTCGATGCTGATCTTTATTTGAAGCAATTAATGAGAGTTAACGAGTCTTTGAAGAAATTGGGGCTCAAACCGGAGAGAGAGGCAAGGGAAAAGGCAAGTCACCAAGACTTTTTGCGACTCAGAAAGGTTGCGTTTGCAAATTTAGAGCGCAAAGTGCACGCAAAACAGTGCAATAAACGTTTTTCTTTGCTCGATTCTGAACCTTTCGCATTTCTAGCAGTTCCGTGCACTTATTGGTGTGCGAGAAAGGATGGGTTTAAAGATTTTTGGACTTTCTTTGGACTTTTGGGCTTTTGGACTTTGATTTTATTAGGTTGATGCATAAGTCTTTTTGTTCCTTTTCGTCTGCCGTTTCAAGCCAACAAATGCGCCAATTAAACTACGGTTGATTTCATTAGAAAAACCAATTATTTTTCTGCAAAATAACATCAAAACGGGTTTAAAAATATTTTATGCCTGGATTTTCTTGAGAGTATGAAGTCGGGTAGTCAAAAAGGGCTAACTCGATGATGCGGTGGTTTAGACACCTTAGCTAAAGAAAACCTATCTTCGTGTCAATAGATAAAAGATAGAGAAAAAAAACGTTTGATATTTCGCCAAAATTTCAGAGAAATTCATTCAGCCAATTTTTCCGTAGAGTTTTTTATAGATTTTTACGAAAAAGGCGTTTTTCACTCTCGAATTTGCTTGAAAATGAACCGAAATTGATTTAAAAAGATGGAAATTGAACAAAAAAACACTTTTTTTATAGAGCAAACTATAGATTAATTGGTGAATTTGTTACTTTTTAACAGAAGTACGAAAAAAACGAAAAGACTTATGCATCAACTTAATAGATCCAATACGGTTCCAATATGGTTCCAATACGGTTCTTTTTAGATCCAATATGGTTCCAATACGGTTCTTTTTAGATCCAATATGCTTCCAATACGGTTCCTTTTAGATCCAATATGGTTCCAATATGCTTCCAATACGGTTCCTTTTAGATCCAATATGCTTCCAATATGCTTCCAATACGGTTCTTTTTAGATCCAATATGGTTCCAATATCCTTCCAATACGGTTCCTTTTAGATCCAATATGGTTCCAATATCCTTCCAATACGGTTCCTTTTAGATCCAATATGGTTCCAATATGCTTCCAATACGGTTCCTTTTAGATCCAATATGGTTCCAATATCCTTCCAATACGGTTCCTTTTAGATCCAATATGGTTCCAATATGCTTCCAATACGGTTCCTTTTAGATCCAATATGGTTCCAATATGCTTCCAATACGGTTCCTTTTAGATCCAATATGGTTCCAATATGCTTCCAATACGGTTCCTTTTAGATCCAATATGCTTCCAATATGCTTCCAATACGGTTCCTTTTAGATCCAATATGGTTCCAATACGGTTCTTTTTAGATCCAATATGGTTCCAATATGCTTCCAATACGGTTCCTTTTAGATCCAATATGCTTCCAATACGGTTCTTTTTAGATCCAATATGGTTCCAATACGGTTCCAATATGGTTCCAATACGGTTCCTTTTAGATCCAATATGGTTTCAATTGGTGAATTTGTGTTCAAATTGGTGAATTTGTTACTTTTTTAACAGAAGTACGAAAAAAACGAAAAGACTTATGCATCAACCTATTAGTTTAAATTCTAGTTCGAAATACTCTTTTTCAAAGCAAAAAATCATCATCAAATTTTGTTGATTCCTGGAATTTCAGAAAAGTGAAAAAGGAAAAGGGAAAAAGGAAAAGCAAAAAGCAAAAAGCAAAAAAAGCAAAAAAGCAAAAAAGCAAAAAAAAAGCAAAATTTTCACTTCAATCTTTTCATTTCAAAGTTTCATGGAAGAGAAAAGAGAAAACGGCAAAAATTCGAAGAAAATCTCTTCTCGAATTGCCTAACGAATAAATAAAAGCTGAGAAAATGAGTGAAAGTTTTTTTTGTGAAAAATTTTCAATACGAAATGTTCGGAGATAAAAAAAATTTCAAATTAGTCAAAATTTTCTGATCTCTGAAATTTTAGGATTTTTTTTTTCAAAAAAAGCCAGAGTTTCATGAATTTTTCACAAAAACGTTTCAAAAAATCTCAAGAAATTCGCAAAAGGAAAGGGGAAATTATACGAAATTCTTCGAATCGCTGTGTATAGCTCAGTAATTTGCTTTAATTTGGGCTTCGAATTTGTAAAGGCGAATTGATGGATTGAAACTGGGGCGTTGAGCAAATTGATGCATTGATTTTCTTGAAGATTGATTTCACAAGAAAACAAAGGATTTCAATGCATCAGAAGGCGTTCATTTAAAGCAAAAAGTACTCTTAAAAGAATTGAATTTCACTGAATTTCAATAAGAAATCTCAAGAAATTCGCAAAAGGAAAGAGGAAATTATACGAAATTCTTCGAATCGCCGTGTATAGCTAAGTAATTTAAGCTTTGAATTTGTAAAGGGAAATTGATGGATTGAAATTGGTGCGTTGAAACTGGTGGATTGAAACTGGTGGATTGAAACTGGTGGATTGAGACTGGTGGATTGAGACTGGTGGATTGAAACTGGTTCATTGAAACTGGTGGATTGAAACTGGTGGATTGAAACTGGTGGATTGAGACTGGTGGATTGAAACTGGTTCATTGAAACTGGTGGATTGAAACTGGTGGATTGAAACTGGTGGATTGAAACTGGTGGATTGAAACTGGTGGATTGAGACTGGTGGATTGAGACTGGTGGATTGAAACTGGTGGATTGAGACTGGTGGATTGAGACTGGTGGATTGAAACTGGTGGATTAAAACTGGTTCATTGAAACTGGTGGATTGAAACTGGTGGATTGAGACTTTGATTTTCTTGAAGATTGATTTCAAAAGAAAACGAAGGATTTCAATGCATCATAACCGTATTGGAACCGTATTAGATCAAAAAAAGAACCGTATTGGAACCATATTGGAACCGTATTAGATCAAAAAAGGAACCTTATTGGAACCGTATTGGAACCGGAAAGCGTGGCTTGGCGCGTCCGCCCTGCTCCTCTCCGGTGCTCAGTCTTATGGAAGCCTCCCTGGCCTCTTCATCCGGCCAAAGTATTGGAACCGTATTAGATCAAAAAAGGAACCGTATTGGAACCGTATTGGAACCGTATTGGAACCGGAAAGCGTGGCTCGGCGCGTCCGCCCTGCTCCTCTCCGGTGCTCAGTCTTATGGAAGCCTCCCTGGCCTCTTCATCCGGCCAAAGTATTGGAACCGTATTGGAACCGTATTAGATCAAAAAAAGAACCGTATTGGAACCGTATTAGATCAAAATAGGAACCGTATTGGAACATTTAAAGCAAAAAGGAACTCTTAAAAGAATTGAATTTCACTGAATTTCAATAAATTTCACTGAATTTCAATAAATTTCATGAATTTCACTCAATTTCAATAAATTTCACTCAATTTCACTGAATTTCAATAAATTTCACTGAATTTCAATAAATTTCATGAATTTCACTCAATTTCAATAAATTTCACTCAATTTCACTGAATTTCAATAAATTTCACTAGAATCAATATTATAAAGAAAAAAAAAGCTGAAAACCCCAGCAAAAAAGGGCAGTAGTTTGGCTAATTAGGCCGTATGGGAAATGAAAAAAAAAAGCGGCTTGAAAATCTCTATTGAAAAAATATCTGATTGTGAGAAGAGGTTAGAAAGAAAGATATCTAACTATATATAAAGAAAGCGAAATAAAATCTCGACTATCTACTATCTAAATCTCGGACCAGACTTGCTTCACAGACTTTTTTTTAAGGCATCCACTGTTTGATATCGTTTCCCTGAAATCTTGTCTTCCAGAATTGACCATATCGAGACGTCTAACGGGTTCAAATCGAGGCTATTTGAAGGCTTTGAGATCTATTTGAAGGCTTTGAGATCTATTTGATTACCTGAACGCTTATGTAGCTATTACCTTACGGAAACACTATAGTCCTAAGGCTCCAGGATTGACCTTGCAAAGAAAGCTTAAGAACGCTAGAAAGCAAAGAACGCTAAGAAAGCTTAAGAAAGCTAAGAAAGCTAGAAAGCAAAGAAAGCTAGAAAGCTAAGAAAGCTTAAGAAAGCTAGAAAGCAAAGAAAGCTAGAAAGCAAAGAAAGCTAGAAAGCAAAGAAAGCAAAGAAAGCAAAGAAAGCAAAGAAAGCTAGAAAGCTAAGAAAGTCAAAGAAAGCTTAAGAATAACCGAAAGATCAAAGATTATTTATAGAAAAAGAGGAGGTTTAGCAAAAATACTCGAACTAGAGCTACTCTCGACGAGAGTGCGGGGCGGTGGGGGTGAATAGGGACCTAGGGGCCTAGAGGACCCCAGCTTCAGCCTGCATAGAGACCCAACTCGGGTTGGTAGTAAGGGATGGGAAAGGGACCAAAGAAACGGCTGAAAAGACCAAGAGACCAAAAAAAGGGGAAAAACGAGGCGAAACTCGAGAATCGGCTAGAGGCGAAAGAACAAAGGCAGGCCCTGGGGGAAGCCCTAAGGGTCTATGGCCTAGGGCCTAAGGCCTAGGGCCTAAGGCCTAGGGCCTAGGGCCTAAGGCCTAAAGCTGCAAGAGGCATCCCCATCAAAAGAATGCCCTTTATCCAAGTCTCCACGAGAGATTCAAGAGTTTCAATCGAATTTTCACACGTCTTTTTGATTTGTAAAGATTCCGAGAAGCTGCGAAAGCTATCTATAGAATAGATCTAGGATTTCTAATAAATACTACTAGCTACAGTACTCGAATAGCAATGTCTACAATTCCTACAGTACCCTATAGCAATGTCTACAATCCCTACAGTACCCTATAGTAATGTCTACAGTGCTACCGTGCTACAGGCTTAGCTATAAGCTGTAAGATATTGCTGAATATGGCTGAATGTAAGCTGCTCTGAAAAAGCAAAAAAAAGCGAATTTTAGCATTTTCTTCATATCTAGCTAGCTAAAGTTAATCAAAGCTTATTTCTAAAAAATTTGAAAACCAAAAATCTTTGTGAAAAGAAACGGGCGTTGAAATTCGTTCGGTGTGCTGAAGCGGAATAATTTTGGGGCTAAAGGCTCAGCGTTGGGGAAAAAGCTCAGCGTTGGGGAAAAAGCTCAGCGTTGGGGCTAAAGGAGTACTGGGTGGGGTAAAGACTCTGGGATCTCTTTAGCTAACTCGAAAAAAGGTGCCAGAGCAAATCAAATGGTAAACCTATAGTTTCTTCCCCCATCTTATTAAATTGAAAACATTTTTCTGAGGGAATTTTGCGCGTAGATGCGAAATTCAACATCCCAGAGCATCCCTTTTGCGGCAATTGAAAGTACGCAATTGAAAGTACGCAATTGAAAGTACGCAATTGAAAGTACGCATTTGAAAGTACGCAATTGAAAGTACACAATTGGAAGTACGCAAATGAAAGTACGCATTTGAAAGTCCGCAATTCGAAGTACGCAAATGAAAGTACGCATTTGAAAGTCCGCAATTCGAAGTACGCATTTGAAAGTACGCATTTGAAAGTACGCAATTGGAAGTACGCATTTGAAAGTACGCAATTGAAAGTACACAATTGGAAGTACGCAAATGAAAGTACGCATTTGAAAGTCCGCAATTAGGTGCAAAGGTAGGGGGAATCTGTAAACTCGTCTTGACATGTTGTCATTGTTGTTGAAATTTACACTGCCGTGTTTTTAATGATGAATGAATTGGTAATATTTTGAAACTATGATTTCTTGTTATTTTAATTTTATTACACATGGCTTTGATATTTTTCTATTATTTTGATGCTTTTTTGATGTTTTGTAATTTTTCTTAAGCTTTTCTTTAGTGTATGGCACAAGGTTTAGCATTGGCGGCTAGACTTGAATTGAAGACTCTTAAGAGAATGGCTCAAACTCGTGATCAAGAGTGACAAGGATTTCGATGATTGGCTGGCCGATGGAAAGATGGAAACTGCTTTGGAAAGATCGAGGCTGGTGGGAACTGCTTTGGAAAGCTTGAGGTCGATGGGAACTGCTTTGGAAAGCTTGAGGCCGATGGAAACTGCTTTGGAACGCTCGAGGTTGCCCGAATTGTGCCCGTCCGATGCACTTAACTAAGCTGGAAGCGGGTGTAAGAAGTTTGAGTGCAACTTGAGAACATCTAGAAAGAAAGTTGGCTTTTTAAAGGTTAGTTGTTTGCAGGGTTGTTAAAAAACAAGAAAAGTTACAAAACTGAGGAAAAAGTATCAAAAAATAGAAAAATATCAAAGCCGTGTTCATCAAAATAAAAAGAAATCAGTTTAAAAATATCACCAATCGATTCATGATCAAAAATCGCTCAGTGGAAAATTTCAAGATTTCAAAACGAGTTTACAGATTGCAGATCCCCAACTACTTTTGAACCAGCAGCAATCTCAGCAGACAACCGATAACAATAAACAACAACGGAAAGGAATGGCAGAGTCAAGGGAGTCAAGGAAGGAAGGCAACGAAGGAAAGCAAGAGTCTCATAACTTTCCATAATATCCATAATAAGGAATAGAGGACCAAAAGAGTCCAAAAGGAAGAGGAGGGGGATGAAAGATTGGTGGTAGTGGGGGGGAAAGTGAGAAAGAGAAAGAGGAATGCGTGTGGCTCAAATCCCCATCTTTTCCCCTTTCGTCCTATTACCGACTTGTCTCCGGGGGACCCCGAGGGCATGATTTGGCCCTGCATCCCCAGCCCCCCCCCCACTCGTTCTTTGGGAAAAGCCTAATGTGGACGACGGGGGGCTCGAATTGCGCACCCCCTTGCCCAGATATGTGAAAAGAAAGAGTATTCGAGATTCTCTCGAGTTCAACTCTGTGAAAAAACTCTAGATAGCCTACGAACCCTCTAGATGAAAAGGCTACTATGAATTCAGACATTCTGATAGTCCAAGACTTCAAGAAAATGAGGAGGAAGAGAATAAGCTGCGGGTGAAAAGTCGAACGGTGATCGAGGAGAAGAAAGAAACGGTGGAGCCAAACCACGGTGGAGCCAAAAGCAAGGGTATTTTTAGTGGCTACGAAGGCTACACTCGTAACGTTGCCGCTTCATTTTTCCTTATTAATGTTTTATGTTTAGGTGACAGAGTGCTTGAATAAGCTGCGGGTGAAAAGTCGAACGGTGGTCGAGGAGAAGAAAGGAACGGTGGAGCCAAACAACGATGGAGCCAAACGCCGGCTATTATTGGCTTCGTGGGTATGACTTGGCACGTTTTTTCAAACCACAGGATGCGCCATAATTGTTGCAACAAGGTATCGCACGCACGTTCCAGGACAATAACTCGTTGATTTAAGCTTCATTTTTAGTTTCTTTTTGAGTTTTTATTATATTTGAAATATAGTTGGAACTTTTTTTCATATAAAATGTGTCGTTTTTTAGAAAATCCTCGATCGACAATCGATCATCGACGTGCACGAGCGAGGAGTCTCGGCGCCGGAGATTCATAAGCGTCTTAAAGTCGATAGTAGTGTCATTTTTCGCACTATTTAACACTACGAAGCTGCGGGAACAATTGCTGATGCACCAAAAAGTAGACGAAGAATTGCTGATGCACCAAGAGCCACGCGAACAATTGCTGAGGCATCAAGAGCTGCGGGAACTTCTTTCGAATGCCGCTTAAAACGCGGAAATTTTTAAACATATGTATATTAACTCAAATAAATAACCGGCATATAAGTTCACATGAAATTTCTCGACTTAACAATGCATCAGAAAAGAAATTTGAGGAGAAACTAAAGATTGGATTAACTTACTACAAACCAAAATCTTGATCATAACCGTAAAGGAATCAAGTCGATAAAGAGAAAAACAAACAAAGCCAAAAAAAATTAACGAGGTGATTTTCAAGGCTTTCCAGCTGCGCGAGCCGCTTCTTTCTTGGCCGCTTCTTCAGCTTCGGCAGCCTGACGTTCAGCGTCCACAACCTAAAAATACAGTCTTTATAAAGCCATTCAAAGTTTTTACCTTTAGCAAAGCCTCCAGTTCCTCGACGGTCAACACTCGATGTGTGTTTTCCCCGGGCTAAAGTTGAAAATAAATAAAAATCTACTACTAACAAACTTTTTCCGTCTTGCTCATCACAGCGATTTCAATGTTTGAGGCACCAGATGGGACAACCTAAAAGAAAAGAAATGATTTTGAATCAAAAACCTGGGAAAAACCAGAATATTTTGTGAGTTATAAATAATTGCTTACGCTAATTGCTGCCCAACCTGAGAAAGAGCCTTAACGACGAGTTTCAATACGGCTTGCTCATCTTGGATATTCTCATCCTTGTATTGTTCCTCGAGAAATTCGCGAACCGCTTTCTCGCCACGGCCTGTCGAATTAGCCTAAAATACAAACATTTAAGAATATCACATATTATAACACAGCGTAGGCAATTATTTATAACTCACAAAATATTCATAGTAGGCTCCACTTGGTTCTGTCTTGAAGAGACGAGGAGTTCCATCGTAGTCGAATCCGCCCACCAACATCGCGATACCGAATGGCCGACGTCCTGGTGATTGAGTGAAGCGCTAAAGAAAATGATGCAAATGCTGATTAAAACTAACGACTGGTTAAAAACGATCAACTACCTGTTTTGTATCAGCAATGTATCGCGAAATGTAATGAACGGTGACCGGGTCTTCGAGCGTCAACTTGTACGATTGGCATTCGATCCGCGCTCGGTCTACCAACACACGAGCATCAGCGGAAAGACCTAATATAAAAAGTTGATGCTAACACGACGTTTATAATTCACCTGCAAAGGCCAACATGATGTGGTCATCAATCATGTGAATCTTGCGAACGGTACGATCATCCTAAAAAAGACACATAGAAACGGTTGAACATGTTTCATATTTTCCCAATGAAGCTGCATACCTGAAGTGTCGGGATGGTCTTCTTCTCAACGCCAATCACAATGCAGTTCTTTCCACGGACACCAACCTAAAAACACGATGAATAATCACGACTTGCTATAGCTATGCGATTCAACTGTGCTATTATTATATTATAACTAGAAAATTTCCAAAAGAAAGCTCATACAGTTCAATTAGCAAAACTAAAACCGAAACTGGTGCTATAGTAGTTGAGGGGGGCAGTGCACATTCATCTCTATTGAGTCAGAGCGCACCAATTTTTGGTTCTAGGGTTTTTTAATGGCGTAGATTCTTAATTTGATATTTATTTCAGCTTTAGCAACTGTTTTCTAGCTATTTCAAGCAGTTACTGAGGTTTTAAGCCACTTAATTCGGTTCCGCACCTCTAAACCCAGTGGAAATAGAGCCGCTCTTGATGGCTCGGAATTGTAAAACTAGTGGCAAGTTCGAAAAAATCGGTATTGACAAACTGGCTCCCCCAACTACTATAGCAGCCTGAAACTTACAGCAGTAGATCCCTTCTTGACGGCCTCATTGGCGTATTCGACTTGGAACAGATGTCCATCCGGAGAGAAGATTGTAATCGCCCGATCGTAGCTTTGACTTGTCATTCTCTAAACGAAAGAAATTCTAAAGTATCGAAAAACAAGAAAGTGTAAACGTCAAGAAAACTTTAAAGAGCAAATCCTACAGATAACAAAAGCACGCGTTGGCCATTAGCAGCATTCACTATACTCGTTAGACTTGTTTAACCAGACAGATCAAAAAATCAGGTCGCGCAACTCCAGGCGTTTAATCTAGCCTTCAGAGCATCGGATTTCAATAAACTTTTTTTATTTAAAAGCCAAGATTTTCAGCTATTTAATGATATTCATCACTTATGTTAGTACTAATAAAGTTGGGAGGGGCCACATTTTTTCTTCAAAACCACTTTTTCTGAAGTATTTTTATGCGTAGATTCCGAAAAACACAACGAGCGTTTGGGAAAATGCGTTTTAAGCCGAGTTTCAGGGCTCCAAAGTGCGCGATCATACAGTGTGATGAGAGGGATACACATAGGGAAGAGGTCTAAAAATGGTCTCTCAAAACATTTTTTGAAGCCAAAAACACTTCTTCTGGCATAATTTAACCTATTGATTACGTTTCTGATCAATTTGAAGCAAAATAAAAAAATTTTTCCAAATTTCGACATGACATGTGGTCCCCCACATGAGTCAAAATCGGTCAAAATCTTAAAAAAATTTCAATTTGTTATGCCTCTATTAGCCAATTTAAGTTCGAAAATGGATATTTCGTGGTTAAAAATTATTTTGGATCTAGTTTTGACCTTGAAAAGTGTCCTAATAGTCGATAGCTCCACATAGTGAAGTACACTGTAGAAGCGCGCACTTTGAAGCCCGAAATTCGGCTTAAAACGCGTTTTCCTAAACTCTTAGTGTTTTTTTTAGAATCTACGTATAAAACTACTCCAGAAAAAGTGGTTTTCAAGAAAAGAAAAGTGGCCCCTCCCAACTTTATTAGTACCCTTAACATAAGAAAAACATTTTCTTTTGAAAAAGTGGGTCAAAAATCGAGACTTAACGAGACAATTCCTCGTTATCTCGTTAATTCTCGATTAGGTTTTTGGTCCACTTTTTCAAAAGAAAAATAAAAATGATGAGTATCATTAGATAGCTTAAAATCTTGGCTTTTAGATAGAAAAAAGTTCATTAGAATCCGATACTCTGGAGGCTAGATCAAGCGCTTGAAGTTGCGCGACCAATTTTTTGATCTGTCTAATATTCACGGTCTAAATAGCCGTAATTTTGGTCCAAAATGCCTTGGAAGACATCAAAAGGGAGCGGGACAAATGCGACCTTTTTTTTGCGCACCTTGCCCATTAGCGCACCTTTTTTCGCGTTTTAAAAAAGCTCATATTAACCAATTTCTATTCCAAATGTTGTTTTTCTAGGTAATTTTAGGGCGTAGAATCGAAATTTTGACATATCAGTGCGTGTGGAACCAATTTGAAAGACAAAACGGCTAGATCAAATTACAGAAAATTGTCGATTTTTCTCTTTATATAACTCTGTTCGTTCGCTTCCACAAGCTCTGATATGTCAAAATTTCGATTCTACGGCCTAAAATTACCTAGAAAAACAACTTTTGGAATAGGAATTGGTTAATATTAGCTTTGTAGAGCTTTTTTAAAACGCGAAAAAAGGTGCGCTAATGGGCTAAGTGCGGAAAAAACGGTGCGCAAAAAAAAGGTCGCATTTGCCCCACTCCCGTCTCGTCAAGCAAGTCTAATATTCATGGACTAAATAGCCGTAATTTTGGTCCAAAATGCATTGGAAGACATCAAAAGACAATAAATGCGTTTATTTTTTAAATCTACAGCAAAAGGTATAGAGGAAAACTAGGCGAACAAAAAAAAAAAATTCGTTTTCCTGCGAGCTTAGTCGCTTTATATACACCATAAAGAGTGCATTTTAGAATGAGACAGACACTCGAAGTACGGTAATTCGTGTAGTATAAATTTTTACACCGAAACCTTGTAAAAATTTTATATGTACGGCGTTATGAAGTCTTGATCTTATAAAATAAACGATCAAGTTCGAATTATCGCGATGATAATAGTGTTGGCAATGTGCCCGCGGAGAAAACGGGACCATTTATCGTTGGTTACGACGTCAAATTCTTGTTCCGAAATTTTGAAAATCTTTAGAAAATGATAGTTTGCGATTTTTTAAAGCTTTTTTTACCGTTCTAGATGAAAACTGAACCTCAAAAATTTAAAATAAAGACTTCGACTTCATTTTTAAACTGGTTTTAAGGATGAAACTTGAAAAAATTGCCAAAACGATGAAAAGACCTTGATCAACTTCGTTTTTCTTATGTATGTATTCTTAAAGTTTTACAATATCTTACCTACTAGTTTATTGCTTTAGAAACGGATGGTTCTTACGAGGAGGAGCTCTCGACTCAACCCGTCAAATGAGCCAACTCCTGAGGCGCCAGTGGAACCAGTCAAAAATGAGGTAAAATTTGATAATTGTTTGAAGGAAAATGTCTAGTTAAGTCTAAAATGCCTAGGCTCTTTTAATGTTTTAATTTAGCCAGCCCCAACGCCAACTAAATCGAAAATGCTGATCGTCGACGAAGATACGCCGGACGAGGAAACACTAAGCGACGATGATGACATTGAAGTGATTGAGGTTTGTTTAAGATGCAAAGATTCAGATTGTTCGAAATGTACAGTGGTCAAGAAAAGTCTTTACCCTTTGCCTCCCAAATGATTAAAATGGTCATTGTTTGTTTCGAACGTTTCGGAAAAAAACTTTTTTGATGAATAATTTGCCAATGTTTTCTAGTTTTCGGATTAAATAGCTTACTAAAAACTTCAACTTTGAGCCGCAAAAAAGTCTTGACTCATTGTCATATTCTGTTGTTTGCTGTATAGATGAATATTTGGTGGCTCCTCCTTTTGGATGAATATATTGCGCGCGATTCATTTTAGCACAAAAAAGTTTTTTTACTAAAAACTTCAACTTTGAGCCGCAAAAAAGTCTTGACACATTGTCGTATTCTGTTGTTTACTGTATAGATGAATATTTGGTGGCTCCTCCTTTTGGACTTTTAGCAACTCGACCGTGCTGAATTTGAAAATTGTCTTTCTCTAACTCTTTTAGTTTTCGAGATCTCGTTACCCCATTTATAAGGGAAAATCGGTTTTTGAGCTTGTAACCCCAAAATATCGTAAGCCGTAGATCCTATGATTCTGGTATGTAGAAACGTTTTTTAGTAGATATTTCAATGAACATTTTCATTTATAGCACTTTGGGTTAAAACTCAACGATTGCAGAGAAAAGGAGTTTTGAAGTTCAAACAGACTCAAAAAACAATCAATTTGCATGTAAAATTACTCATTATCAGGAGTTCTCTTTTTAAAAGGTTTAGAGGTTCTCTTGTTTAGAATTTCCCAGAGGTCGTTCATCAAGTAGAGGAAAATGAGGAGGCCGATGAAATTGAAGTTCTTGACGAAAACGGATTGGTGAATCACGAAGTGCAAGCGAAAGAAACAGAATCGATGGAAGATGAGGTAAAAGCAACTATCTACGAAAAAAATATTTAAATTAGTCAAATTTGAGTTTAAAATACAACTTTGATTTTATTAGAGTGAAGACGACGAAGACGAGGAAGATGATGAAGAGGAAGAAAAAGAATCAGATGAATTAGAAGATGAGAATGGATCTGAAGAGGACGAAGATGAGGAATTAGAAGAAGAACCGCCCGCAATTCTCGACAAAAATCAATGGACTCAGCTCTTCGAGGAACAAAATTTTGAGGTAATTTTTTTTAAAAAGTCCTCATTTTTTTAAAATTTAGAGTTTGAAAGAAGCCGTAGTTTGGACAACAAAACTTCAAAAAAGTTGGCGAGAAACGTTCGAGAAGCATTTGGGCAATGGTGTGGAGGTAAAAAGCTTAAATTTGGCAGGGGAAATGAGAACTTTTAGGCTTTCATCGAGAAAATTGGTGGAAAGACGAAGATTGCTGTGTCGAAAATGCATGGCTTCTTTTTTGACGGACAACTCGGCGCTCCACATTTCTTGTTGTTTCTGATGAAGAGAATGAACGATGAAATATCGGTTTGTTAGCTTTAAGTATACTTTAAGTAGCTTTTAAGTTAAGTAAATTATATTTGGCTAAATAATCTAAATAAACTAATTAACTTCGTGTTAAAGTACAAATTTAGGCAATCACTCATTCACCAACTGCAAAATGGAACGTGTTTCGATGTTTGAAAGTGATTCAGTCAGCTCTTGAATCATCATCGGAATTTCGAGGACATAAAGGTAAATCAAAGAAAATGATGAACTTGCAAGTTCGAATTAATTTTATTTACTACTCGCTTTAGTTGGTCAATTTCACGGTGGAAAGAAGGGAATGAAAACTGTCAAACGAGCCTATCAAGATTTATGGTTGGATGTGCTCAAGAAAAAGGTCCATTTCCGACTTTACCTCTAACTCGCTGTTCAAAAAATTTAACGCTATGTTGTTGTGCAATTTTAATGTTAAACAAGGTAGTAAGGTCCTGCAAAGGCCAGCATCATGTGGTCATCAATCATGTGAATCTTGCCAATCAACAAGGTAGTTTAACCAAATTTTTCAGCTTCCCAAAAAAGTTCTTCGTTTGGCAGTGGTTCATCTTTCAAAGTCAGTGCTCGATTTCGTGCCAACGCCACACTTATTCGCCGAATTTTTCTTCAAAGTCATTTCTTTCATGTTACAACGTGTATTCTTCGTTTTAGATCTTCAAACGTGGTGGCATCTTTGCGATTTTGGCGATCGACGGAATTTTCGAGCTCATCGTTAAGCATAACTTGTAAGTTTCAGTGTTCTTTGACTCTAAATATTACCTTTTTAGTGAATTCCCCGACTTCTATGAGTATGTCTATCAACAAACGACCGCACAATCCTTCTACACAGAACACAAATGGCATTTTCTGAAGAATATCGACAAGTTCTTGTCGTCTTCGTGAGTTTGGATAGACAAGATTTGGTCAAATTTTCTTTTAGTCACGTTCCCGAGTATGTTGTGGCTGGATTTTTGAAGCGCTTGTCTAGGTTGCTTCTATGGGCTCCATTAGATGCACAGGTTAGTTGGAAATTTTAGTGAATTCACATGAACAAGATCGTAAAATTATCGTCAACTATATTAAATAACTTTATGATTTAGGAATCAATGTTGGCGCTCATCAAAAACCTTCTCATTCGACACAAAAGTTTGAACATTTTGATTCATCGAGATGTTCCTGGTTAGTTTTTTTAACCTTTAAGCTAGTTCACGTATTCATTTAGAAAAGCTACTTGACGATCCGTACTTGGAAGATCGACCACTTAAAGATTGTCGAGCTTTTGACTCGAGTTTGTGGGAGATTAAGGTGTGTGCTTGTTAACGCAAACATATTTTGGGTTAACAAAAAGTTTTGTGTACAACAGTTTGATGATTTCAGGCAATGCAAAGTCACTGGTTTCCCAATGTCGCCAAACGAGCAAATTTCATTGATCGTCCTACAGAAAAGGTAGACTTTTATACAACTTGTCTAAATCCCAATGTTTAGACAGAATCGATGGTTCGCATTCGAGATTTTTCCGCCTATCTCGCTCAACTTTTTGAAAGAAAATATGGTGAGGCGCTGGCTTCAAGAAATGCTCATTTCGAGGAAAGTCAGGTAAATTTGAAGTTTAAACATTAAACCTTTTTTCATTTAGGATATGAACGACGAGGATGAAGAAAATGAGGAAAACGAGCGAGAAGAAACGAAAAAAGATGGGCGCAAACGGGCAAAGGTTGTAAAAACGGCTTTAATTATCATTTTTTTCATTTTAGGGTAGCAAAAAGTCGGGAAAACGGGCAAAGCACGAATTCGAGATTCAACTTCGTGCCGACGAGCCAACCGGTCAATTCTTCCCTCAGTCATCCACCGTTTGCGACTTCAATCGATTTTGGACTGAATAGAATTTTTTTAGAATAAAGTTGTTATTTGTTACCGTTTGTTTGTTACTTGTTGATTGTTTTTGTTAGAAAATAAAATTTTTATCTTTTTCTTGCTTTGTTTTCGATTGGTGCTTAAGCCACTATGCTATCGTTGGTTGAAAATTGAAATTTTTGAATCATTCTAGTCATTCTTTGTGTTGAAAACTTTTTGATTATTAGTGTACTTCAAAAAAACTTGCAAGCTTTGATAGTTTTTGAGTTTAGAGAAAGAATGCCCTACGCCAATCAGCCAACCATACAGATTTTGGAGTTAACCGAAGAGGTAACGAATTAAAGAAAGCTTGATAGATTACGTGGTAGTAAGCCTTTAATTAATGAGTTATTAAGTATTAAGGTAGGCATTATGTTTTAAAAAGTTTCACTAAACATTCCTTTTTTAGTTTGTCCGCTTCGTTCTCGAGGACACGGATCTCTCAGTGGCCAATGCTTTGCGAAGAGTTTTCATTGCTGAAGTAAGCTTTCATAAAAAAACATCGATTTGAGCTTTTCTAGGTTCCAACCATGGCAATTGATTGGGTTCAAATCGAGTCAAACACATCGGTGCTTCACGACGAGTTCTTGGCTCATCGGATGGGGTTGATCCCGTTAACGTCAAACAAAGTTGTTGATGAGTTCGTCTACAGTAGGGTACGTTTTTAATTTAGAAATATATAAAAACGGCTTATATTATGGCTTTTCATTTTTTTTGCTTTTTTTTTAGGATTGCGAATGTGTAGACTTTTGTGACCGCTGTTCGGTGGTGTTCAACTTGAAAGTTTGCTGTAAAGAAGACGCGACTCGTGCTGTGACAACCGCTGATTTGGAGAGCAGCAATCCTGATGTATGTTTGCTTGTTTTTAAGCAATTGATATTATTAACAATCATGATTTCTTAAACAAATCTTTCTTCAGGTTGTGCCAGCTTGCGGAGTGCACTTAAGTCGAAAACTTGGGATCGATGATGGTGGAAATCAAGAAGAAATCATGATCGTCAAATTACGAAAGGGACAAGAAGTTGTCATGAAATGTTATGCTAAAAAGGTAGCATTTTATCTTTTACAACATTGAATATTCATTCATTTAGGGTTTTGGGAAAGAGCACGCCAAGTGGAATCCGACAGGTAATTTCTATTATGGTGTTAACTTATAAACCTTTCAGCCGGTGTATCATTTGAATACGATCCAGACAATGCTTTACGTCATACGGTAAGCATTTTAGCAGTAAACAGTAAAATGCACTTACTACCTAAGTAGTCATGCATCTTTTTCATTAAAACTACAAGTGCTTGCCTAATTGGGTTTGTTTTTAGGTTTATGCAAAGCCCGAGGAATGGCACAAAAGCGAGTTCTCTGAACTAAAAGATTCTGACATGGCCGAATTGCCCTACGATGCAAATGGAAAGCCGAACAAGGTTAACTTGAATAATTATTGTCCGCTAATCAATGTTTATTTTAGTTCTTCATCGGTGTCGAAGCTGCTGGACAACTCGCGGCTGTGAGTATTGTCTCTAGTGGGGTAAGAAAATGTTTGACAAGTTGGAAAAGGAAATTATCATTTCAGGCCGAAATGTTGACGAAAAAGTTGCGTGATCTTCAGCAAGCACTCACAAAAGCGATGAGCACCGCTGCTTCAAATCCACTTTGATATGTTTGATCTCATTTGTTTTTATTGTTGATCCATAATTTTATAAATCATTGATTTACTTTGTTGCTATGTTTTGATTCTCTCATTTTTTATGTATGTTCAGAATAAATATTTATTGAGCGAGAAAGATTTATTGTTCTAAAGTCAGTGAGATAATCTGTGAAAGTACCCAAAATTTTGTCTAGTAAAGTGGTTGCAATTTGGTCATTTAAAGCTTTAATTTTATTTTTATTTTAGAGCTGTGATGGAGGGCGCCGAAGCGAAAGGAAAAGTTTTTGGGTCTTTGGCCAACAATTTGGCAGCAATGAGGGTTGGTTTTATTTTTTGTCAATGACAAAATATTGAAGCTGTTAAAAATAAGCGATGGTTATCAAGTTGATATCGTTAAAAATGCTACAATGGATCTTTAGGTCTTTAAAAGATGTTAGTATCCAGGCACAGCTTTATATATGAAATGTTGGATGTAAAAGTGTCTTAAATCGGTAAAATACCGCATGGAGACACTGCTGATTCGAATATTAATAGTCGAATTGATATCATTAAGAAGTGGTAAGGACAGTACCGTTATAAGCTGGTGTTATTAGCCCAATTGTTAACCAAGTTTAACCTAAATAATAGCCATTCTTTTAGAAAGAGGGCAACGCCGTACATATGGAAGCCGGTGAACGGATGGATGTCGACTCGGTGACGAGTAAGTAATTTAAAGTTTTTAAGGAAAGATTTGATTTAGAAACTTTATACGTTAAAACTTTGTCTTTGATGCATTTCAAAGTTTAGGTGAGCACGATAAGACGGTGTTGGCCGAATTCGAGCGCCGTAAACGAGCCCGTCAACTCACATTACCCACCGATGATCGGCAGGTTGGATGGCAGTATGTTATTAGTTTAATTTCTTTATGTTTAGTTGAAAATGAAGCTCCGAATGTTGAATCAACCGATTTGCCTATTCGGAGAAGATATTCAAGACAGACGTGAACGTTTGCGAGCGCTCCTCTCCACTCTGACGCCCGATCAAATTACGAAGATTTTACACACGGAAGAGGTTAGTAAACTTGATAGGATTAGGGCCCAACTCTGATCGGAATATTAAGCTCTGGGTCATTTAAACATTTAGCTCTTAACCATTCCAAATTCACTTATTAACCTTATTTGATAGTAATAGTTTAATTTCCAGGCAGGCGGCACCGAGCGCAGAGACAAAGAGACGAGTACATGGTATCATCGAGGGACGGAGACACTTCGAGATGCACGAGTGGCGATTGCTGATCATTCGTTGAGGAAAGCAAAGATTAGGTTAGTTCTAGTCTTTGCAAAAGCGTTGGCAAGGCTTTACACAATCTGAAAAATAAATAATTTCATATCTTTCTTTAGACTCGAACATCTGCGCGAAGAAAGCACAAAGCCTGATCAGGAAAAGGGTAAAAATTTCAATTTTGGACTAAAAAAAGCACTTTAACGTTTAGCCTTGGAAAAACAGGAAACGCATCGATGGGTACAACAGCTAAATCTACATGCATCACAGGTGTTTTCACTATGTCCAGCAAAATACAAGTTTCTTTTTAGGTGGCTGATCTTCGTCCAGTTGCTTATGTGGAATTTGCGCCCGATTCGGATCACATTGGTCAGTTTTTTTCTAACATTTTTAAAAAACTCTGATTTTTAGTAACTGCCGGATGGTCAGGAGTGCCAGCTGTGTGGAGAAGAGACACCTGCGAGAAAGTGATCAAATATCAAGGGCACCACGGGCAATGCGGATGTGCTAGGTGAGGTTTTTGATTATTGTTTGGTGTTGCCGGATAATAAATTGTCGGAGTCCTAAATGTTGTATGTTGTGTTGTCGTTGATGTCAATGAGTTGTTGCGTGCTGTTTATCCATCACAATCTACCTAGCATCAATCCGTTCAGATTCCATCCTCAAGCGTACATTGGACAGGATGAGAATGCGTTAAACGTCGCTTCGTGTGCACATGATGGTGAGCATTCAAAAACGCAAATAAGAAAAAAATCAAGATAATGTTTTAATGTTACTTTTTTAGCATAACATGTTTACAATTGACTTATTAAAGTTTTACATCAAAAACTTATGCTTTTATTTAGGGACCGTCTCGTTGTGGTCACTTTCACAAGAACATCCAATCGCTCAACTCGAGAAGCATCCACAACGCGTTTCCCGGCTCGCTTTCCACCCAACAGGGCGATATTTAGCCACTGCTTGGTTAGTTTGTTGTGATGATTATCAAAAAGTTTAAAATGTTGCTACATTTCGTACGGCTTAATTATTTTATTCTTTAAATCTTTTCTTTAGCTTTGATTCAACTTGGCGCCTCTTCGATGTGGATGTCGGCGAGGAGTTGCTCATACAAGAAGGGCATTCAAAGGTTAAAATATTTTTGTTTATTCTATAAAATGCATAATTAGCACGTCTCCGATGTGATATTTCATCCGGATGGCGGTTTAGCGCTCACGGTTGGTCACGATTGTTATGGACGAGTGTGGGATTTGAGAACGGGAAAGTGAGTGAATGGATTTAAGATAAAAGATCATTTCTTTTTAGATGTATTATGTTTCTGGATGGGCACACAAAGGAGATTTACACGGGAGAATGGATGCCGAATGGTTTCGAGATGGCAACCGGTGGAGCGGATAACACAATTAAGGTGGGTATAGTTGCAAATTAAAAGCTGATTGGATTAATCAAATTTGGAGCTTAATATAGCTTGAGAAATCTTGGAGTTGAATTTCTTCTTGGTGTAACTGTCAAGTCAAGATGCCAAATTCCTACCTTTATTGTACTAAAATGATTTCAACCCGGATCAAGTATCAAGTCTAATAAAGATGCTAATTAATTCTCCTGTTTAATCCGATTTTATTTCCAGACTTGGGACCTCCGAATGCGTCGTTGCACTTACACAATGCCGGCGCACACGTCGACGATTTCGCGGATTAGAATCGATTCAAAGGGACAATACATGATCTCTGGAGGATTCGATAATTTGTTGAAAGTGAGCTTGCTTTAAGAGATTTTAACGAACGAACTTGTTTAGTGTTGGGCAACGCGTGGCTGGCAACCATTGCGGGAAATGAAAGGACACGATACAAAGGTAAATTTTAAAGCTTGCAGACTGATTGACTGAGTATTAAAGTTAAAGTCTAAAATGTCAAAATTTGACGTAGCTTTATTTATCAGAGCGCTTTGAGCTAGCTGACAACTCTAGCATCAGCATTTCATAGTCTTTTTGCTTGTTTGCTTAATGTTTATTTTCAGATTATGTGTATCGACATCTCTCCAAACGGTCAATGGATAGCTTCAGCCGCTTTCGATCGAACATTCAAATTGTGGACCCAATCCGATTACTAAGTTATTTAATTTCTTTCTTTTTATCGTTAAGTTTAAATTTTGATCTCTGATAAATATTTTCAACATTCCAGTGATCGTGATTTGAGTTCGTTAGAGGAAAAAGAAAAGAAAATTGCTACCAGAACTTCCTGACTTAAAATTGACTAACGATTAAGAGCGCTAGATGCTTTTTAGAAGACTTTTTCTTCCCAATCGATCAAAAAACCGAGCTTTTTTTGTACTTCAAACAATTTATCACATTTACAGAAAGGGCACATGGGCAGCAATGCAAAAGACATTTTGTACGTAAACAAAAAAATATGGTTAAGAGTAGCTGCATCGCGGGTATTAACCAATTCAATGAAGCCTCTTTCTTGTGCCTAGCACAATACCTCCAACTAACCAATCCTTACTCCTATTGGGTCCTTCTATTGGGTTTGTAGAGTTCTTAAAAAGATCAGCAACAATGTCACGCGGAACCACTAAGCATCTTCCCGAAGCACACTTCAGAGTCGTCTTCTTGCGTCCTAAAAAGAAAAAACAGGTAACCAATCCGTGAAAGAAACACATACCTTGATTTGCACATGCGTGCAACAAATCAGCATTTGCACAGCTTTCATTTGTGGGCAGGCTTGTGATGAGTGAAGGAGTTGTAGTGATTGTGGTCTGCAGACATTCGATTTCTTCAACGCATCCCTCATAATCGCACTTCTCGTCACATTCAGCTTCAGCTCCAGACGTTTTTCCCGATGTGCAACCTAAAGAAATTTTGGCGCTATTTTGGACGGCGATCTTTTAAACGGCGCTCTTTTAGTGCCGCCTAAACTCCCGGGACTATATGAAAAGAGTATCGTTTAAAAGAGCGCCGTTTAAAAGAGCGCCGTCCAAAATAGCGCCAAAATTTCTTTAGGTTGCACATCGGGAAAAACGTCTGGAGCTGAAGCTGAATGTGTCGAGAAGTGCGATTATGAGCGCTCTTTTAAACGACGCTCTTTTGATGTAGTCCCGGGAGGCTAGGCGGCACTAAAAATTTGCATTGCACAATTTGCATTTAACGTTTCTGGATTTTTAAATCCATCGACAATGATATCACGAAAGAATTGGTGTCACTGGACACATGTTTTTGGATCAATTTCGATATCACTAGCTTGCTGTTTCTACGGTTCCCATGTCATTGAGCCATAAATGAGCTCGAATAGGTTTTAAGTGTCCATTCTATTCCTTGCCCACGAGGATTACTGTAGCCGGCCCTCTCGCGGCCATCGCCGGCGAATTTTTCCTTGACGCGTCGCGGCCATTTTTTTGAATCACCTGGAACCTTGGGAATCGTTTAACTGAATATTTTCACACTTTTAAAATTTCCTTTCAATGGAGGCCGCGAATCAAATGCTTAGCGATCACCAGGTGAATGGGATTTCTGAAAAATTGACTTGGAATTAAGCTTCGAGTAAGCTCAGATAAGCTGTTATAGCTAAATTTTGGTTTAAATTTTTCAAATTCAAATCTCAGGTGCAAATTCACAATATGGATGCGGGGAGGACGACGACAGTGCTGACTGGAGGACCGTCACAGGGTAAGGACCTGGGATTGAGACTGGATTATCGACAGAATAGCTGGATTTTTTGCTAATTGATCCTCTTTTAAAAGAAGGCTAGAGTAGCATCCAGTATCACATTAACCGAATAGGTATCTGGAGCTTGCCAGCCTTGCCAGATCTTTGCTAGTCTTGCCAGATCTTTGCCAGTCTTAACTTCACTGCAGGCTGTCTGACCCACGAAGCCTCTGGTTTACAGGCCATAGAATCCCGAGCTAGCCTTTTTACATGAAAATTTCATTTTATAGGCTCTCTATCAGTTCCATCGATGGGTCGAGGTGGGAAACACTCGACGGATTGGCAAAGGGGACCCGCTCATTCCACCGTCGTTTCGGATGAAGTTCGGTGGGATTTATAATACGACAAAGGCTGTGATTGATTGGGCTGTGATTGACTGGGGAACAGTCAGATTTCGCAAGTGCGACTCTTAACCAAAGCTATATGACTTGCGCAAGTCGGACACGGGCAACACGATAACGTTTTTAATTTTTGCCTAAATGCTCTAGATTTCTATATTTGAAATTTGGGCGACTAATGTGTTTGTAAGGGCTACCGTCGCTCACCAAAAAGTGGCTCAGTGGCGCAGTGGTAGTGCAGCTGGTGGTGCCGCTTTTGGCATTGGAGTTCAATCCACTCGGGCTGATTTTAATGTTTTGACCAATTATTTTAATGTTTTAAGCAGTAACGCTGTATTTTGAGTAGTTTTTGCGTATCAGTTAGCTTTAGCTTCAATTTCAATTTCTTTTGCAAAGCACTATTCCGAAAAAATTTTAGAAATTTAAACACGAAACAATATAAAAAGAAGGGAACGAATGAGGGGAAGGGGATTACTTTTAAAAATCCGCTACAAGAACATAATAGATTTTACGAAGGGTGAAGAAAACTTAGCGGAACTCGGCGAAACTAAAAAACTAAAAACCGGAAAACATTCACGATTCATCAGAAAAAATGAAAAATGAAATATACGTTCCTAGGTGTAAACGGATGTGGACTAGGATTTGGGTTTTGTTAAAAAGAGTGGATCCCTTTTTGATATCCCGCCATCTCTAATACACCGACAACCCAACTCAACTCCTCCAACGTATAAGAGGGGAGCCCCTGTGAAATGACCGACCTGTAGTTGCACTGCAGTTGCATAGACCCGGAAGATACATATCTTTATTTACCGTAATACAATAAGATGTATAGATTAGAAATGAGTGTAAGGGGGAAGGAGGGACTCCTAATGAGAGTCTCCATTTGTCCTCCTAGGCAATCCTAAGGACCGCCCCTTCTCAGCAATAAAAGGGATAAGCACAGAGGAGAACACATTTGCATAAGATTAGACAAAGCATTCAATGATAACAATAGTAACTAAAATATCCGCTTGGCGCGGAGCTGACAGAAATGAAAAAATGAAATGAAGAAATGAAATGAAAAGATGAATGGCATGACGAATGAAAAAGAAAAAAAATGAAAAGAATGGCGTTTTAGTTAAAAGGAAAAAAGTTAAGTTTGGTCTATACGGTTAAGTTAGATTTAGACGGCACGTACAAAAAGATTCATAGACAATGGAGTAGAAGAGAGCCGAGAGAAACGAAACAAAACCATTTTAGAAATTTAAACACGAAACATGGGCGGAACAATATAAAAAGAAGGGAACGAATGAGGGGAAGGGATTACTTTTAAAAATCCGCTACAAGAACATAATAGATTTTACGAAGGGTGAAGAAAACTTAGCGAAACTCGGCAAAACTAAAAAACTAAAAACCGGAAAACATTCACGATTCCATCAGAAACAAAGAAAAATGAAGTGAAAAAACGAGATGGAAAGATGGATGGCATGACGAATGAAAAAGAAAAAATGAAAAGAATGCAAAGGGGAATTTTTGTGTGGGGTACGGTAGCGTATTCACTCTTTAGAAAGCACGCCTCGCCGCCTTTCGCGCCAGTCCCTCTAAAGCGCACGTAAATAGGCTTCTAACTGTATTTTAATTAAAGCTGACCCGAGTTGCTATCCACCATGGAGTAAAGGAAAAAACTGTGAAAAAGTTAATAATTTCCATCAAAAAGCGCTAAACTATGGCAAATCTTTGTGCTTTTTTTTGCGTAATAACTACTTCTAGACCTGCTCTATGCGTAAAAAATAAAACATGAGCAAAAACAATAACAAAAGCATAAAAAACATGCAAAATTATGAAGATAGTAGTGCGAAAAATTCGGCGCTGAGATGAGCGGCGTTAATTCGGGCAAATGAAAAGAATGGCAAAAGGGAATTTTTGTGTGGGGTACGGTAGCGTATCCACTCTTTAGAAAGCACGCCTCGCCTCTTTCGCGCCAGTCCCTTTAAAGCGCACGTAAATAGGATGTATTTGTATTTTAGCTGTATTTTAATTAAAGTTGTCCCAAGTTGCTATCATTTTGATAAACTCCAAATTTCAGCACTCTTATAATCGATGCCGTTTTTTGTCGTCCATCCATTTGGGACAGTCAACGCGAGAAAAACGGGCCCGGTCGAAAGCAATCATTTCAAGAGATCACACAGATTTTGAATCAACAACATCACCAAGAATTGTCATGTAAGTTTTAACTTATTGTACTTTAAGAGATCGTTCTTTAGATAGTTTTACTTTAAGAGATCGTTCTTTAGATAGTTTTACTTTAAGAGATCGTTCTTTAGATGGTTTTACTTTAAGAGATCGTTCTTTAGATGGTTTTACTTTAAGAGATCGTTCTTTAGATGGTTTTACTTTAAGTGATCGTACTTTAGAGGGTTTTACTTTAAGAGATCGTACTTTAAATGGTTTTACTTTAAGTGATCGTACTTTAGATGGCTTTACTTTAAGAGATCGTACTTTAAATGGTTTTACTTTAAGAGATCGTTCTTTAGATGGTTTTACTTTAAGAGATCGTTCTTTAGATGGTTTTACTTTAAGATATCGTTCTTTAGATGGTTTTACTTTAAGAGATCGTTCTTTAGATGGTTTTACTTTAAGAGATCGTTCTTTAGATGGTTTTACTTTAAGAGATCGTTCTTTAGATGGTTTTACTTTAAGATATCGTTCTTTAGATGGTTTTACTTTAAGAGATCGTTTTTTAGATGGTTTTACTTTAAGATATCGCACTTTAGATGGTTTTACTTTAAGATATCGTTCTTTAAATGGTTTTACTTTAAGAGATCGTTCTTTAAATGGTTTACGTCACTTTTAAAGCTCGGGATTACTGTTTTTTATATTAAAATGCGTTAAATTTGCATTAAAATGCAAATTTCAGGTGAAGAAGTCGAAAAACAATGGAAAAACCTCAAGGACACTTACAATAAAACGAAGAAAAAGGTAAAAGGGGAAAATTTTGAAGAAATTTTGAAGTATTTTCCAGCTTTCTTTTGATAACGACGGCCGTCCGATCACTCCGAAATGGAAGTTTTTCTCGAATATGCTATTTTTGGATCAACCCAACAGTTTGACGGTGCCGATTGAGGTGGGTTACTGTAGCAAAAGCACTAGACATAATTTTTAACGTATTAGTTTGGTTCCTTGTCTCTCTAAATTTGGTTCCTTATCCTTACAGTGGAATATTGTACTTTAGTCTTTTCTAGAGCAGCAGACAGCTCTACCTGTCTAGAGCAGGAGACAAGCTTAGCTCGTAGCTTTTGTTAGAAGTACACTGTAGAAGTAGAAGTAGAAGGTGTCGCAAAAGTTCCCGAACTGGTTTTTAGTGCGTCAGAAAAGTTGTTTTGTCAGTGGCTTTTTCGTTTATTTGGTCTTTTTTATGTGTTTTTATCTTTTAATTATCACGGGATTTTAACGGGACGTTTTAGCTTAAAACCCCCATTTCACCAGCTTTATAGCTTATAAGACTTTCGATAGTTCATGAAAAAAAAGGTTTACAGTTGCTTTGGTACTGAAAAAGTACCGAAATAAGCTGGCTTTCGGTACTTTTTCAATATCAAAAAGTTTACAGCAGCTTTATAAGCTGAACTTGAGTCATTTCATCAAAAATAAACAGGTTTACTGTCATTTTGTGAGCTGAAGTTGAGCATTTTCATCAAACGCTAGCTCTAGAAGGTGAATTTCTGTACTTTTTCGAATTTCTGTACTTTCTGTACTAAAAAGGTGTCGATAGGTTTTTTTTCTCTTTTAGAAAAACACTGAACAAATTTACAGAATGGTCCCAGCTCATCAATGATGTATTTACGGGCTCGAAGCGAAGATGGAATGTCGAGGAAAAGGATGAGAGACGACGATGAAATCAACGATGACGATCAATATTTCGATTTCTGTATGTGAAATTTGCATCTTTTCATTGAAAAAACCCATTCCAAGGTCGCTCAATCTTGCACAATTTGCGCAAAATCGGCGAAATGGATCGTATGAAGTACTTGCAGCTGACAAAGGTTTGTTTTTTTTTCTAAAAACGATTAGACTACTATACTACTATTACAATACGAGAAAATTTGCAAAAAAAGCAAAAAAAAAGCAAAAAGCTGCTTGGTTCTTTTTTCTAGACAAATTTGGTTCCTCATCTCTCTAAATTTGGTTCCTTATCTCTCTAAATTTGGTTCCATTTCTCTACAAATTTGGTTCTATATCTCTCTAAATTTGGTTCCTTATCTCTCTAAATTTATTTGGTTCCTTATCTCTCTAAATTTGGTTCCTTATCTCTCTAAATTTATTTGGTTCCTTATCTCTCTAAATTTGGTTCCTTATCTCTCTAAATTTGGTTCCATTTCTCTACAAATTTGGTTCCTCGTCTCCCTAAATTTGGTTCCTTATCTCTTTAAATTTGGTTCCTTTTTCTAGACAAATTTGGTTCCCTTTCCCTTTTCAGCAAAACAAAAAAAATCTAGGGATTTGATTTGAATCTGAAATTTCCCAATTTCAGAGCATTCGCGATATGATCTACGATGCCGAAGTGGAGTTGCTTAGCCAAAACGAGATCGCCATTCAACAACAGCACTCGATGCTTCGATAAAACAAAATGTACAATAAAACATAGATTCAGAGGCTTTAAGAAAAAACAAAAAAATAGCTTTTTCGTTTTATGCAAATAATTTCCACTTGTGATATAGCTTTTGTACAGTCTTTGTACTCAAATTTTGGCAAATCTTGGCAAAGCTTGTCAAGTTTGGTCAAAACTTGTCAAAACTTGTCTGATTTTGTCAAATTTCGTCAATTTTTGTCAGATTTTGTCAAAATCGGTCAAAACTTGTCAGATTTTGTCTAAATTTTGCTAATTTTTGTCAAATTTCGTCAATTTTTGTCAGATTTCGTCAAATTTTGTCAAATTTCGTCAATTTTTGTCACATTTCGTCAAATTTCGTCAATTTTTGTCAAATCTTGTCAAATCCTGTCAAGTTTTGTCAAGGTTTGTCAAATTTTGTCAAGTTTGATCAGATTTTGGCAAAACTTGTCAGATTTTCTCTAATTTTGCTAATTTTTGTCAAATCTTGTCAAGCTTTGTCAAATTTTGTCAAAACTTGTCAGATTTTCTCTAATTTTGCTAATTTTTATCAGATTTTGTCAGATCTTGTCAAATCCTGTCAAGTTTTGGTCAAATTTTGTCAAATTTTGTCAAGTTTGGTCAGATTTTGTCAAATTTGGTCAGATTTCGTCAAATTTTGTCAGATTTTGTCAGATTTTGTCAAGTTTTGGTCAAATTTTGTCAAATCTTGTCAAATCCTGTCAAATTTTGTCAAATCCTGTCAAAAATTGTCAGATTTTCTCATATTTTGCTAATTTTTGTCAAATCTTGTCAAGTTTTGGTCAAATTTGGTCAAATTTTGTCAGATTTTGTCAGATTTTGTCAAGTTTTGGTCAAATTTGGTCAAATTTTGTCAAATCCCGCCAAGTTTTGTCACGCTTTGGTCAAATTTTGTCAAATCTTGTCAAATCCTGTCAAATTTTGTCAAATCCTGTCAAAAATTGTCAGATTTTCTCATATTTTGCTAATTTTTGTCAAATCTTGTCAAGTTTTGGTCAAATTTGGTCAAATTTTGTCAAATCCCGCCAAGTTTTGTCACGCTTTGTCAAATCTTGTCAAAATTTGTCAGATTTTCTCTAATTTTGCTAATTTTTATCAGATTTTTGTCAGATTTCGTCAGATTTTGCCAAACTTGGTCAATTTTTGTCAAATTTTGTCAAATCCTCTCAAATCCTGTCAAATTTTTCGGTTTTTGCCTCGTTTCGGGTGTATTTTTGCGAAAATTCTTTGTATTCTTCTGATTTTCACGATTTTTTTGATATAAAATTGCAAAAATAACAAAAACCTTTATTTCTAAACAGAAAGATTTTCAAAAAATTTCATTTGAAACGGAGAAAAAAAGTTGGGAAAATGGGAATAAAACAAAAAAAAAAAGTGGAGAAATTTCAAATTTTTTGGCGGTCCCCGGGGACGGTAATTGGAATTAAATTTTATAAATTTCTTCGAATCACCGCTTTTGCTTTTGGGTTTCTGGGTTTTCGGGTTTATTTTCGTCGTCCCCAAAGTCCGTTTGCCTGTTGCCACGAGGAGGCTCTGGAATTTAACAAAACAGCTCTAAAAACAACTCTAAAATACGATGGAAATCTTTTAGTTTTATAGTTTTATAGTTTTATAGTTTTCGATAAGTTTTAAACTTTTAAACTTGTTTTTCTTTTCTTTTGAAACCTCTTTAATCCGTAGCCGAAAACGGGTTGTCGATCGTCGAATTCGATGTCGGATCTGAGAAATTTTGAGCTTTTTTTAAGCTTTTTTAATCGATTTGAAGCATTCATTTCATGTTTTTCAATTTCCGTCGCATGTTTATAGTGAATTGCTTCAATTCCTTCCATTGGCTAGACTTAGAATAGATGTAAACCTGGAAGAAATCGCTTGGAAATCGCTTGGAAACCCGTTCACCCTCATAACTTCTTTTTGTGTAAACAGATTTTAATGAAAGTTTGCCTTTTTCTTAGTTGGATATCATGTAAAAAATTGGTATTGATCAAATTTAAAAATTTTGTCGTTGTTCGAAAAAATACCTCGGAACCTGTTCACCCTCATAACTTCTTTTTGTGTAGACAGATTTTAATGAAACTTTGAGATTGTCTTAGTTGGATATCATGTAAGAATTTGGATTGAACAGATTTTTTGGAAAATCGATTTTAGACCCGTTGTGCAATGTCAGCTTTTTTTTGTCAGCATTCTAGCCATTCTAGCCATGGCTAGGCTAGAATAAGGGTCAGAACTGGGACAGGCTAGGTCAGGCTAGGGCCAGGGCTAGGCTAGGGCCAGGGCTAGGCTAGGGCCAGGGCTAGGCTAGGGCCAGGGCTAGGCTAGGGCCAGGGCTAGGCTAGGCCAGGGCTAGGCTAGAGCCAGGGCTAGGCTAGAGCCAGGCTAGGCCAGGGTCAGGCTAGGCCAGGGTCAGGCTAGGCCAGGGCCAGGCTAGGCCAGGGTCAGGCTAGGCCAGGGTCAGGCTAGGCCAGGGTTAGGCTAGGCCAGGGTTAGGCTAGGCCAGGGTTAGGCTGGCCAGGGTTAGCTAGGCCAGGGTTAGGCTGGCCAGGGTTAGGCTAGGCCAGGGTCAGGCTAGGCCAGGGTTAGGCTAGGCCAGGGTTAGGCTAGGCCAGGGTTAGGCTAGGCCAGGGTTAGGCTAGGCCAGGGTTAGGCTAGGCCAGGGTTAGGCTAGGCCAGGGTTAGGCTAGGGTCAGGGTTAGGCTAGGGTTAGGCCAGGGCTAGACCCGACTAGGCCAAGCTAGACCAGACTAGGCCAAGCTAGACCAGACTAGGCCAAGCTAGACCAGGCTAGGCCAAGGCTAGACCAGACTAGGCCAAGCTAGGCCAGACTAGGCCAAGCTAGACCAGACTAGGCCAAACTAGGCCAGGCCAGGCCAGGCCAAGGCTAGACCAGACTAGGCCAAGCTAGGCCAGGCTAGGCCCAGGCCAGGCTAGATCAGGACCAAGCTTTGGACCAGGGTCAGGCTAGGTCCAGGGCTAGGCTAGGGCCAGGGTAGACCAGGCTGGAGTCAGGGCTAGGTTATACCAGGCCTTGGATCAGATTAGAGGCCGGGTTTGGACTTGGGACCCAATTGGAGCATTCCAGTACTATTAACAGTACTAGTTAGTACTATGCGCTGATTGTTTTTCGAAAATTCCCCAAAAATTCTCACCTTTTTCCCCAGAGTGTGTTCAATTTGTTCCAATTCTCGATGGGTCGTTTCTCTTCGAGGAAAAGCTCCTGAACAAAAACATATGCAAAAACATAGTCTAGTTTTTATTCTTATGTAAAACTCGATCTTCTCTCGAGCTTCTCTTCGAGATTCTCTTCGATTTTCTCTTCGATTTTCGTTTCTCTTCGATTTTCATTTGCTTTCATTTGCTCACCGCATTTTTGTCACTTCTTTTCCCCCATAAACCCATCGCTTTACTCCATTGTCGGGGTCGCTCCTCGCCGGGGATTTCTATAAAAATTTGCATATTTGTAGATAATGCTGTAAGCTGAATAGCTGAATAGCTTTTTTTACAGAACACTGTACCACACCTTTTCTACAGTAATCCAGCTTTGTCTTAGTCAGCCTAAACCTTTGCCTTGATCAAATGGTTACAATTAGGCAGACTACCGTCTACGGCAGACTACCGTCTACGGCAGACTACCGTCTACGGCAGACTACCGTCTACGGCAGACTACCGTCTACGGCAGACTACCGTCTACGGCAGACTACCGTCTACGGCAGACTACCGTCTACGGCAGACTACCGTCTACGGCAGACTACCGTCTACGGCAGACTACCGTCTACGGCAGACTACCGTCTACGGCAGACTACCGTCTACGGCAGACTACCGTCTACGGCAGACTACCGTCTACGGCAGACTACCGTCTACGGCAGACTACCGTCTACGGCAGACTACCGTCTACGGCAGACTACCGTCTACGGCAGACTACCGTCTACGGCAGACTACCGTCTACGGCAGACTACCGTCTACGGCAGACTACCGTCTACGGCAGACTACCGTAAGACCTGCCCTGATTACTGTACTAAGGCTGATTACTGTACTAGGTGGCATTGAAGCAACGCTAAGGCTTGTGCACTAAGGACTAGATCCAGGCTAAGGCCTTGACTAGATCCAGACTAAGGCCTGGATCTAGTCAAGTGCTTGAAGAAAGGGAAACTGTTTTCATATAAAAAGGAGCAGACTCAGTGCTAGTACTGTACCAGATCGTTCATTAGAATTTGGTATCTGTGTACTGTACTAGATCCTGAACCAGTGATAGTTTGACTACAGTACACGCAGAAGCCAGATCCCAAGTACTGATTAGAGTCTGTTTAGAGTTATATTAGAGCTCATAAGATATATTTTCCCATCACGCTTTCGGCACTGTACTAGGTAGGCTCTGGGTACTGTATCAATGCTGGTCAGAGTTCTGTTTAGGACTGTAGGCTTACTGTAGGTTTGGCTTGGGCAGGACTAGACCTGGACTACGGTACTGGACAGGTCTGGATCTGGGCTATGGTACTAGACAGGGCTAGGTCTAGACTACGGTACTGGACAAGTCTGGATCTGGACTATGGTACTAGACAGAGTTTGGCCTAGACTACGGTACTGGACAGGTCTGGATCTGGACTACGGTACTGGAAATGCCTAGATCTGGACTATGGTACTAGACAGAGCTAGGTCTAGACTACGGCACTGGACAGTCCTAGATCTGAACGACGGTACTGGACAGGGGTAGGTACTGGGTTCAAGTTTAAGTACAGTGGACCAGCTAAAGTAGTAACTACGGCAACTACAGTGCCCTAGGATACGCTAGGATTACGGTACCAGGATTACGGTAGCTAGGATTACGGTAACTACAGTGCTTCGTATGGTCTCAGATCTGAATAAAATCTCAGATAAAATCCAAAAACCCACCCGCTTCCTCGGCAAAAGTGACGGCGATGACGAGAATGAAAAAGAAAAACGAGAAAATGGATGATGACATTGAAGAGAAATGAACCATTTAGAGAAAAAGGAAGAAATGGAAACGACACACCCTTTGTGGTACCCTGAAATCGATAAAATATAGTTAAAAGATTGGTAGTAGGTAAAAAAAAGAAAGAAAGAAAGAAAGAAAGACTTGGATAAGGCAAAGAATTTGGATCCGACAGGGAATTGAACCCTTTGCCTTCTGTTTACTAAAATGATCTACCACTGAGTCATCTTTGTCCAAGAAATAGGAAAAACAAGGAAGAAGGGAAGAAGAAGGGAAGAAGAAGGGAAGAAGAAGGGAAGAAGAAGGGAAGAAGAAGGGAAGAAGAAGGGAAGAAGAAGGGAAGAAGAAGGGAAGAGGAAGGGAGGAAGAAGGGAAGAGGAAAGGAAGACGGGAGGAAGGGGAGAAGAAGAGAAGAAGGGAAGAAGGGAAGTAGTAAGGAAGAGGTAAGGAAGAGGTAAGGAAGAAGAAAAGAGGAAGGGAAGACGTAAGGAAGAGCTAAGGAAGAGGAAAGGAAGAGCTAAAGAAGAGGAAAGGAAGAAAGGAAGAAAGATAGAAAGAAAGAAAGACAGGGAAGTTCAACGTTTTTTAGAAAAAACTCTTTCAAGTAAAGGAAATGTCAGAAATCTCAAAGCTTCTCAAATTCCTCAAGGAAGTGACCAATTTGTGTTAGTGATTGGCGGAAAGGAGTAAAATGAGATATTTTCTTGAATCCAAGGGGATAATGAGGAATTTGAGATCAGAAAAAGGGCTATTTTTGAATGAGGGAAAGGTTTTCGCAAGTTCTTTCCTTTTTTTAGACAACATTCCAGTATGATACTGTTTTTAGTGGACTTTGTGCTCACTTTTGTAAGCGGATCTTTTCTAGCGCACTGAAGACCGAAAACCGAACTACCGAAGACAATTAGTGAAAAAGATTTCAGTGTTTTTAGCCCAAAGAAAGCTGGGATGGACGAACAGACACTGCTCTTTTATATTAGGAAAGAAAGTTCTCGAAGTTCTCGAAAAAGTTTGACTGGAATTTCTGAAAAAAAGAATCCACGAATTCAAGAATATTTTCTTCTATTATTTACAAGTTGACTCCAAGAAATTACTCCTAAAAAAATGAGTACAGCTTTCCCTTCAAATTTTAGGGATCTTTGAAAAATTTTGGTTTTCCAGCTTAAATCCAGCTCACTTTTTGCACCAGAAAAACGATTCCTTATGAGGTAAAGCTAGCATAGTCCGATCCAGACGTCGAAATCAGACTTCTGATCCAGAGATCCATCCAATCCAGACTTCTAATCCAGAGATCCGTCCGATCCAGACTTCTGATCCAAAGATCCATCCAATCCAGACGTCTGATCCAGAGATTCGTCCGATCCAGACTTCTGATCCAAAGATCCATCCAATCCAGACGTCTGATCCAGAGATTCGTCCGATCCAGACTTCTGATCCAAAGATCCGTCCGATCCAGACTTCTGATCCAGAGATCAATCCAATCCAGACTTCTGATCCAAAGATCCGTCCGATCCAAACTTCTGATCCAGAGATCCGTCCGATCCAGACGTCTGATCCAGAGATCCATCCAATCCAGACTTCTAATCCAGAGATCCGTCCGATCCAGACTTCTGATCCAAAGATCCATCCGATCCAGACTTCTGATCCAGAGATCAATCCAATCCAGACTTCTGATCCAAAGATCCGTCCGATCCAAACTTCTGATCCAGAGATCCGTCCGATCCAGACGTTTGATCCAGAGATCCATCCAAACCAGACCTCTGATCCAGAGATCCATCCAAACCAGACCTCTGATCCAGAGATCCATCCAATCCAGACTTCCAATCCAGAGATCCGATCCAGACGTCTGATCCAGAGATCACCGGTTTTTGAGAAATCACCGTGCAAACTTTGTGCAAACTTTTCCGAGAACTTTCTTTCCAATCTAATCTATAGTAGATAATGAAAGCTCGAGTTTCGAACAAACGTTGGCCAAAAATAAAATGGCTAAAGAAAATGGTTAAACAAAACGGTTAAAACAAAACGATTAAAACAAAATGGCTAAAAAACTAATTCAGGAGCAATTTTTATAGATTTTTCTCCGAAGTGATTCAAATAAATGAATTCTCACCCAAAAAAACTGGCAATTCCAAGGTTTTATGAGCAAAAATTTTCTGGGAAACAGTTTTCCTAATGGATTTTTGCTTATTTTCGAATCAGGAAGTGATCGTTGACGGGAAATTTTTGATTTTTTTGATTGGATTAAACCGATGAATGGTTTGGGTTAAAACGATGGATTTGATTAAAATTAAAATTTATGAATTCAAAAAGTGATGCATGATGCATTTTTTAGTCGCTAAATGCAAATTCGCATAGTTTAAATGTAAAAGTTGCATCCATTAAACATCAACATTGCTTTTGAGCTTCACATCACATGGATCTTCACATCACATCAAGTGTTTTACCCAAGAAAAGTGCTGTATCTTGAGCCATGAGTCGATAAGCCGATAAAAAGCCGAAACTTTGACTAAAAGCTTTGACTAAAAACTTCGACTAAAAGCTTCGACTACGCGACGCTCCCATAAAAAGCCGACACTTCGACTAAAAGCTTCGACTACGCGACGCTCCCATAAAACGCCGACACTTCGACTAAAAGCTTCGACTACGCGACGCTCCCATAAAAAGCCGACACTTCGAGTAAAAGCTTCGACTACGCGACGCTCCCATAAAAAGCCGACACTTCGACTAAAAGCTTCGACTACGCGACGCTCCCATAAAAAGCCGACACTTCGACTAAAAGCTTCGACTACGCGACGCTCCCATAAAACGCCGACACTTCGACTAAAAGCTTCGACTAAAAGCTTCGACTAAAAGCTTCGACTAAAAGCTTCGACTACGCGACGCTACCATAAAAAGCCTCCCATAAACGCTCCCATAAAAAGCCGAAACTTCGACTAAAAGCTTCGACTACGCGACGCTCCCATAAAAAGCCGACACTTCGAGTAAAAGCTTCGACTACGCGACGCTCCCATAAAACGCCGACACTTCGACTAAAAGCTTCGACTAAAAGCTTCGACTAAAAGCTTCGACTAAAAGCTTCGACTAAAAGCTTCGACTAAAAGCTTCGACTAAAAGCTTCGACTAAAAGCTTCGACTAAAAGCTTCGACTAAAAGCTTCGACTAAAAGCTTCGACTAAAAGCTTCGACTACGCGACGCTACCATAAAAAGCCTCCCATAAACGCTCCCATAAAAAGCCGAAACTTCGACTAAAAGCTTCGACTACGCGACGCTACCATAAAAAGCCGGTTTATTAAAGTTTTTAACGATATTTTTCTTAACAAATAAGTCGATAATATAAAGATTTTTCTCAAAAAGAATATTAGAAAGAAAGAAAAGTAAATATTTCGCCAAAAACTGAGCTGAATTGATGAAATTTCGGGCAAAAAAAAGTGGAAATCCGGGAAAAGAGGGAAATTTTCAAGCAAATACTCTGAAATTTCAATTTTTTCTCAGAATTATCAAAGCAAACGATGAAAATAGCTTAAAAATAGCTTAAAAATTTAATGAAATCAAATAGTTAAGCTAAAAATACGTTTGAAAAGGCGAAAGTAGATAGAGATTTTCGATTTTCACACGAAAACAAAAGAAAATTGAGTTTGATTGCTTTTTTTTCTCAATCTTAACCTAATGGGGGTAAATAATTATCCAAAAAAGTACAGGAAAAGAAGAAAAAAGAAGGAAAAAGAAGGAAAAAGAAGCAGAAGAAAAGCAGAAGAAAAGTAGAAGAAAAGTAGAAAAAAGAAGAAAAAAGAAGAAAAAGTAGAAAAAAGTAGAAAAGCTTCCCCAAAAACCTAAAGAAATTGTGCTTTTATCAATCGGAAACATCTAAATGAAAAAGAAATTGGGGAAAGCATGAACAAATCTGGTTCCTTTCACCCAAAATGTTTGCTCCGGGCAAAGTTTCAGTTGGACAATCTCCAGCAACTCCGCATTATCGAGGACAACTGGATGATATCCATGCGACAATCTCCAGCAACTCCGCATCATCGAGGACAACTGGATGATATCCATGCGGCTCATCTTCCAAGCTCTCATCTCCTTCACGAAAACGTCGAAACCATTCTTGGCAATTCCTTTCACCGAAAATGTTTGCTCCGAATGCTTCACAAAGATGCTGACTCCAATGAGTGTGACTCCAATGAGCGAAAGGTGTCGAGAAATTGTGCTCGGATCACTTAAGTATTCGGCTATTCGGGCAGTTTCAGTTGGTGCGACTTGCATCTCCAGCACCCGCTTTCGAGGCCAACTGGTGTTCCTGCGCTCTCCGCAACTCCGCATTATCGAGGACAACTGGATGATATCCATGCGGCTCATCTTCCAAGCTCTCATCTCCTTCACGAAAACGTCGAAACCATTCTTGGCAATTCCTTTCACCGAAAATGTTTGCTCCGAATGCTTCACAAAGATTCCGGTGTGACTCCGATGCTGATTTCTTCATTTTGAAGTCATAGAGAAGCAATTTAATGAAATCAAATAGTTAAGCTAAAAATACGTTTGAAAAGGCAAAAGTAAATAGAGATTTTTCACACGAAAACAAAAGAAAATTGAGTTTGATTGCTTTTTTTTTCTCAATCTTAACCTAATGTGGGTAAATAATTATCCAAAAAAGCAGAAAAAAGAAGAAAAAAAGTAGAAAAATGCTAAAGAAATTGTGCTTTTATCAATCGGAAACATCTAAATGAAAAAAGAAAATTGGGAAAAGGGTGAACAAATTTCGTAGTTTTCAATTCCTTTTTCCTTGAGGGGAATTCCAAAGAAAAGGTGGGGAAGATTTATCGTGACGACATTTATTTCACACGCCCAATGATCACGAATTTTGTCGCGCAAAAAGGAAAAAGGCATTGGCAGCAAGAGGAATCGAACTCGAAAGCTCGCTGTTGCTCAGCGCCAGCGCCAGCGAAAGCTCTGGGCCGCTATGTACCCGCCGCTTTATAGACCCGCCGCCTCGTAAACACGCCGCCTTATATACGCG